CCTCGAAGGCGGCAAGAGCTTCTTCGACAGTAAGAGCTGTAGATGGGTCGGCGATTAAGCTGTCGACCCAGTCTACCCAGGAGAAGGAGGACTTGATGTATTCTGGTGATGGGTCGGTAGGAGGGGAGTCGGGGGATGGCATGGCGGCGCCCAAAGCCGCGAGGGAGAGGGTAGCGAGGATGGTAGTGGACTTCATGGTGTGCGATTAGGGATTACGAGAGGACGGGTATTGTAGTAAGTGACGATAGCGGTAGTAGCCTGAGTAGTGTTGTACCAGATAGAGGCGGCTTTCATCTGGTATTTATATCCTTCCAACTTCCATGTCCCCACAGGATACTACATAGCACCATCAGGCATCCAAGGCTAACCTTCAGTCAGTCGCAAATACCTCACCGCCCTGGCATAATCGTAAGATCGGGACAATACAAAGGAACACGGCGAGCAGCTACAAGAGCAACGGCATGTAGTTCTTCTCGCGAAAGGCACCATCCGGCCAATGGAAACAGATGTCTTTTCACTGGAGAGGAAACACAGCCGTGGCTAATACCACGTTAGGCTTCCCACTCAGGTACCACGGACAATTGTAAGCTGGCAGCTCACATTACTCTCCCCACAGTATCTATAAGGCCACCCGTATGCAGGGGAGGACAGACTGCAAGTGGAGACAACGGAAGCCACCCGCCCGCCTTCTAGCTTTTTCGAGATGACCACCTCGGAAGACACGGATGCTGCCTTGGAATATGGGGCCAGAAGAGAAGATGTGTGAGCCTCGATATATGTGCTAAAATCAGTCTGCGAAAAGGCATGTTTGATCGACTGGCAGCCTGTATGAGGATGTACACGGCAGCTCGTGAGGATTGTAGAGGATAGGCCTTGACACGATAGGGTCGGCACGAAAGCCTTGGGAAAAGTGGGGACGCTAGCACCAATTATCTCTGAGGCGTGCTACACGTTTTAAAGAAGACCAGCGTCGCGTATTCAGGTCCGAGTACCATCACTAGTATGTTTCGTAAGAGCAGGAGCTGTCAACACGCATCACCAATGTAGACCCACCTCAATAAACGTAATTCTTTGGCTGCAGGCAGCGACAAGTCTATTAACCTAAAGAGATGAAGCCAAGGCCATGTATGTTCGTATGCTGATGCCAAACAACAAGCAAAGCACATCGTATACATTACTTTTATATGCATATATGCTTTCCATAGTGGTAGAAACGCCAGTATAGATTGTGGTCGATGCCCAAACTCCGCGTGTAATGCGTCGATGATACGGATCCAGAAGGTGAAAAAGTGGGTATATAGAAATACAACGGTGATGAAGTGAAGCGCAAAGACAGTGGTGCGATCAAACAAATTCGTGCTATTGTGGTGTCGTCATGGTCCTTGAGAGATTAGAGCGTTGTGGCATCGCATCTTTCCGTAGCTGACGAACGACTGCTTCGAGCTTCCGTCGTTCTTCTTGTTCCGCCTGTATATCGTTAGCATACCGCAGTACAATGATATGGCATTACTCACTCTCAGTGCCTTTAGGCCCTCCGCTGTTCGATCCCGCATCATCTTCCTGAAGTCTTCTCTCAACATGCGAATGCTAGTCGCCCCCATGTCAAGCTGAGCAGCAGCGCCATTCGGCATGCCTGGGCTCCTGACCCCAAGCCACTTGACCTTTTCGTCACTGAGCTCGCGCTCCAGGGCTTCCTTGTCATCGCGGAGCTTGTCGATCTGCCCTTCGAGGACTTCGCGGTCCTTTTCGTTCTGAATAGCATCACGAGTGAGAGCTTCGTACTCAGCAGCCATGCCTTTGAGCTCGGCCTTGAGATTGCGCTCGGATTGGCGGGCCTCAGCTTCGGACTGAGAGGCAACGTCTTGGACCTTGCGAAGCGCTTCCAGTTCACCCAGAAGCGCCTGGTTCTGCTCGGCCAGCTCATCCAACTCCCTCTTAATGGCGGGATTTGCAGCCGAATCAGCAGCACGTTGTGCGCGAGTACCGTAAGCGCCGTCAAGCTCTGCTTTGGCAAAGGTAAGCTCAGTGGTGAGACGAACGATCTCGCCTTCGAGGCTACGGAACTCTTCTTCCTTTGCGTTCAGAGTGTTGGTGGCGTCCAAGGAGCGCGCCTCTGCCTCCTCCTTCTCGGCCGTCACCGCCTGGAGAGCTGCTGTAACCTCTTGGATCTTCTGCGCAGAGGTAGTTAGTTCGGCTTGGATCGTTGCCGCTTCACTACGGGCACTGTCTTGAGCGTCCCTGAGTTCTCTCTCTAGCTTGAGAGCTCGTTCCTGGGCATCCCGAACCTGAGCCTCGTAGCCAGCGGTGCGATCCTCTGCCTCTCTTGACGAGACGTTGTACGCGGTGTTGCGCTCTTGGTGATCCTTCAGTTCTTCTTCGAATGTAGCAGCGCGTTTCTCAGCCTCTTGCATCTTGCTTTGGAAGTTTACAGCCTGCTCTTGCACGTCCCTTAGTTGATTTTCGTACGCGACAGCACGTTGTTTGGCTTCCTTCAGCTCAGACTCGAAAGCCATCACCCGTTCTTGAACGTTGATGAGCTGAGCCTCCAGACCTGCGTTTCGCTCTTGCGTCTCGCGCAAAATCTGCGAGTCATTCTGAATCTTGTGCTCGTCGAACTGCTGTAGCTGCTCCATTGCACGCTCGAGCTCACCCTCCATCGACTTCTTCTCGGACCTTGCACTGAGAACCTGCGTGTTGAGCCGCTCAAATTCTGCCTCTTTCTGTGCGTCGGACTTGCTGTTTAGCTCACGTTGCTGCTTGATTTGGCGCATTAGGACGGACTGCTTGTCTTTGAGACTGGCTGCCCGACTGGACAACCACTGAACCTTGGAAGAAAATGCAGCAAGTGAGTATGTCTCGTTAGCGTTGTAGTCCTCGTCCGGCGAGAGTTGCTCATTGGCATCAGGGTCTTCAGAGAGCAGTCGGCGTCGTTCACGTTTCCGTTCACGTGCCTCTTCTTCTCCAGCCAGAATCATCTGCCAAAGGCCCATGATGGTAGTCTCGTACTTCTCTGCCTTTTCCGCAGCTTCTGAATCATCACTGACAGTGACAGGAGCCCTGGAGCGGAGGTCGTTGATTTGCTCGTTCATCGCATACTGAATCTGCTCAAGGTTGTAGAAGGAGTCTTCCATGTAGTTGAGCTGTTCGGTGGAGCCACCACCCGTGATGGCGGGTGGGGGTGGGAGTTTGTCGGCCTGTTCACTGTCGGATCGAGATATCACAGCATACAACTGATTGTTGATGCCTTCAAGACGGCCCTCGACTTGGTTGAGAGTGTGTCTCGAGTTGTTGCGGATGTTCATCTGTTCAGCGCTGACACTGCGAAGACCTTGATCGAGGAAGTCGAGCTGGCGGTCCAGGGTTGTAGCGTCGGGCGTTCCTTCGAGAGCCAATGGCGGTAGTGAAAAGTCGTTATCGCGCTCGGGATTGGCCTCGATGATGAGTGACCTTATACGCTCGTTTATCTCCTGGAGTCGTGCGGCAGTCGCATTCAACGCTTGGTCTTGACGCTCCGACGCAGCTGTCAGGTGTTTACCGCTTTGCAGCACGTTCATAAGGTTGTCGAGATTCTCTGGGGATCTGTAGAAGCTCCGCTCATCGAACTCGCCTCCACGAATACCACCCAGTCTGCCGTCTTCGTAAGTGTTTAGGCTGGCGGGGCTGTCTGGTCTCCGGAAGCGGTCCTCTGATAGCTCGGCATCGTCTTCACGGTGCTTGGGGCCCTTGTGCGTAAGCTGAAGTACAGCGGCAGTGTGCATCAGCAGCTGCATATCGATCATGCGCATGCGAGACTCAATCTCCAAGCACTCCCGTATAAACTCCTCAACCTTCCTGTTGCTTGATTCAAGGCCCTCCTGGTCCTTGGGGTCATATTCCTGCACGGCGTTACTGCCTTTGCTGCTTTTGTTGCTCTTGCTGCTCTGGCCGCGCTTGTGTCCGGCTTTCTTCTGGGCCAGTCGTCCCAGTGAGCGTGTCGCATCGCGAATCTTGGTCTCGGACTCTAGCTTCCGCCTGACAGTACCCAGGCGTGTGTCCAGGCCCTTCTGCTCCTGCTTGAGCGCTTCTACCTCCTCCACGCTCAGGATATCAAAATACTGGCTGTCTCCTATTGCCGTCTCGACGAGCAAATGCATGGCCACGGGGTCGGTGTTCAGGGCGTCGGAGCTTCGCTTGCCCGAGTTGCGAGGTGTGTACATGCCATTCTCGCGGATTGTCTCCCTGCGGCCGTCTACGAAGACTTCTGGGGGCGGGATGAAGGCACTGGCACCGAATCGTGGGGAGATCTGGTAGGCCATGGGGAAGAAGCTCGGCGATGCAGTGCCATTGATGCCTGACTGGTAGTTTGAAGTCGGTGAGGGGAAGTCATAAAGGGCGCGCGGGCTGAGTGTGTCCCCGACGTAGGGGTACTGGGTGCGTAAGCCATTGCTGGTCATGGTGGCTCTGGGGCGACGCGGCGACAAGACAAAGGGCGAGTCGGCGCGGTGGTGAGCGGTTGAGGTTCGGATGGAAAGCGCGACGGGGGCGCAAAGCAATAGTACTCGCGCAGCCAGCGGGGATGGTTGGCGCTCACGGCGAGCAGCTCGACATGGTCAATGAGAACTTGGAAACTTTGGGTCAGGAGAGACGTGCAAGCGTGCAAGCAGCACCAATACAGGCGCTACTCTGGTAGGGGATCGAGGTCAAGGGGTGACCGCGATCCCTGCAATTCACTAGACCCGCCGGTCTGAGCTCAGGGTTCATGCGCGCTTGGAGGCACCTCTCCCCACCATCCCGCGCGACTCGCCCTCGTATTCGCTGAGCCTCGCTGAGTAGTCCTGACGACACCATACTGGCGTCAGGTAGTGTGTGCCCCGCGCACGAATCTTTCTTCGCAATGCTTCAGGATCTTTCATCTGATTAGCCGTCTTTTCAACGCATTCAACAAACATACGCCAGTCGCCCCGTTCCAAATTCGGATCTGCACTACTGTGCTATCGATAACGTCCCTGTCAGTCAACAACATGAGCGCACGCGCAACATACACCAAAGACCAAATAACAAAATACTTTGCCCGCCTGGGGTTGTCGGAACAAAAGAGAAAATATGACGTGGCTGGTCTGGATCCCAACGACGCTTTCGAGTACCTTGCACTACTCCAAAAACTGCAGCTAGCAGCGGTACCTTTTGAGAATATAACCCTGCATTATTCGGCCCATCATACCGTGTCTGTCCATCCTGAGGAATTGTTCAGGAAGATCATTGGCGATGACAATGGACGAGGTGGGTATTGCATGGAGAACAACAGACTGTTCGGCACGCTGTTGAATTCGCTGGGATTCAATTTGTATTCTGGTGGCTGTAGGGTCTGGGCTGGTGACAGTTGGACCGGTTGGTCCCATATGGTAAACTTTGTCACCATCGGTGACACCAAATACCACGTCGATGTTGGCTTCGGGGCTGACGGGCCTGTTGTCCCAATGCCTCTTGAGCGCTCGGGTACCATCCAAAAGCACATTCAACCTGCATCGGCCCGTCTCCAATGGCGCAACATCCCAGGGAATACTGACCCAAACCAGCGCCTCTGGGTTTACGAATACCGAAGAAATGACGATAGTGACTGGGAGATCAAGTACTCGTATAGTGAGTTGGAGTTTCAGCCACAGGACTACGCGATGATGAACTATTTCACTTCTACTAGCATGAAGACTTTCTTCACGCAGATGGTCGTAGCTGATAAGAAGATCATGGGCGATGACGGGGAGCTAGTAGGAAAGCTGAGCCTGGCGGCCAAGTCTTTGAAATGGAATGTAAAAGGGGAAAAGACCAAGGAAATCGAGTTCAAGAGCGAAGAGGAGAGGATAGATGCGCTTGAGGAGCACTTCGGTATGAAGTTTGGAGACGCGGAGCGCGAGGGCATCGCGGGATTGCCATCAGAGATCAAGTAGAGAAAGCACTGAACATTGAGAATTGTTGATTGCTTGCATGTCCCTACAACTGCCGTATACGCTGTGATCCTTTCGCAGCACGATGTAGTCACTATTGGGTATGTAATATACTGTGTAGGTATGCCAGTTCCGCTTTCGACGCGGGAAAAGCTCGCATCGCTTAGATGAATCGTTGCTCGCACTGCCCGTGGTTAGCACCTGTCGTCTATCCAGCATCTCCGTACCCACCCTCCATGGGTTGTTGAGCTCGAAGCCTTCCGGAGCAACCGGCTTGTCTGTCTGTCCGCGCATGAATCCGGTCAGTCGGCGGTCGCGCTCCATCACTGGGGTCTCGTAAGTAAATCGCATGAGGTCATCGTGAAATGATCGTACTTTGCTGTACTGAAGTTAGCATCTTCCCAATGCGCCTAGGCTTCCGGAAACTCACCCTGTCCCATGCATCGATACCCCTCCTTGTCTTCTTTCCTCCGTTCTGCATCTCCTTGAGCTTTCCGACAGACACGGCGCTGAATGCGAAGAACTAGGCCCTCATTAGCACTCTCTAGCCCCCAGGCACGCCAATTACTTACGCCCGTCATAATGGCGTAGGGCAGCAGAGCCTCGAATGGGACACCCATGATTGCGGTAGTGTACTTAGTCGCGGTGGTGTTGCGGGGTGGGTTATCAGTGACGGCTGGTTGGAGGTGCGTCGGCGTGAAGTGAGGTGCGGCCGTGCGTGCATCCTTGGCAGCGACCCCGACCTACGCAAAGGGTGTCATTTCAAAGGATGCCGTTACAGGCCCACGGCGTTTCCTGACGAGCGACAATTATTCTCGGTGTCGCACTGAGCCACACTTTCATACGAACCGCGAAACCTGATACTTTCAGTCCCCATTTCCCCGGAACAATTGCCTCCGCTGAGGTCGCGCACCTCCACCTTCCCCACAGCCACGGCCAACGCGACTACGAGCCCGAGACACCTTCCTCTGATCATTCACTGCCTGTACAAGTCATTCCACGATATTACTTGGTGGAAACACGCGGTGGACGGATTCACGGGTCACAACAACGCGTTAGGACACAGGCACGACGCGCTTACCAACCACCGCATGAGAGAGCCTCCGCGGCTGCTATCGCTCGCGCGACCGATGTTTTAGGACTCAAACTATACTGGGACTGCGACAGTGGCTTATCTTGCCTCCAAGGTGGCCTCTGCCGTCAACTTCGCCATGGCAGAGCTCCTGGGCCAGCCTGCGAGCAACGCCGAACTTGAAGACATTGATGCCGATGGCGAGTATGAGATGGATGATGTAGAGTATGAACAAGCTCCGGCTACCGAGAACATGCCCGATGCCGAGGGTCATACGACCGATGCTGAAGGAACGGACATGGACGCCGAGGGCGAAGAGGATGATGCTGAGGGTGAAGACGATGACGCTGAAGGTGAAGACGATGATGCCGAGGGTGAAGACGATGATGCCGAGGGTGAAGAGGACGATGCCGAGGGTGAAGATGTGGACGCTGAGGGCGAAGAGATAGACGACGACGAGGATGAAGCCGAGCCAGTTGGCGCTGTCAAGATCGCCCAACGGCGTACCCAATCATCCGACGAGGAGGAGGATTACGAGGGCGACGATGTTGCAAGAGATTCATCCGACGCCAAGTCCAGCAACAGCGACGAGTCGAGCAACGCCGATTCTGAGGAGGAGAACCAATGGCAGGCGAGTGAAGATGGTGAAGAGGACGAGGTCATCAAGTCGGCCAACCCCAATATCTGCGTGTAAGTGTATCCTAAATATTGGAAAGTAAAACCGAAACTGACCAAGCAGATACTGCGGACTAGACGAGGACAACGATCCAAGCCCGGATTTCGAAGAGTCCCTCTCATGCACTTTGTGTGGAGACCATGGTGTGTGTCAGTAGTAAGAATGCTTGAATTTACTTGTTCGGTGGCTGACATGTTGTTCCTGCAGCACATCGGCAATGCGCCCGTAAGGCTGGCACGCTAAGATCCGATGACGGTATGTTATCTTGTCAGCCCGGAACCGCGCCTTGCTAACGATGAGTAGATGCAAAGCGTTGGCGTTGCCCTGATTGCACTCAAAATTTCGGAACTGAGGAAGAAGAAGAGGCTGAACGGCCCTCTACTTCTACACGCCGGAGGCGTTCATCTCTGAACAAGTTGACCAAAGAGTTGCTGCCTTCACATCGTGGGGTTGACCCCGAAGGACATTCAATATTCAAAGAGCTAATTCTTCCCGATGAATCAGCAGATGGATTACGTTCACTGCGCAAACGCAAGACTTCACAAGAGGAGGAGGCACCGGTGCCTTCAAGGCAAACACGGAAAAAGCGGAGACCTTCTGAGGCGACCAACTCAGATGTCGAACCATCAGTTCCTGCAGTCTCACCCAGACCACCATCGAGGAGCATACGAAGTGCTCGTAGCGTCATGACGGATGGTCACGAAAGTGGAGGCGAAGCAGAGCAGAATGGGTCAGAAGCTGGTCGGCTACGTCCAGCAAGGGCGCGTCGCGGGCAACCTAAGAGAAACGACAAACGCCCACTTGCCTGGATCGAAGAGGCTCAGGGCCAGAGCTTGATCATCGCTTTCCATCTCAACAACGAGAAAGTCCAACAGATTGTCACGTCTAAGCCTAAGAAGAAGATTCAGACTCTCACGATTGAACAAGAGCGGCAAGAGAGACGACGTGAGCGGGATAGAGAACGTCGCGAAAGGAATCGCCGGGCTGCACAGGCTGCGCGAGAGTCACCAGAGGTCCTACACTACCCAACGATACATGTCCAGCACGCCACACAGTTTCCAGGCTTCATGGACAAAGAGCTCGACGAAACCAAGAGCAAACCCTACGGCGGCGTGCTTTCCGAAGCTGATGCTGATACTTCCAAGACGTACCCTTCGCCTGCTGATAGGAAGCGCTTTGACGACGCCCGCATCAAGGCCGAGGAAGAGTGGAAAGCGAAGCAGGCCGCACTCTATCCTCCCGAGCCAGCGCGATCACACAAGCAAGCAGCCACCGCGAGCAAGATCAAATGCGTCAACTTTGGCGGATGGGAAATCGACACTTGGCACGCTGCACCATATCCAGAGGAGTACAGCAAGAATAGGGTGCTTTACATATGCGAGTTCTGTCTGAAATACATGAACTCGGACTACGTCGCATGGCGACATAAGGTAAGTATCCTGGTTTTTTCTCCTGGTTGTATACTGACAGTCATAGCTCAAATGCCCAGCGAAGCACCCTCCAGGCGACGAGATCTACCGCGACGGGAAATACTCATTCTTCGAGGTCGATGGCCGGAAGAATCCCGTGTACTGCCAGAATCTTTGTCTACTTGCCAAGTTGTTCCTCGGTTCGAAGACGCTCTACTACGACGTCGAGCCCTTCCTATTCTACGTCATGACTGAGAACGACAATTTCGGCTGTCACTTTGTCGGCTATTTCTCGAAAGAAAAGCGGCCCAGCTCGCTCAACAACGTCTCATGTATTCTGGTACTTCCGATTCACATGCGCAAAGGATATGGGCAGTATCTAATTGAGTTTTCCTACCTCCTCACCCGTGTCGAGAGAAAGACTGGAAGCCCAGAAAAACCACTCAGTGACATGGGTTTGGTGAGTTATCGAAAATACTGGCGGCTCGTTCTATGTGAGGAACTACTCCAACAGAAAGCTGCAATCAGTATATCAGCCATCTCAGACCGCACGGGGATGACACCGGACGATATTGTATCTGCTCTGGAAGGCTTACGAGCTCTTGTACGTGATCCTGTCACGAAGAAGTACGCGCTGCGCCTCGATTTGAACTACTTCAAGTCGTACATTGAGAAGTGCAACGCTGCAGGCAACCCAAAGATCAACCCCGACTGTCTGATATGGACACCGTACGTTATGGGTCGTTTGGGTCAGTACGAGGATGGACCTGCCTTGCAAACTGTGCAGCAGCGCGATGAAGTAGAAGAGGAGGAAAAGCCTGCGCCTGAGGAGGGTGTGCAAATGGAGATGGCGAAGACAAACGGCACTGGTGATGACGTCGAGGCAGCCATACCCACCATTACCACCGAAGACTCCGTCAACGGTGGTTCACCGGCTCCTGGTACCCCACTCGCAAACGGCTCTACTGTTGCTCTTGCTGGTTCCCATATGGATGAGCCGGCAATCCCACCGTCACGATACGAGATCTTTCCTCCCATACCAGGGCAACCCTCGCAAAGACGTCGACCAGGACGGCCATTTGGATCACGGCGAAGAACAAGCACTCCAAACCGCGTACGAAACACTTCACTGTCCATTCACACCGCACCAGTATCAAAGATCCAACTGTCGCCTAGTAGAGGTGCCAAAAATCTCATGTCACCGTCCGCAAACGGCGCCCTCACACCAGGCACCATTTCCCTGCGTAGAACGCGAAGCCGACTTGGTGAAAGCGTCACGAATGGCGAGGACGTCGAAGACGGAGGTGCCGTCAAAGCCGTTGCCGTCAACGGGCGGAGAAGCACACGCAGCTCCGCCAGTTCCAGAGGAAGCATCGATTTCAAAGGCAAGGGAAAAGCTTTGCCCATTGAAGAAGAACACGATGAAGACATTGATGCGGATGGCGATTACGACGAAGAAGAGGGCGATATGGACGTTGATGCTGAAGGCGAGGAAGACGACGACATTATCATGCAAGATGCGTAATCGGTGCTGAATGTTCAAGCTGTCCGCATTATTATTGTTTGTCGGTGTCGATTGGCCCAATTACGGCAAGGGTCTGATATCTTTCTGTTCAGCACAAAATCCTGCGTTTTCAGTTCATGTATCATTATGTTCTTTTACTTAATTTTGGCATGCATAACGGAGATACCTTGGGACCGGATAGCGAGGGGCGTATATCAACATCAATTCAATACATAATCCAAAGGGACTATCTTCTATGCCCCATTTTACCATGATCCTACGCCAGGCCTTCACACCACGTACATGTATTGTCGTTTCTCAATCGTCGCTGGTGTTCATTGTTGTGATGGCCCAAGGATAGCCCAAAATGACGTCCCCTCGGTCCTCTTTCGTCCGAAATTCGTAACCCTCACCTCCGCTCCTCCTCTTCCACTCTTCCACCTCAATAGATCATCACTTTACCCGGTGCCCCACACGCGACATCTCCACACATCCGCATTCGATGCGCTGTGTTTTAACTTCATATACGTCGATTGCAGGCTGGCTTGGCGGCGACAAGGGTCGCGGAATCTGCTATTACTCCATTTGGCTTGCGTTTACCCGGGTAAACAGCATGCAGGCTATGCGATCCTCACTAGCGCGCAAGGAACAACGCGGGGGATGTGCAGATCCAGTGACGTTAGTGGAATTGCAACCCGATAATAGAGTAGGGTATAACTAATAGTGGGTGCAATGCTCTATTTGCAAAGTCGTACACGCCGGATCTCAATATTTGATACGGATTCTTTATTCCTAATTGGTTGTCATGCTATTGGTCACATTTTCCGTTGTGGTGATTGCAACGGCCTTGGCTCGAGTAGGATCTGCACAAGCTTTCAATTCCAGGTGGTTCAATCCCATCTTACCTGGTGTAGGCTAAGCATTCAGATACACTTCCACAAAGAAGGTTGATTGATATTATTCAGTTCCATCCTGATCCGAGCTGCATATTCCATCAGCTTGACGAGACATTCTACTGTGCTTCGAGTAGCTTCAATGTATTCCCTGGTATTCCGATCCATGCTAGCAAGGATTTGACGAACTGGAGACTTGTAGGTATGTTGCATTTCCCTTCTCCAAAAGTGATTTGAAACTTGAACCACAACAGGGCATGCTTTGAACCGGGAGAGTCAACTGCCTGTCCTTGCAGAATCTATTGGGTCGACGAGTGGCATCTGGGCGCCTGCATTGCGCTTCCACAATGACACATTCTATCTCTTGACTACGATGGTGCATGACAAGAGGGCTGACAACGACTCTTCGAGGTGGGATAACGTACGTTTACGTCACGGCTCGTTGGAAGAGATGCTAATGTTTCAGATCATCTTCTCGACGACAGACTTGTGGGATGAGAGCAAGTGGACTGATGCTGTACACCTTGACTTTGAGGGTTACGATATCAGCCCGCACTGGGATGACGAGGGCAACTCGTATGTTGTTGGAAGTCATGCATGGAAAGTAGCGTAAGCATTGTTGAGCCTCTGAGCATGAGCCAATTACCCGGGTATGCTGATAAACGTAGCCACGGTATTCACATCAATCGTGTCGATCTCACAACGGGTGAGCTACTCGGTGATTGGACCAACCTGTGGAACGGTACTGGTGGTATTGTGAGTATACCTCATCTGATTACATAGGCTACCGCTCATCGTCTCGTCTAGGCACCGGAAGGACCACATATCTTCAAGAAAGACGGCTGGTACTATCTGATGATAGCAGAAGGTGGGACCGGCCTGCTTCACATGGAAACGATAGCACGATCAAAAGATCTTTATGGACCGTATGAACCGAATACCGCAAATCCAATCTTGACCAACACAAACACCACTGAATACTGTAATGTTTCCTGATATCGCATATATGTCATCATCTGACAGATAATAGTCCAAGCTGTAGGCCATGCCGACCTCTTTCAGGATGCAACAGGTCAATGGTGGGGCGTAGCGTTAGCTGTCCGCTCTGGCCCGGAATGGGTAACCTTCCCTATGGGCCGAGAAACCGTCCTGTACAACGTTACATGGGAAGCCGGCTCATGGCCTGAACTGCAACATCCAGTCCGGGGCGAGATGCGAGGATGGTCACTCCCTGGCATCATCCAAAACCTACCAGGTGACGGGTAAGCCAGAAGACCTCCCGAAAGAACTACTTGCTAACAAAAAACAGCCCCTTTGTAGATGAAGGCGACAACAACATCAAGTTCCGACCAAACACCTCGATTCCACCCCACTTCGTCTACTGGCGCCCACCTATCGCAGAAAACTACGCCATTTCCCCACCCAGCCATATCAACAGCTTGCGTCTCAAGCCCTCGAGTCTGAATCTTACAGGCATTGATGGAAACTCACCCGGTCCCGGCGGTCAAACATTCATATCCCGGCGTCAAGTCGACACACTGTTCAATTTCGCTTTCGACCTAGATTACACCCCTAGTGCCCATGACGAAGAAGCGGGAATAACACTTTTCTTGACGCAGAACCACCACGCACGAATGGGCGTCACAATGCTCCCTCTAGCCAACGACAGCAGTAAACTAGCACCACACTTCCACTTCCATGCTATATCCTACATTCCCGTTCCTGACGACACAGTCGTCCCTGTGTACGCCTCCTGGCTTAACAAACCGCTCACGCTGAGTCTGAGAGCGGTGAACGTCACACACTATGCTTTTGGTGCCGGACCCGCTGACGGCAGCGTACCTATCCAGGACTTTGCATACGTAGGCGGTGATATCATCTCCTGGGGCTTCACGGGTGCGCTGGTGGGGGCATATGCGACGAGTAATGGGGGAAATGGGACGTCGGAGGCGTATGTTACGAATTGGAATTATCAAGGCTGGGGGCAGGTTAGGGAGAATTGGAATGGAACCGGAATCTACTGAAAGACACGGTTGATCGAATAGAAGCGACAGTAGCCACTTGTTCCAAAAGCGAGTATACATTGCCAATCAACTCCACTGAGCTGTTGTCTTTCTTATTGGTATGGGTTGTCTGGCTCCTGTCATCGACATTAACCCCTGGGCCTTAATCTCTTACATCCCGGCTCGAGTCTCGCACAACATTCTGTAGTACAGAAAGTATTTACCGGGTACGTTGTGCCTCAGTGTACAACTCATCACCCACCGGCCATCACCGAACCCCTGAGTGCCCATAAATATGGGTTTCTTCCACGCTGCTCTCGCCATTGCGAGTCGATGATATCACACCAGTCTCCGTCTTCTCATCCGAACACTGCACGCCCAGTCTGATCTTCGATGCACTCTACGTCGATCTCATACGGTCTGTGTAAGCATATTGCGTTTCTCCGTTTGCCGTTGTCAAAAACGAAGCCGAAAACCGCCGTTCATCAAGATTTAACTTCATCCTCAATGCGAATTGCCGCTTTGACTCCTACCTGCATCGCATCGCATCGCAGCGCGTTGCATTGCATATCTTGAGTGACCTGTACAACATGACATCGCCGTCGGGGTGCCGAAACCGCACGCCAAGCATGTAGGTACATGACGATCGTAGTTGGTGATGCTTTTCGTCATTGGTACTGTTGATGGATATTGATAAGTTACTTCAACGCAGATTTTGAGACTTCGTAAAGGCTGAAAATGCTGGTGGCTGGATGGCGACGGATAGGGCTGAGTCGCTAGTACATCTGCAGTTAGATCGGGCATGACATAAGCCCGATAAGGGGATGTGTTGCGGGGATGTCATGGTGGGATGTTCCGATGAGCGGGACACCGTCTAGCGCGCAAGTTGTCGTTCGCAAGGCGTCGTTGACGTGTGGCCTTTCTTTTGCGTTCCTGCATCTCGAAGACGCCTTCACAATTTTTTTTTTTCGAAGAGTGTGACACGTTACACCATGATGCTCGGTTTGTCGTTCTTCGCCTTGGGTATCCTTGTCCCAGTTCTCCTCATCGTTCAAGTGCTTATCAGCTATGTCCGCAATCCATTGCGCAAGGTTCCCGCTGCACACCCACTGGCGCGTTTTACCTCAATGTGGATGCATTCAGTTCGCTGGCGGGGTATGGAGAATGCGACATTGAAAGCAGCTCACGACCGCTTGGGCCCGATTGTGTGTTTGGGTCCCAACGAGATCAGCGTGAACTGCGTCAAAGGCGGGATCAGAGATGTCTATGCGGGAAGTTTCGAGAAAAGCAGTGCCAAGGATGGGTATAATTGGTATGGTTTCTTTTCGAATTATGGAGGGTGAGCACTGTCACGAGATCGACCGTGCGTTTATTGACTCATCGCAGAGTCGACAACATGTTCTCCACTGGACGCAACAAGCCGCATTCGCAGAGAAAGCGAATGCTGAGCAACATTTACAGCAAATCGAACGTCGCTGCAAGCGAAGCGCTGTTAGGTCAAACGTCTGAAGTCCTCTACAGACGCTTCTTGCCCTATCTAGAGTCGACATTTGCCGAGTGTGACAAGGGCGTTCTGAACATCTACGCATTGCTCAGCGCAACGACGATGGACATTGTGACGTGTTTCATTTTCGGGCTCAAGGCAGGCTCGAACCTAATCGATGACCGAAAGCAGCTCGCATGGTTTCTGGAATTGTACAATTCACGACGATCCTACAACTTCTGGCCACAGGAGTTCCCGCGATTTACTAGCTTCGTGGAGAAATGGCTAGGCTACCGACTGACGCCAAAGTGGGTCGATGAGGCAAACGGTGAGATCGAGAAGTGGACGGCGAGTATGTGCGATGATGCTGGTGCTGTCTCGACCAGAGGCGACGCACGGATTGAGGACCGGCCTGTGGTGTACCAACAGCTTCAAAACAGTATGGCAAAAGCGACGAAGGGGGTCGGGGACGACACACTGCAGACTCAGATTGCGAGCGAGGTGTTGGACCATCTTGCGGCAGGGTTCGACACGTCTGGGATAACACTGGTCTATGTTGTTCATGAGCTCTCGCGACACTTGGAGGTTCAGGCCCGTCTCCGGGCTGAACTGCTCGGTCTATCACCGCAGCCTGTACCTTCGTCCGCACCAAAGCTGCCGGATGCGAAGACGGTAGACAACCTACCCTTCTTACATGCAGTCATCTGGGAGACGCTCCGTCTTCACTCAGCCATCCCCGGCCCACAGCCACGGTTCACGCCACAGCAAGGCTGTCAACTCGGCCCTGAAGAGGCGTCGTACCATATTCCAGGTGGAGTAAGAGTGAGCGCAAGCGCAGGCCTACTGCACCTCAATGAGGAAGTGTTCGAGCGCGCAAACGAGTGGAGGCCAGAGCGGTGGCTGGACTTGGACAAGCTAGACGAGGAGAAACGGAAGGATATGGAGAGCCGATGGTTTTGGGCCTTTGGAAGGTCAGTACTGCTCGTCGAAGCACGTTGAACTCTGACACTTACTCTGCGCAGTGGCGGACGCATGTGCGTTGGAAGTCACTTGGCGATATATCGTAAGTGCTGATCCTTTATACTTTCTTTTTCTATGTGGACAGCCCTTATGCTAGCCCCACTTCCAAGAAAATGGTCGTAGATGCTGACTGAATTGCAGAGATGAAGTACATCATTGCTGTGCTGTATTCAAGCTACAGCACCACGATCGTTGATGACGCAGGCATCGAGCAGATAGATGCGTATACTGCACCGCCCAAGAGCGACAGGCTCCTGGTAAGACTCGAGAAGATGGTGTAGCAATGAAGCTTGTGTGGCTGGAGGCTGTTACCTCACTTGTTAGACATGTTTGGACCCTGATCTCCAAGGCCGAAGAAGGAAGGAAGCAACTGCCCCGCCGCACGTGCGGCCATATCTTAGCGGAAGTCGCAATGGGGAAAAGCATGTACACTGCCGGTAACCGTACGGCGAATTTTGAGTGTGGCCGGTTCACGCCGCTGGAGATGCGAACCATGGTAGAGCTGTGGGAGCTACACACTATCAAGCCAATCAACAACCATAGATGTATGCGCTACGTGGAGAACGCTGCGTGAAAATTCTGAGGAGGCGGTGAACTCATGTTCATCGTGCTGTGAAGACACAAGCACTTGAAGAGGCGTCTGTCAGTGCTCCGGTATGCTTCTTGTTTCATCAGGACGAGATGGAAGTCTGCTTGTTGATCTGCTTCTTCAGTCAACATGTCTGCATCAGCCTCTGCATCAGCTGCATTGAACCAGCTACCTTGCTAGCTCGAGGCAAAGTCACTGTAGTTCTGCCACAGGTTCCAAAGCCAATGACGCTCCGGAAGCTTTGCTCGCTCGACACCGGTCATGCAGCAACCCTCTGTCCAGGGATCATGTCCTTTTGCGCAGCCAGTAACATCTGTCTACCTACATCATACCCCCTTGGCTCGCATGAGGCCCACACATCGCACGCTGAGCTGAACAGCTCGTTGTGCGCTGATCGCCGATTCCTGGTTGGAACAGACTCTCGGGGCAACGTGTGCATGATACAATAGTGATCAGATTGACCTGACAGGCGCTGGAATTGCTGATGTACCGTGAGCCTGAATTGTTTGTGCGAAGTAATCGATGTGCATGGCGGGGTGATTGTGGAGAACTGTGACCAACGCGCACAGCAACAAACACGGAGTTAGAATTACTGTGGATCTAGATCTGGCCGCATACGAGGGGTAGTCCAGCCGGCTGTTCAAAGGTTGCGTTGCCAGGGCAGGCGAGTGCAGCTCTAGTACAACCTTTGGTAAAGTGCCGTGTCATTCAGGGCTGATGCGATAGATATTAGACAAAAGGCGACTGGCTCGAGTCTGTGATGCCTCTCGGTGTCGCAGGACGGTAGTTAGCGCTGACCGATGCAGGCAAGGAGGTTCTTTGTTGCCACAGCGGATCAGGAATACTTTCAAGTCTTTTCGAGCTACTAGCAGAGATCTTCCGCTGCGAGTACTGCTGGTGATCAAATAACCTGACATACCTTCCTGCATCCGCCGTAGCCACAAAAGGTGCCGTAGTTAGTTTACAACGGACATCGTGCCAACACTGGCTCGCCAACTTTCAAAGACAGAAAAGGAATGTTCAAGTGCTTATCGACTGACCGCCACGATGCAAACTCATCTCAAATCACCAGCAAGTGCATGATCTGTACAGATCAAGCCTGCTGATGCTAGCTAGTTAGTCAAACGCACGAGGGATGTAGTTGCAGCAAGCTGCCAGATCTTTGTCACGAGAGTATACTATGGCTGTTAGTGTGTAGCTCTGCGAACCAGACGCGTTCATGTCCTCATCGATCACCTTTGTGCGGCAGTTGTGAACGTGGCTAGGGCGCCTAAGACTTATTGCGTCCGCTGCGTACGGCTCAGCGGAATCAGGAGCCTAGTAGCGATTTGTTCCAAGATGAGCCCACTGTCTGTGCAGGCGAGATCTCGGATCCAACAACGCAGGGAGGATGCCCACGAGGTCTTTGTGATAGCAGTCATCGCACACACCCCACATCAACATGAGGGGCCCGCAGCCGTGAATGTAGGCGCTGCAGAGGTTTCCGGTCTTGCACACGGCTGAATGTGCCGCTCAGTTGCAGGCTGAGGTGCGTGTAACAAAGCACGAGGGCAGTCCTCCTCTTTGCGCGTGCGGTCCGACTCAACATGTGGGCGATATTCCAGAGTGCAGCACTGGCTAGTATCGCGATGTTCGGCGACGGTGAACCTCATCGCAGCCCGTGACGGCACTCAATGATGTCTGGACAAGTCTGGAAAGACCGAGCCTCCGCCAGAGTAAGCGAAAAAGTAAATTAAGCGCATACAAGATCGATGTTGGGACAATATTTGCAACATATCCAGAGGGCCAATAGCGGGAAGCACTCGTATCCTGCAGGAACAGCGGCATGTCGGCGCACGGAGAGTAGGACAAGACATAGGCCACGAGGGAAACGCGCCGGGACAATGAGACGATCAGTCGTAGAGGCGCAACAAGCAAGCTCCTAGCAGTCAGATCATCGTGCCTTGACGACTGCGACGGTTACCTGGCGATGGTGACCCGGGAAAGGCGCGCTAAGGACATGGTTGGCTATAGCCCTGCTGTCAGAGGTGGATTGCCGAGCTGAGGGTTTCGCAAGAGGCCCGCGGACTGCCCACTCGCTGGGTGTTTGTGGCTAAAGGGGTGTTGTACGGGGGTGTGGATGACGGTGTAACATCGTAGAATTTCTTTCATCAGGAGAACGGAGCATTCGGCGGTCTTCGCTTGGAATCGAGCTACATCCCTGCAGAAATCTTTCCAGCCACCGCACGATTTGACGGCGATCATCCTCCCCACATGCATCTTCATAGCCTCCAAACGACATCACCCGCCTCAGCCCGACGATGTGTATGCACCATGCGTCATTCCTCCTTTTGTTATGCAACACCCAATGGAGACACTTGATGCGCGGTTCCACGTCCGTTCCAGGGCCGATTGACGACAGGAACCACACCGGGCACTACATTGCAGCGTGCGTGCCGTCCACTGCAGTGATACCGACTGCGGAGTGGGTATCCTAGCTCGATGGTCCTGTCAGTTTAGCCCTCGAGTCCTGAGGCACGTTCCCGATCCGCCATGGTGCGCCGTCGGGAAGAGCGTGACAGCCGCCATGTGTGTGGACGTGTTCAGTACCACTGCACTCGCCTGCGAGTGGTCCCGACGGTTATGTTGGGGTCCGTTCAACTAACTCGAGAGCTCTGTGCCTCTGAGCTACGGATCAGAGGAACCGTAGCAACCAGGCCGGCGAACGGCGTGATGCTGAGATATTGGGCGTCGATGGGGCATTATATGCGACTTCTCAAGTAGAGTAGTTGCAATGGCTAAATTCCGAGCATCTCTGTGAGTGCCTACAGGCATGGGGCTCTTCCGTCGCATGCAACCGGGTCCCCCGTTCGATGCTCTTGCATAGTGCCCTCCCAACCCTAAACCTGGGATTGCCGTTGATTCCAAGCCGTCTTGCTATCCTTGCTCTGCTGCCGCACAGTCTGTGCAGCTAGGTCTGCCATCCGGCTGCATGGGATACCCTCGCTCTGGCAGTGCCTTCTAGCTCCAAATCAATCCTTGGGCACTCTTCGGCTTCATTTGAGAGTGCTGTGAGCATATACAACAGTCGCCGCACTACGGCACAGTATCTGCGACCAGCTTGCCTTCTTGTACCTCGTCCCGCCGTGCCGCACTCGCACGCTTACACATGCACCGTTCGGCTGCACAAGCTCCCACCTCCATCGCGAACCCGGTATTACGCTGAGTATTTACCGTCCTGTCGTTTTCGATTGTACACTCGACGTCATTAGCAAACGCATCAACCACATCGCAGACAGCTTCGGACTTGACCAGGCGCAAGAGCAAAATCAACCAGGACTGTGTCAACAAGCGAAAACCTTAGCTCCCAGAGGAACCGTGCCTACAGAAGAAGAAACAAGCCCAGACGACCTTCCATTGGCCGCACTAGAGCTTGTTCGCATGATTCACGCCGCCGCTCGTTCATCTCTTAGTACGCTAGCTCGGAGAGACCCTACAGCATTGATCGGCCGCGCTCGGCACCAGTTGCTCTTGAGACTAGACAGAGAGCGACGAATCATAGTCGAAGCCGCCACGGAGCCGTACGACGACTGTAGAGGAGCCCCGATTGAGACGAGTACTTCGAGGTACCCTGGCCAATTCTTCTATCTTGCGCATTGCTCTCGTGCGTCTTCCTTCTTGAGCCACGGGACATCGCTCTCGAGGCACTCTCCTTCTCTCTGGAATTCACTTCTCATCTCACGCTTTTGACAGACTTCTCTAATATTGCCCTGCCGACACGTCATCGCTGCTTGACTGGTCGACCAGCACGACACTAATATCATCGAAGCCGTTAGAGACGGCCCTCTTTGTTGTCATATTCGAATATTCTCTACCACGGATCGATACCAAACCTGAGTAACCTCGAGCTCAATCGAACAGCTCCCACTCGAACTCCGGCAGGTGCTATGCCTTTGGGCAAAACCGCGACAAGTACAGCCTTTTACAAACTCGACACTGCAAGTTCTGGGCGACGCAGGTGCAACACTCTTTGTTGTTGTTGATTATACGTGCGCCACTTCCCGTTTGAAAACTACGGTCCAGTGTGGAGCAGACCATATCTCCGCAGGCGGGCCTTTAGCTCGGTCCCGTTGAGACGACGGCCAGATCCACTCCCGCGCAAGCCATTCGCATACCGAAGCCGTCCAGAGGTGCCTTCATCTCCAAAAACGGCAGCATAGAAAAACGCATTACTATCACCGGTGCTTAACTGGATCGTTGAGAGCAGGCAGTCGCGCTCCGCCACAGTTTCTCCGAAAAAGGGCCCAGCACCCATGGTTACGGTGGTCCACACGCACTTTCATCGCTCATTACCACCACTATTACTGGACACGCAGGAGTTTGGACGGTACAGTGTCTCCACAGAGATTCTATCCTTTGTCCGATAAGCTGCATCGCGCGCATCATCACCACTAATACGGCAAGCAGGGCCTTTGGACTTTGGGCGGTACAGTGCCTCCGCAGTCACTCTACCCTTGGTTCGATAGGCCTGATCTTACGCATTAATCACACACTCCGCTAGCGGGATGGAATAAGTTCCCAAATGTTTTTACGAATTCTCGACCATCCTACTTCATTCCACTTCCACATTCTTGGGAGTATCTAAGATTCTCTGGGAACCACTACCACGATCGTCCAGCTCTACTATGGAGCGCCGGACTATGAACACGATGTCTTCCATGTTCCCGCACTCGATGCCGCCGTACAACTATCAGCCCTACTACCAGTCGAGCATGCCTGTTCCACTACCGGCCGCCGCTCCTGCCCCCGAACCTCTACGCCCTTTGAACTACCAGCAGACTATACATGTTCAGCAACCAGCCGCTAATCCTGGCCCCGAACATCTACGTCCGTCAACCTGCTACTTGCAAGTCCGCCAACAGCCTATCGAGGCGCTCGTCACTGTCAAGGGCAAGGAGAAGTTTCGGAAGCCCGTGGATCCACCACCGATCGTAGAGCTGAAGCTTACTAACGGGGCCGATCCTTCGAATACCTTCTTACAGAACCCCTACATCTTCGTCAGTGTATCTTTATACAAACCAGATAGAGATGAACCCGTCGAATTCACCCCAAACGACTCGTTGGCAGGCACTCTGGTCTCCTCCCTACATAGACTCAAGGATATTGACAACAAGGACGGCGGATTCTTTGTCTTTGGCGATATCTCTGTCAAGATTCAGGGCAGCTACAGACTGCACTTCACCATGTATGAGTTTCTGCCCTTACAAGGCGAGTTTCAATCTCTCTACTCGATTTCCAGCGACAAGTTCAAGGTCGTACTGCCCAAGGACTTCAAAGGTCTCGACGAGTCGACGTACCTGTCGCGGGCGTTCTCCGATCAGGGTGTTAGACTCAGGTTGCGCAAGGAAGCGAGGGGGATGATGAGCAACAAGAGAGGTTATCAGGCAGAGACAGAGTCGACCCAGCAAGCGCCTATCGCCCCCAGCTACGATTACCAGGCTCCGAAAAGAAGGAAGGAAGACTACGTCGACAGCCCTGTCATTTCAAGCTCTGCACCACGCATCAACAACAGCATGCTCATGACGCCTTTCAACTACCCAACATACGCTCCGTACAACCCATACAATCCCCTCCCATATACGCAACAACCAACGCAAGACTACTCGTTGGCGCCTCCATTCGAGCCGCACGAAGACACTAACTAGGAGGACGTCAAGGCCCAGCATCACACGCACACATATGAGATACCCAGCAACAACTTCGATATTCCCACTATCACGCGCCGGCGTTCTCCGCTCGATTGTAGCCAGGTTTTCTGATATGTTTGTCTCACCCCCTTTCTTTTTATGACTATTATAATGAGCGGTTTCTTGTGGCCCTCAGCATGGTGTTATAGTATGCGCACAAGGCATTTGGGTATAGAGTTTCTAATCACGACAACAAGTTATGTTCTTCTCTTTCTTTTCTATTATATCGCGCTACGATACTAGGTATCACACTGTCATGGAGGGAGTACTGGGTTTAGCTCACCTTGGGATCAAAAAATTAACCACCCACTGAACGTAAAAATATCAAAATTGCAAACTACTCATCGGAGTCCCGTGAATGATGTGCTTGGTGATGCAACGTGCCTTTGCATCGCAACAACCGATGCCGTACCTGCAGCTCAGATACGCACTACCACCGTGTGCAAGTCCTGGACGATTTGGAAGACAAAGGCAGCCAGTCGGCTTGATACCACACAGCCGAGCACTAGAGTCACATGCGAATTTGAACTGTAGATCCGTTGCGTGCTTCGTCAGACTTGCGCTTGAGAGATCGACACTCGCGAAAACCTGCCTGGTGACATCGGGCGATGCGGTGCAGTAGAGCTTCGGATTTTCCCGCAACAGCTGACGAAAACGATACCATTTTGGTGCGGCATTTACCTGGAACACAGGCCACAAAATACGAAGCAAAGATCGTGTGCTAGATCTGGGATCTCCAAGTTGGGCTTCACTCTGATCGCGCAGTGAGCAACCTGCCGCTACAGAGACAGCGGACAGACAGCCAGGACGTTGGAGAGTGTTCTTTGGCACACGAGAGACCCTCTACCCATCGTACAGCTCTGTGCAACCGCGGAATATCACTCTTCGAGACCCAGTCCGTCCCGCAGCTCCACCAGATATACAGGTCATGCAGATGCGTTACACTACACCTACCACGGCCATCGACCAGCACAACAAGAAGTCGGTTATGGTACGGCTCGCTCCAGCCCTCCCTGTCTATATTCTAACTGTCCCGTCCATCACTACCGGCGCAAGCCACCCAGCCCCTCGTTTCCGCTACCCTCCTACCATCCCAAATCCCCTCTTTGTGTTCTCCGAGCCACTGTGCCCAACTCAACGCCACACAGCGCCCTAAACCTTCTCACGATTGCCGTTTCAAACTCAGCACCTCAGGGATCATCCATCCCCACTTTTTCACCGGCTGTATGACTGTTTGAGGTATGGCGGCGAGATGACGTGCATGAGAATTTGGTCTCGTGATTAGTGCATGAGCTAGGGAACGGTTGGGCTGAGAGAGTTTGGTGGCTTGGCGGGACGGGAAGGGGTGATTGGTGGAGGGTTTGATGATAGCGAGGGGTTGAAAGGGGAGTTCGGAGACAGCGAGATGTATGGAGGGTGAGAAGGGGAATCAATAGCGTAGTGGCTAGAGGTGGTCTGGTCATTGTGGGAGGGGGAATGGGTTTAACAGTCCATTTGAACTATGTAGTAGATGAGTAACTACATGTGAAAACTCGCTGCACTGACTAGGTTGAAGCTACAAGACAAATGCCTGGGATGGCGAGACTTCATTTCATGCTATGTTTCCACAGAACGTCTTTCTTCTTCATACGATGCAGGTCCAATGTGTTCCATCTTCTCCAATGTCCAGACGCTAGACGACTGTCGAAACGAATATGTGAAAAGACTGCCTAAACGGCATCGGGACGACAAAGTCGAGTAGGAGATTTCGGATACATGGCTGAGATGAATGCTGCCAGATATCTAAGTATACTTGGCAGTCACTGATCCGTACCGGATACCATTGACCAAGACAGAGTACTCAAGAGACGACTGGACTGACAACTCAATGTCGTAATTGAGCTTGTAGTACATGACGCCAGCGGGACTGTAATCACGCCTGAATGCGCTCTGGGGAACACTGCTCAGGTCGACATGGAGAGTTGCTACGGTGTACACATCCTGGTTCTTGTCAGTATAGTCGGAATTTCACATCCCGCACGTAAACCGACCTTATCCTTGGAGCGTAGAGGAGCCCTATCCGTATCTGACGCGATCAAATCGATGCTGGCCGAAGGCCTATCTAGAGACCAGAAACGATGGAACATTTCGATCTTGGCATAAGTGTCGGTGTTGGTAGAGAGATTCTGACCCTTCTTGAGCATCCAGTCGACCTGAGCATCAGCCCACTTCGTGCCCGTAAACGAACAGATGTAGCTATCAGTCTCCCGATGCTTGGTGGGGCGGAAGGGATAACTACAAGCGGTCCCGTAATGCCTACGGCACTTACGATTCTTGATCTGCGCGCGACCACCTCCTTCGAGACCCTTCACGACAGCACCGCGAACGATGGAGGACCAAGCGTTTGGAGGCCGGATTGCTTGCAGGCCGTGGCCTTCTGCAAATGTCTGGATCTTATCAAACATGTATGGCGACTCGGCAAGGCCGCCGACCAACACAATGTAGTTGATCTGTACCTTGCCACTGAGGCGTGCTTGCTTCATTTGCTCCAACAAGAGCTCATAGGTGCGGCGAAGGGAAAACCCGAACATATCCTCCATATCGTTGCTGATAGCTTTAGTATGCATTGGGTTTGGGGAAACAGAACACTTACGGTGTAATCAGGATCTCGCCATCGATAATGCCTCTAACTGAATCCTCCTCAATGGCGCTCAAAGGAGGCGGAAGACGTATGTAGTTCTTCTGCTTTCCTGAGAAGCCGCCCTTGGCTCCTAGAACGAAATCTTGAAGCATCTTGCCCAACTTCACAGGCATAGATGTGTGTGGAAGCTCTTCGCTCCTGCTGCCAGAGATCTTTGCGAAATCGACCGTGCCTAGACGGCGCTCTAGCCAATGAATGAAAGCGCGATCAACAAAGGTACCTCCGCATTTATCACCTCCGCCGACAGTAGCTTCTTCAAGGATGGTCGGTTCAAGTTCAGCAACACGGTATGAGATCAGGTCCACAGTACCACCTCCCATATCACAAACGATGAATCCATCCCCGATCGCGAAGTGCTTGTCTTGAATGCCACCACGCAGCGACTGAATTGTATAAATTGCGGCGGCTTCTGGCTCAGTGATGGTGACTACCCTCTTCAGCTGCGGAAATCCGTAGTTGTTAAAACCAGCTTGACGGACCGCCTCTAGCGTACGGTCTTTGGCAGCATCAGACCATACAGCCGGAACGGTCACCACCAATGTGATGGGAAGGGTCCTCCACAGCTCTGTACCATAGCGTCGGTCGAGATTCTTGACTAGGTGTACCTTCACTTCTGCAAGAAAGTCGGAAACAACTTGTACGGCTGAGTCCTGGGCACTGTTGGCGTTCGATAGCTTGGTTGAATCTTCAAGCTGTTGAGTGTCGAGCTCAAGCTTGGTCCAGATATGACGCTGCACGTTCGGGGGAATGAGGGCGCCGTACATGATACCATCTTCTGTATATGAGATCTCGCTCGGGACTTGGTCCTTGGTACCGACTATGGTATGGCAAGAGGGCCAGTCTTGAATGACTTCGATGATCTTTTCGGCTACGCTTGTGTCGGAGGTTTCACAGAAGGCGACACCTGTGTTGTCAGTCCCAATCTAGATTATAAAAAACGGTAACACAGAACTTACCAGTAAAGGTGCAGCCGTAGTCAAGACCGATCACCAGCCTGCTACCCATCATGGTGGATGAACGACTGTTCGCGTATGCAAGAAGAATGATTTCGTTCTCGTGTAAAGGTTGGTGTGTTTGTGCAGAACGATCGTAAAGATAATAGCAACGAACAGCTGAAATTTTCCGGCTCAAAGTGAAGGTGAAGGTGAGCGTAACAGAAGAGCGCTTCCGTTTGTTGCGCTGATACACCGCTAAGGAGACCCTCCTGCGATCGTACGCTTGCGACCTACCCTACACCTATATCAAACGTTGCTCAACATCACTGCTTGTCTTCGCACACTTAAAGAGATGGTGAGAGGAGATTCGGCAACCACAGCAGCAGTAAGTGACCGAAGCTCTTCTCAACTCCGCTTGCTTACAAACCGCTTTCAGAATGCCGCAGTTATGGGCAACGTCGTGTCTTTCCTATCACCCCAGAACGATAGCCGTCCCGAAAGCGATAGCAACAACAGACACGACATGGGCACACAAGCGGTAGACAGGCTGATGGCAGCTAGAAACAAAACGGAGATCGCTGTCACTATCGACCGTAAATTCGATGGGCATGAACGACCGCTACGAGAGCAGCTAGAACAACAGAACGACATGTTCCAGAACTTGCATTTGAAGTACGAAAGCATCAAAGAAGCATACAAGAAGATGCGCGATGAGCGTAGTGAGCTTCGAGAGCAGATTGAAAACCTTCATCAGCATCTACAAGCCCTCGAAATAGAAAGCCACTACACTACCACCCGATATAACTATCTCGTCGAGAAGGTTGTTTTACCATATGCGGAGTGTCGAAATCTTCAATGGGACGAGCAGACCGCAGAGACAATCGACATCGTCGTGGACCCTCTAATCGCAGATGCTCTGCAGGCTGATAGCCTGCGTGAACAAAAGGCCGCATTGCAGAGAGAGCTGCTTGCTGGAGTCGAAAAGGGAGAAGTGACGACTGACGAGCACTTCGCGCAAGAATACCGCAACCTTGCCGGTCTTATCAAAACGTCGAGCCGTAGCATTCGTCTCGAACCCGACGTTGATGTGATCGGAGCTCTTGGTTCTGTCGTCCTACTGAAAAACGTCGCAAGAGGGGAGCGGATGAGTCGTGTCCAGAAGAAATACACGATAGAAGCATGGACTTGGTCAGTCTTGCTCGGTCTTGTCTTCCGAGACCCTTTCATTATGTTTGGGACCATGACTGAAATATTAAGGAGTCTCTGGTCAGTATTGTTCGATAGACTTCCCGACCACGACTGGCCGGCTCCGTCCGTACTCTGCGAGACATGGCGCTACACCACGATGGAGAGGCTGGTGGGCGGTATTGTCGATCCGAAAATCATCACACAACGAATGATGAAGGAGAAGTACCAACCCTTGGAGCAGAGTCTGATAAATGCTCGAGACAATGTCGTCGAAGTCATGAACATAGGCCTGGCAGCGGTTTCCTCCCAGATCGATGTCTCTGAGCTCCATCAGATCGTGGATAAGGCCTTTGAATTGACTATGCACATGTCGTTCCAGCGCGCCCGCTTTCAAGTTACCTACCCCAGAATCGGCGACGAGTTCAACCCACAGTCGATGAAGTCCATCCCGGGCTCCGACGGAGAAGAATTAAACGAAGGAATCGTCGCTTTAGTCGTCAATCCGGGCCTGACCAAATGGGGCGATGCGCACGGCAAGAACCTCGACCACCGTTACGACATCGTCGCATCTCTAGTCCAACTCGAAGCAGTCGGTGAGAACGATGTGGACACAGCATACGATTACACTAACTCTCTGCCCCGTAACTTCGAAATTGCTGTGCCTCCTCAGGAGGACATGAAAGCTCGCAGGCCCTATCATGAGAGCCAGTGTTGACAGGGATCAAGAGATCCACGACACGAGAAGTTACTGACTTCTAGAGCTTAAAGAAGTGGTCGAAGGACAGCGGGTTGTCGAGTTTAGAATGGAACAGGAGTGGCGGATGTACTGGAGAAGCACATGCATACTTGTACGACTCTGCACCGTTTCTAAGGAGTCATTCCGTCATTCCGTTCTCAGCTCTAGATAACTAATACAGAAACTCATCTGAGACAATCATCATGATGCTGTGCGGCTATGATGATGACGTGTATGCACGCGTTGAGAGCATATTTCAAGAGAATAAAGTGCAAGTTAATGCCTTATTGTCTCGCGGACAAACAAACTAAAAATGGACGAAGTGACCAGTGTCTTCTGATGCCGATGACATTAGATATAGGAGACGAGTCGCGATCGGAATCGAGATGAGAGTGAATGTTCACGTCAGAGGCGCGTCCGAGCGAGGCCATTTCCGCGGCTAGCGCAGAACGCGTCGAGCCCGTCCTCCATACTGCACCACCACGAGCTGTGCAAGCACCCGTACTCACGCATGCCAATTGCCCTTCTGCCCTACTCTTTATTTTAATCACGTCTTGTATTATTCTCCCCACAAATGCTGAGCATACAATAAGCTTCACACCGCCCCACCAGCCCCTCTCAAATCCCCCGACGCGTCTTTCCGCGCGTTTTCCCTACACCTGCACGCAGGGCAAACCACTTTACCGCCACCGCCATGTACCTCCCGCGAAACCTGATAGCCCACCTATACCAGAACCTCATAAAACGCACACATGCCGCCGCACCGCCAGTTTTGCTCCTCGTCGCCCTCGAACCAGACGCGCTTTGTGCCTGCCGAATACTCACCGCGTTACTGAAGCGCGATTACATACCCCACAAGATACAACCCATAGCCGGATATGGCGACCTCTCACGAGCGGCAGAAGACCTGGTACGGCCCATGCGGACAACAGACGGTGGAAGCGGAGGCGTGGTCATATGCTTAGGTGTGGGAGGCATGGTGGACATGGAAGAGATACTGGGTCTGGATGTGGATGAAAATGGAGAGGGTGGAACGGGCGACGTAGAAGTTTGGCTCTTGGATGCGAGGCGGCCGTGGAATCTTACCAACGTCTTTGCCGCGCCCATAAGTCAGGACCCCGCAACGGGAGAGTTTGTGCGGAGACAAGCGGGGGTGGACAAGGGCAAGATCCTACACTCGTACCAGTCGTCAAGAGGTGGAATCATAGTCTTTGACGACGGCGATATCGAAGAAGAGCTGCAGGCGGAGCGTGAAGCATATGCCGGTCTTGAAGAGATGCCAGAGGTGGGAGAGGAAGACGACATTAGCGATGACTCGGACGATCAGGATGATGAGGAACCGGCGTCTGGACAAGCACCAAAGAAGAGGAAGTCATGGGGCGAGGAGGACGACTCTGAGGATGAGATGACAGACGATGAGCGACCAGCACAAAGGCGGAGGAGTAATTCAGTGGGTCTATTCATTGTTCAGAAGGAGGAGCATGCTAACAGTAACTAGGGAGGCTCAATTCCATCGTCACCCGAACCGAGACGGCGAAGAGGATTACTGGTAGCGAATCAAATAGGCGGCTCCTCCGATTTCTCTCGATCAGATTCCCGCAGCCGCTCTGCATCCCCCTCGGTAGCCGCACCGAAGGAGAAGTCGTTGAAGAGTCTACGAAGGCAGCTGATCAAGAAGCGGAACAAGTACGCCTCCACCCTCGACAAATACTACGGGCTCGGCACCTCCTACTCAGACCCTGTCTCTTCCCTCGTATACAATCTGGCATCAGAACTCGGCCGCGAAGACAACGACCTGCTATGGAACGCCATCGTTGGTGTCAGCAGTCTGGAGCTATACGGACGGACAGGAAGCGGTGTTGGCCTCAATCCTCTCTCAGCACAAGGCGGTTCAGCTGGATGGAACGGGAACCGAGGAGAGAATATCCGCTCTGTCTTGCGAGACGAAGTGCGACGATTAAACCCTGTCACAGACGCCTCAAGTGTATCTCGTAATGCAACATTGGGCGAGGTATGGGGTGTGATCCCCACAAGTGCTCTTTCCGCAACAGACAAGTCTATCCGCCTCTCTCCCGAACCACGATTCCTCCTCCTTCGGCACTGGTCTCTTTACGAGAGCATGCTCCACTCGCCCTACCTTTCCGCGAAACTACACATCTGGAGCGACGCAGGACAAAAGCGACTTGCCAAGCTTCTTGCGAAGATGGGCGTCTCGCTCACTGAGTGCAAGCAAAGATATACACACATGGACATGGAGCTCAAGCGTGGCCTCCGAGAACGCCTCCTGAAGTTCGCTCCGCAATACGGTCTCGACGGCCTCGTGCCGCCAAAGTCAAGCACAGGCGACCCGAAGGACGGCTGGGGATTTGTACGCTGCTGGGGGTGGAAAGCATGTCTCTCCGCCATCGACGCTGGTGTCGTCCTGGGTGCCATCCTCGAAGTCGGCGACGCAAAGAACCTCAACCAATCGGCCTTGGACAGCTCGAACTTTGTCGGAGCCAACGACCACACTGAGATGACATCGACTCAAGAACAACAAGACCTTGCCCAGGAACACATCACAAGCCGCTTCTGGACGGCATACGATGCCTTGGGCGACATAGACAAGCTCGTCGAACACATTAGCACAGCTCAACACCTCCACCGTGCCATCCTCCGTACAGGAACCGCCCTGATTGAGAAGAGGCAGATTCGCCACCTTCGCGCCTTCCGCATGGCCGTTGTGAAAGAAGGCCCTGATGTACGACTCTTCACTCACCCTGGTGCCCTTACTAAGCTCGCTCTCTGGATTGCCGAAGCTATCGTCGAACTCAACGGCACAAAAGGCAAGAACAAAGGCAGTGAGCTCGTCATGGCTGGCCTGGATGACTCGCGAGGTCTGTACGTCGTCGTTGGTCTCGGAGGAGGTGGTGCCACCGAGTCAGCAAAGTCGCGTCTCCAGAAACGCGAAGCGAAACTCAAAGCGAAGGAAGCGAGACAGCTTGAAAAGGCCGAGGCAAGGGAAAAACGACGCAAAGCACGTGTTGCACGGAACCTCGCTGCTGGCCTTGAAGAAGATGAAGTGGCAGATGACAGTGAATCCGAGGAGGAGGAAGACGACTCCTCGGACAACGATTCTGACGATTCAGAAGATGAAGATGACAATAGAGGATCGGGAATGAACAGATTCGGCAACGCGTTCCAAGAAGTCGTTAGAGAGACAGGCGCCAGAGTGCGCATGGACAGTTTCGAAGCGTGTGTGATTGAGATTAAGAAAGAAGATTTGAGTGGATTCTTGGAGAAGCTGAGCCAAAAGGCCGTTGTTGGGTAGACGTGCACCGTCCTCCACGTAGAGAGATTTCTTTGTGTTACTGTTCTGGCGACGATATGGGTTTGGCACAGAGGCAAGATACCACTTTGAAGGCATCAAGGTTGGGGTTTCGGGCACAGCGTTTGCATGCATGACATGGCATTTTTGGGTGGGAATATCCATGTAAGTTTATTTATTGATTGGAGGCATATTCGTAGGCAGGGTGAAATGTACAAGCGATGACCTTTAGAAAGTACTTAGCATAGCAAGCAAATCGTATTCATGCATAACAAGTCCAATTTCAACCGACTGGAAGAAAGGAAAGTGGTATCTTTAGTACTAAAGCACAAGCAAAACCAACACACCGCTCCCGCCAGCTACTGTCATCGCCCCTGAAAACTACTTGGTATACGACCGGTCTTTCCTGCCTATGATCAACTCTTCGCCATCCTCGCCGTCGTCCCAGCTTCCCTCTCCGCTACTCCTCCTCTTCCTCGTCCTTTGCTTGACACCGTCCGTCAACCTCCTCTTCACCTCGTCCAGATTGCCATCAATGGTACTGAAAGGCTTGAGCTGGAAGCCGCTCAAGTTCGCACTGCTGCTATTCCTGCTGCGGCTCTTCTTTGGCGTCTGTGGTCTACTAGAAAAGAAGTCCTGGTTGGCAAGATCGTGGAACGACTCGTTGCGCGGTATCTCGTTGATGGAACCAGGCGAAGCAGGGTAATCGTATGTCTCGATGTCTTGGCCTGCTTCTGTCTTCGCGTCCTCGTCTGACTTTTGCGGCGGTGTACGGTCGTGCTCCTGCTTGACAAAAGGATCCTCGACGATACGCTTCGAGTGGAAGTCCTCGTACATCTCCGGTCCGAGTTCGTTGATAATGTCGTTGACACGCTGGGCTAGATTCTCGCGTCGCTCCTGTAGCTTGACGAGTTCGCTGTTGGAGAAGGGGTTCATCATCTTCCAGAGGGGGCCCAGTGACTTCAAAATGTCCATGGCGACCTCACCGAATCGGAGAGCGCCATATGTAAGGGTAATATAGACAACGAGTTGAGGAAGAATGAGCCAACGCTTCTGGATGCCGGCAGGAAGGTAACCGTTGCAGTTGTTGTAGGAGTACCAATAGAGTCCTAGGCAAACGTACCAAAGGTAGGCTGCTGGGGCGGCGGCCATAGCGACGAGAAGCTTCCATGTGGCCATGACATCTCTGGCTTGAACCTTGACGTTCGATGCGGCGAGTGCCTCTTTCGCCTTCTTGATCGAGACGACCTTGGTGACGATAAAGACCAAACTGAAGAGTAGCGTTCCAGGAAGGACGAGCATACTCAGGAAGAGGAGCTTTCCAAGACGGTAGAAGAAAAGCCCAAATGCTGTAATAGGATGCATCTTCGCATACTGCACTTGGTGATCCCGGAGGCCGAGCGCCTTAAGCTTGCCGTTGTACGTGGTGACCTCTTTCTTGAGCTCGACAATGCGAGGGTCGTCTTTGTAGCGTTCGTAACCTTGGACAAGGCGGCGGTTAAGCTCGACAATCCTAGGAAGAGGGAGCTTGGTGCCTTTGGAGTTGTAGAGGCGGCGTACAGCTTGAATGACCTGAGAAGAGTCAGTATCGATAGAGCATATGGGAGCGTATTGAACGCACCATAAGAGTATCGTAATCTGGTGTCGTAACGGTAACAGAGATGAGTCCTTGGCGAATGGTCTCCAACATCTCGCCGATGGCCTCACGTCTTCCGGGTCCATCAAACTTCTGAGCTAGCTCAGGCGGCACGTGGATTGGCGTACCAAACTCGATGACAGCCCTTGATCGAAACTTGTGGGCGTGGAAGTAGTTCATGCCGACAGGAATAATGTTCAAGTTGCAGTCTGGCTTCGTTGCAACTGTACCGAGCGCCATGATAGCAACACCAGCTGAGGTTTATCAGTACGCAATCCACTACCATTGTTGGATTACTCACCTTTCAGAGGTAGGAGATCTGTGCGGTCATGGCTACCACCCTCAGGGAAGATACCGATGCTTCCACCGTGATGGAGAACCGCATGAACCGCGTCGTAAACCTCGGTTTGATCGAGCTTGGGCGCGACCTGGAAGGAAGTTCCCTCGTAACCATCAGCAATACCCTTCTTTGCATCAGCACCGCCAACAAATGTGCCGTCCTTGGTCATGTCATTTCGCCCAGTCATCTGCTGCATGGCAACACCTCCCTTGAAGCCACGCTTCAGTCTGATCTCTTCGGGGCCTTTGATCTCGAGTATCTCAGCGGTCGCCGCCTTATTATCTACTTTGGGCAGGACGATCGAGCCGCCGACTTGGAACTTTGGATCTTCGAAGTTGGTGCCTACACCGCGAACAAGGGCTGGATCGTTGATGGGATCGGGAAGGTATACTTTGCCCTCTGCAGGCTTCGTCATATCCATGGCTCTTCCTACAGGCACGACACCTGTCAAACCTGCCATTGCACCCACAAACTTGCGCTTCATCGACTTATCGGCGATTAAGAACTGGATTCGGCGGTCGGATTCTTTCTTGACGACTCGCATCAACATGAGGGGGTCAACAAACTGCCATCCGTTAGCATGCTCCTTTGCGCGACACGATAGCATTGTGCCTCACCTGGTTCGCATGCGGGGCGCACACGAAAATGACCGGTCCCTCCTTTGGCACCTTCCAACTACTCCTGGGATGCACTTCTCGGAAGAAGAGCTCCACCAGGATCGAAAACGTCCACAAGAAGGCGTCGTAGACATATTTGTTCATGACGGCGAGCTTCTTGCCCTTCGCATCTCTCTTCTGGGTTGCCATGGCGGCTGCCTAGACCACGAGTATGCTACCAGCGGCCGTGAGAGAGGTGGTATGCGCCACCGAAAGAGCAAGGTTGGTGTAGCCTCCTATGGCTGTGTGCGATTGTATGTGGGTTCCGGGGTGATAGCGATAGCGAACGAGGGGCGACGGGGGTTGGATGTGCGCACTGCAAATCACAGTCGCTGACGATGAAGCTGCGTTGAGAGCTGCAAGGTTCACGTTGGTTAGCATGCAGGTGCAGACTGAGACATGTTGTCACGCACCTTCACGTTCTAGCACTTTCTCTACAGATGTCGCGTGTAGAAGAACATCAGGCCACAGTAACTTCCGATCCTGCGCGGACACGTGAATAGCCGATACCCGATCAGCACGCTTTGTTGCTGAGGATGACAAGCTTTCAACAGCGCGTATCCGGAACGCTATTTCGTTGTTGAGCTCGGATATGTGGAGGGTTGCAGATATCGGCTGGGGTAGTGGGATGGTTCCTATGTCATCGCACGTTAATTGTTGGCGGCCTTCCCTAGTGGGGTAGTCGCCTGCGCCCATCGCCGAAAATGTCACCCCCGGAGACATGCCAGACCGATGAAGCGATTTGACAGTGCGTACTTTGCAATTCTTCAAATTTGCCATCATATCACGCAAATGCTCAAGCGGGTACTACAATAGTCACGTGTGCATTCTGCCAGATAAAAGGACCAATATACATTTTGTAAGATGCCGTCAAGCGGCCCGGGAATATGGTGGTCTATAAAACAAGAAGGGTATATGTACAAGAAAGAAGAAGAGGATGTGAGGCAATGTGCGCACTGGTGCTTACACCATTGCGAAGGCCATTGCGGCCACTACGGCAGCCAAAACCGAGCTGCTGGTGAGCATAGAGCCAGCGCCGAGGAACTCCGCTGGGGATGTCGAGCTGGGCAAGCTGCTGTTAGCAGGCGGCGCCGAGATCAATGTCGTAGAGACGGGCGGTACGACAGGAGCAGGAGAAGAGTCCACCAAGAGACCTGAAGTCGTAGATGCTGCCGGAACGTATACAGTCTCAGTCACACTAGGTGTGCAGCTGCTTGTTGAGGAGGCGCGCGAGATAGTCACAGTCCTGGTCACGTTGCGCACGCAGCTAGTAGTCGCGGCAGCGTTAGACTGACCAGCAGGCTTGTCTGAGGAGGATGGCTGAGAGCTCGCAGCCGATGTGCTTGTAACAACGACTACCGAAGAAACCACCACGGTCGAAGCAGGTGCTTGAACTGCTTCGGGAATCTTCGATGAGACCAATTCGGGAGCCTCGCTAGACGGCGCCTCGCTGGATGGGATCTTGCTCGACGAAGGGGCCTCGACAACTACGCTGGATACAGGGGCAGCTTCGCTAGTAGCAGGTACCTGGCTGGAGACAGGAGTAGCGGATGAAGGGGCTGGTGTCGAGCTGGACTCGGGGGTAGCGCTAGTCAATGGCTTCGGCGCGCTGTTGTTCTTCGCAGGAAGAGTACCTTTCTGGATCATCAGAAGAGCCTGGGTGACTTCCAAGGCTGACAGCTGTTGACCGACACCAGAGGTTCCGTCCCAGCTTCCAGTGTACCACTTGCTACCGCATGTAGCGCCATCAGGGCCGCCAGAGCAGGATTTGGCAGCACCGACCGCAGAAGCCTTCAGGAATGGAACAATCTTTTCCTTGGTAAAGGGGGCTACCATTGCAGTCTTGGCAATGAAGCGCGAGAGGTATGCCTTGAAGGACTGTTGATCGAGATTGCAGGGGCGGTTGTTCTCGCCTGTCTCGCAAGCCCACTCGTACATGATGTCCGTGGCGTTCTCAAAGGGTCGGAAGAACAGCAACTCGGCGTGGTCCAGGAAGCCCGATGTACGCTCCTTCCAGGTGTCGTCGCCATTGGTGTAGTCGTACATGAAGGCTGATCCGTGAAGGAACATGGCGTTGTTGTAAGTCCACTGAGTCTCGTCTGCGACCTTGGCGCAGTTGGTCTTGTCGTCTGTCCCGTCAAACACCTCGTACTTGTCGGTAATGAGTCCGACCTTCTTTGTCCAGTCGTAGATCTTCACAGCCCAGTCGGCGTACTTTTGCTCGCCAGTGTAGCGGGCAAGGCGTGCACCGAGAGCGAAAGCGCATCCGTTGGAGATGGAGTTCTTGTAGTTGTAACCGTATGCGTTTTCGGGGTAGATCTGCCACTTGAGGCCTCCGTCGCAGGAAGTCTCGTCCCAGCGGCCAACAATGTTCTCGAAGGCGTTTGTTGCGACCTCGAGGTAGCTCGCGGGCGCCTGAGCGGGATCAGGGAACTGATACTCGAGCGCACTCATAACGGCAAGCGCCCAGAAAGCCTGGTCATCGTTGCCAGTTTGGCTCTTGCGGTAAGACAGGATGAAGTCGTTGTCGGGGCCATAGTTGGCAGTCAGGGCCTGCTGGAGGGTCTTGACGTGCGAATCGTCTCCCGAAAACTGGCTGTACTCTATCATGCCACCCCATGCCGCACCGCCTTCCCACCAGTAGTGGGGTTGGGGCCAGATGCCTATATCTTCCTTGGCTACACCTGTGGCGTTGCCCTGGTACATCGACATCAGACCGTACGCATACTGCCGAGTAGCGCTGAGAATGGACGCTATTCAAGTCAGCTCCGGAATTGTAATCAGGAAAAATATCCTCACCCTCATCCTCCGGGTCAAGCTTGACACCGCCGGCGGTTGCAGTCAGAGTAGCAAGGAGCGCAGCTCCAGTAGTAAAGTACTTCATGTTGGTTGAGAAACGAATGGGTAGAGTTCAAAAGAAGGTAAGCGACTACAAGTCGAAAGAGAGAAAGGAAGGAAAGTAACGATTGTATACACCGCAGCTGCAGGCAGAATGTGAAGTGAGAGAAAAGCAGCCATAGTGAAGGACGGGGCTAGGCATTATCTACAGATCTGACTCGCGTGGACCCATTTCTTCGGTGAATGAAGTCGGGGGAGGAGCGCGCGGGTGAGAGCAGGGATTGGGTAAGCGGGCGTTTCGAAACGCAGGAACAGAATTGGTCGTGGCCAATGGCTGGCTAGCACGCATGTTTCAGCACGGCGGCTGGTTGCTTTTCTGGCCTTTGATCTTTTTGGCGCCTCTGGATATTGTCTGGGCGCCTTACCCTTCATATTTGGACTCGGTCGATCCCTTGTGCTTGCTGGCCGTGCAGCCCAGGTGCTTTTGCTGTCGCTGTTTAGTCGCTAAGAAAAGACACGTCGCTTACCGTACTCTCACGACGAACGTCACAGCTAATCGCACCAGCATGCACTACCATAGAAGATCAGCTAGACGCGTACTTGTACCTGCATAGCTAGGGGATGATGCGGGGCTCTCGTGGTGCCAAGACCGTGGAGATCGTCACAGGCAAAAGCAGCAGAAGAGATTGTTGAAGATGCAGGTCAAATTACAGACCCATGGTGTCGTTCGAGAGGCGCAGTCTAGCCAAACCTCGCTCAGGATATGCCTCGGCCCGTTTAGCAATCATGCGCTGAGGCGTCTTGTCCCAGGTCTACCCAGAACGCCCCGAATGTGAATAGCACGCGAAAAGAACACAGCCACACAGTTTACACCCCCACAAGCCTCTTCTCCTTCTTGTCCTTCTCTGATTCCCGTATCGCGGCCATCTCCTCCTTGGTCATATTGTAGGATCCAGTGACTTGGTTGAATGGGTTGTCGGGGTGCTTCTCAAACTCCTTGCGGATCTGGTCGATCTTCTGCTGTCGTCGCAGACCCTTCTCGTCCTTCATCTCCTCCAGTCTTCGCTCCTCGAACGCAGCGTATGCAGCCTTGAATCGCCTCTCCGGGTGGCGATCCACCTTGTCTTGACTGTTGCCTGTGATGTCCAGAGCGTCGAGGGCGTTATCGATACCGGTGGCATTGAGAGCGCCAGGCTTCGCGTCGAAAGAGCCGAGCGCCGAGTCAATGCCGCGGGGCTTCTTCTCGGCTTTGGGGTTCTTGCCCTTGGGCTTTGAGGGTAGAGAAGCTTCTTCTTCGCGGAGCAGCGCCTCCTTCTCAGCCTTCTTACGGGCTGCTTCAGCGGCCTTTTCTGCTGCTGCCTCGCTGCGATCTGTTAGCTACTGCGCAGGTAGAGACAAAGGTGCAGCCTACGCCTTCGCATTCGACTTTGCGCCCTTGCTCCATTCCTCTGCCTCTGCCTTCTCAGCTTGTTGATTCTTGGCAGCCTGCTTCGATGCGGCAGCGTCAGCCTTGCGTGCTTGTCCTTGTGCTTTCTTCGAGTTCTCGCCACCGCCAGCAGCGCCCTTTTTCGCCATTGTGTGGTAAGGTTACGAAGGCGTGTATGCGTTTAATTTGTATGGGTGTAGCGCGAAGGTTCCGACCTGTGTTGTGCAGTTCAAAAGTGAGTCAAAGTTTGGTAGAATGCGGCCTGTGACAGCGGCCTGCGGGCAGCGGGGCAATGGCGTCAGACCACACCAACACCCGGGCACACGTGAATGACTAAGCAACCATACACCGCTCAGAGCGTTGCTTGCGAACAGATCCGTTTATTCACCCACCAAGTCTGCAATGGCCTGCGTGTACCAAGGACCCGTACAGAATCCTCTCCTTTCCAGTATCTTTGTGTTGCTCGCATTACCGGGAGTGAGCTGCTTTGCAGTACAAACAGCAATGTAGGGCAGTAAGCTTGTCAACGCGACACCGGAATGATCTCTAGTCGTCAGAAAGTATGTAGAGCGTCGTAAACCCTGGTTCGATGTTAAGACCTTGACTGGATATCTGCATTCACGCTGGCTCTGGAGTAATGCGGGCACTGTGGCGAAATGGAATACATAGCTGCGGAGGCGACATTGCTTCGACTGCATGGATAGCGGTTAGTTGGAATGCGAATGCCAGATTCGCTGACTGCATCGAACACCCCAAAAATATACAGGCAATAGATGCACACAGGGTAGATGACGTATTACTGATTGACAAACTATGAGAACAAAACGAAACTCGCCGATGTTTATGCCATCGTTGAGATTATGAAAGGAATGTATTAATACAATGAACCGAAACAAAGGTGTGGGAAGCGGACGCAAGGTCGCTATCTGAAGACCGACCGAAGCCAGTATCATGACCAGCACGAAGCTAGTATAAGGACCAGCCAAAGCCAGTATTGCGACCAGCACGAAGCCAGTATAAGGACCGACCGAAGCCAGTATTGCGACCAGCACGAAGCCAGTATAAGGACCGGCCGAAGCCAGTATCTTGGACCGGCCGAAGCCAGTATCTTGGACCGGCCGAAGCCAGTATCTTGGACCGGCCGAAGCCAGTATCTTGGACCGGCCGAAGCCAGTATCATGACCAGCACGAAGCTAGTATAAGGACCGGCCGAAGCCAGTATTGCGACCAGCACGAAGCCAGTATCAGGACCGGCCGAAGCCAGTATTGCGACCAGCACGAAGCTAGTATCTATTGGTCTCGTATATTCTTCAAGAAGGTAGCCACCATATCCTTATCGGACATCTCTTGAGCTTCATCGGCCTCGAGAGGTTCCTCGACGATGAACAGGAGTCGGTGACGATACGGGGCAGGAGCGCCCGATTTCACCGGTACAAATTCGCCTTCTTCCCGTTGCGCGGTAGCGTCGCGAGCGGCCCATTCATTCTCTACCCGAGCAGCGTGAGCTTGCTTCTGCTTCTCTTGTTCTTGTTTTGCAAGTTCGAATCGATGCGTTGCTTTTTGGAATTCTTTTGTCAGCTTCGGGTGCAGAGCCTCATAAAATTTCGACTTCTCCACGACCTTGGAATTCATCCATAAAGGCGACTCTTCGTTGATTGTGTTACGCCAACAGGTCTTCTGGTCCTGATTCGTGTAAGAAGCAGTGACGACTTGATCCGCCATGGTAGTGGCAATGATCGTGGCCAAGGCATCTTCTTCGTGTTCAGAGCCTTCGACGTTGTTCTGGCGGCGGATTTGAGTGATTGTTCCCTCATACAGGCCATAAGCGCGCGAGTTACGACGGATAGCTGTCTCTCGCTCCTGCATCCACACTCGGAACTTTTCCGCCAGTCGTTCCTCCGTTCTACGGATGGCATCATCTCTCGTATGGGCGACTTCTTTCAAGAATGCTTCCATGAATTTTTCCATTTCCAGGTCGCGCTTCTTGGACATCTCTTCTTGTCCCGCTTTCATGCCCTCCTGGTACCTTTGTTGGAGCCATTGCTTTGACGTCTTTTTGTTCGCATTCCTTTCGCCGAAGTGATAGCCTCTCAAGTATTGCTCTACGGCGGTGAATCTCTTGCCTACAGCCAAGCCTCGCTCGTAGCCTTGATCTATCAAGTCGCTCCTGACAGCCTGGACAGTGGCGAGTTCCTTTTTCTCTTTCGAGGCATTGCGTTCGAGATCGAATTCTTCCCTCTCGCGATTGAGCTCCTGGCGCTTCTGATTTTGCGACGCTTGCCATCTTGTTCGCTCTTCCATCATGTCCGTCTCTAGTTCAGCCATGACGTCCTTTCGAAGGCACTTTTTGATGGCGTCATTTTCAAGAACATCGTCACGTAGCGCGTTGAGGTTCTTCTTCGTCTCAATTACCTCATTACGAAGGTGCTCCATTGCCACTTCGTAATCGGCTTGCTCGCTTTGTTGCGCAAGTCGGTCTAGTTTGACGGCCCGTTCGCGTTTAGCAACAGCTTTCTTGCGCTTTCGAAGCTTCACGTCTTCGATTTGTTGAGTGTTGTAGATTGGAAGTGCGACAGTTTCGGTGACGTGGATAGAGTAAGACCAGTAACGCTTCGCCTTCCTCTGGGCCATGTTGCGTTCCCATTCAGCCCTGATTCTGAACGCCTCTTCTTCTTTCAGCTCCGCACGACAACGCGCGTACTGTTTCGCCATTGATCTTATTATTTGACGAAGATACGCGGGGTTGTCTGCCATTTCCGGGTCAATTTCGCTCTCAGCGTCTTCGGGGTATTCTTGGAACCTCTTCGGGAGCCAAGTTTTTGGCACCGGCGCATCCTCTTCGTCGATTTTTTCCCATGAATCCTTGATTGCGACTTGTTCCTCTATCTTCATCTTCCACACGTGTTCCGGACCCGGATCCATGAATCGGGGCGGATTTATCTCCGCAGTGGCTTGTTTCTCAATGGCCTTCGCTCCCTTTTTTATGAACACTACTTTTCCACTCTTGTCTTGCGCACGAAGCCCTGCATCTCTCGTCTCTGGCTCGCGGGTATTAAGCTCGTTCTTGTTGGTTTCGTATTGCTCCGCGTCGTTGAGCGAGTCGGATTCGTAGTCGGATTGGTGGTCGGATTGGTATGTGTCGTCCAGGCTTTCCTGGCGAGTAAATTCAAAAGCTGTGTATCTTTGCCTTCGATTTGGAGCCATTGTGATGTTGACTACCGAGCCAGCAAAGCTTGCGCGAGCGTAGATATTCGCAACCAGACGTAGCGGCTTGGCGCAAACGGAAAGGAGCATTCATCGCCCAAACAGGCTTATCCTAATGCGACGATTCACCTTGATCGTGAAAAACAGATACCTACGCATCGGGTTTACCAGGCTATTTAGTAGCCCCGATGAAATGCAGAAGAGGGACAGCTATGGGCACGCAAGTTCAAGGAAAGGGAAGGGATAGTCCCGAAATCGTTTGCTAAGTAACTAGGAGAATGCGAAGACTACCTGACCAATATGCTCCCTTCCTATCGCTATCAGATAACTAATGCCACGACTGGCGCACCAGTATTCAAACAGGCATGCAGCAGTATCTGGACTGCAGAGCAGTATAAGGAACTAGAACGAGTCTAGTATAATGACCGCAGAGCGGTATAAGGACCAGCAGAGCTAGTATCAGGACCATAAAAGGGTATGACGACCAGCAGAGCTAGCATGAGGACCATAAAAGGGTATCGTGAACCGCAATGCAGTATGTCTATCGAAAGCTCAATATATACTCTAACAGAGTTGGAACGCCAAGTCTAAGCTGACAGTCAGCATTTTCAATCGGTTGCTCAAAAACACGGAGGCTTACGACGCAGTCATAGTTCTGGTGACGATAGGCGGCGGGCGGCGATCTTGGCCTTGGCCTGTGCTAATCTCCGAGATACCATCGCATCGGTAACTGCTGGTGACGATGGGTGGCGGAGTGCAGCGATCTTAGCGTGGACATCTGCTAATATCCGAGATACCATCGCATCGGTATCTGCTTTTAGTGTAGGGTCCTTTTCAAGGGCGGGATGATTGGTGACTGTCTTTATTGCGGCATGCAATCGCTCATGTGCTTTGTCCACTTCCTCAAGGGGTATCGTGGTTTCTTCGATATGGGCGATGAGAGAACGCAGTGTCTTGATCTCTTCTTTCTTTTTTCGAATTGCCTCTGCGAGTTGGTCGGCGTCTTGCGTACAAGGTATCGTACGGCGGCGTTTGCGGCTTTTGATATTCTTCGTATACTGGCAGGTCTTCCATATCGCGGGCCATGTTGCGATCGAATTCGCCGCGCAATCGAAATCCCATAGCGAGAGCCCACAACCTCTTTGCATCCTTCGCGCTCATGTCTTCTGTGTTAGCCGAGCTGACATTGCACCCAGCAGGTGTAACACCCATTCCTGTTCCAGTGTTGTAGTATGCCTGAGCGCTTCGTGAGAGCAGCTCTTCCCCAATCTGACACTCCTCGTAGCAGACACAGAAGGCGACTACATGTGTCACCAATTGAAAGCCTTGGTCTGGGTAGAGATACTGGAAGATATTGCGCAGTAGTCCAGAGAACCAACTCTGACTGCGGTCTCCGTTGTAGCTCGAGATTCGATGGCTGGCACTTTTCGCATAGCCGACATATTTGAGTTTCCAAGGTAATGGTAAGTCGTCCATTATTCCTCCAGCATCAGACAACAATGCATCCAAAGCAGTGCAGAACGTTATGATCTTGGCTGCACGTTGCCAACGGCCTTCGAGGAAAAAGTGGTAACCTTGTTTGATGTCATCTTCCGCGCTGTCACTCTGCCAACACAGCCGGTCGATCTCTGCATTTTGTCCTGCAAATTCATCGTCGCCGCTCACGTATTCCCGTAGTAGTTGTATGGCACGTCTGGCCTCGGCATGCGTTGGTGACGTTTGGTCTTTGTTAACTAATTCGCGGACATATATGCACGGCGCAAATGCCTGGTTATACCTCTGTACCCACTCGGTGTCCATGTCACCCCCAGGTGATGTGTACAGGCGTCGTAGTGAGTCGTTCGTGTTTATGTTTGGGGCGATTCCCTCGGCATACAGACACTTTAACACATCCAGTTCTGAGCTTGCCAGTAGTAGCAATCCATATCTTCTCCAGATCTTTAGTTGGCTCAGTGTCTTTGTTGGGCTCATGAAGGGATGGTTCTCATCCCGTGCATCCTTGTAAGCTAGGTCAATCACCGAGGCGTATCCGTAATTGTTCAACATGTTGCGATATTCTGTGTTATATGGACGCACTTCCGCTTTTGCTGCCTCGGTTGCATCGTCATCGAGGGGAAGTGTAATTGGAGCGTGTTTCCTCATGCTTTCCCGAGTCGGTATACCGAGAGCTCGCATCTCTGTATTGCTGATTGGCTTGCGTTTTGTCTGGGTGTCTGGCGGAGGTGAAGAACTCGGTGGTATGTAGGCATCTTTGGTCACATCGGACTTCTTCCTCCTAGTACAGATGTCAATACAAGTTCTCCCCAGATCGGAAGGCACCAAGCATACTTGGCAGGTTTTGGCGCTGCAGCGATTTGAGAGACGGGTTCGAAAGCAGATTGAAAACCTGCAGGGTGTTTGCTTCCGTTGTTGGAAAGGTTGGAGTGGTTGGAATTGGAACTAGATCGGCCGTATTTTATCGGCGGAGCCATGGTGTTCTAGTGAAGAAGTGAGAGCAGCAGTCCACAATATAGACTTGTGGACGCTAGGTCATGGTGAGGTCCAACGATGGCAGCCACGATCAGAGGCCGCGACTGCCTCAACGACGGTCATATTGTATCGAGCGCGGAACACCACACATGGCGAAACGCGGATATTCATGCCACATGCAACACTATGCAAGAGACTAGTTAGAGGAAGCTGCAGCAATACTGTAAGCATCCATCGGTGTCTGTATTAGTAACGTGTTCAAGTACGATGGTGCAAATTCCATGCAGTGGAGTTTCTATCAAGTACATCCTTAACGAAAACCTTCAATTAAGCAATCTATTTGATGATGATCAAGACACCAGCTTGTAATCAAGCAGTGTCAAGAATAGAGGTATCTATTCTTGTAACCGATTCACGTCAGTATAAGGACCAGCAGAGCTAGTATAAGGACCGGCAGAGCCAGTATCTGGACCAGAACAAGTCTAGTATGAGGACCAGCAGAGCTAGTATGAGGACCAGAACAAGTCTAGTATCGAAGAACCAGCACAGCTAGTTATTAAGAACAAGAGAAACCGATATCATGAACTGACGTTGTCAGTACCACTAGGAGCCGCGTCCACGGCCGTTATTCCAGTGTCCGCGCGAATTTACACGTCCACGTCCACGTCCACGCCCGCGACTGCCACGGGGTTGATCATTGGAGAAGACTCTGTTGGACGCGCCCCTGATCATCATGCCTGACCACTGCAGATCAGGGGAGTCGTTGTTGGACGTTTGTGCGCATTGTTCCTGAGTCATCGAATATGCGTGTGACTGTGGTTCATTCGGAATCGGATTCAATGGCGCTGAGCGTGGCTCCTGCTGAGTTGTAGGAAGAGGCAAAGCGTCCCTCAGAGCCCGCTTATTGTCTCGTTCGATTCTCGTATTTGTTAACATGGCCTGCTGGGTTGTAGGGAGAGGCAAAGCGTCCCTCTGAGCCTGTTTGTAGTCTTGTTCCGTTCTCGTATTTGTAAACATGGCCTGCTGGGTCGTAGGAAGAGGCAAAGCGTCCCTCTGAGCCTGCTTGTTATCTTTAATGTCTATCGCATTCATCAACATAGCCTGCTGGGTCGTAGGAAGAGGCAAAGCGTCCCTCTGAGCCCGCTTATTGTCTTTGATGTCTGACGCATTCACCAATATGGCCTGCTGGGTTGTTGGAAGAGGCAAAGAGTCCCTCTGAGCCCACACATCATCTTGGACGTCCCTCATTCCACATTGACCAAACCTATTTGCCGTGTTCTCCTGCATAGTTGTTGGCAGAGGGGGCGAGTCGACATAGTCTCTTCGAGCAGGAGTATGGTATCCATAGTGTGAAGTGTTGTCGTCTTGCCGCTGTCGCTTTGTTGGTGCAGTAGGTGGTGGCATCGCATTGTCGTGGGTCTCGTCGCTGTATGCCCGCTTTTTGCCCTTTGCTAGAGTGACTGGCCCATGTGCCGCTTTCTGCTTTTGGTGCGCTCTGAATCTATAGCCACGCGCATCAACTTCCTTGTTTTGTTCATTGAGGAGTTTAGTCTTCTGGTTCTTGGTCAAACCATAGAAGTTGTGCACAGGTATCCTTGGATCTCGGACAGGGTCCAGCCATTGGTAAAACTCTTTTCGAACCATATTATGGTCGTAGTATTGCGTCGATTTCATGAAACCTTGTTCAATGAGGTATTTCGCTTCCTTAGCGTTCGGTTTGACCGGAATGCCTTCTGGGAGACCGCGTGACATGTCCCAGCCTGCGTATTTCTGCAAGAAGTTCGTAAACGCCCACATTTTGTGGCAAAACTACAAATGTTAAACGGAGCTAATAAGACGGCAACTCGTCAGACCTAGGAGAAGGGAAGACACTTACTGGGCTGGACCCTGGGTGCGTATCGAAGCGCTCTTCGCAAAATATACATCTTATATCTGGCGGACAATTTGGGAACCCTGGTTTACATATCGAGGACGGCCGAGCGCACCCAAAGCAGTTTGTCTTGTTGAGTCCTGCATCTTTCACAAGGACGTACATGTCGCAGTCGAAGTAGCCGTCAGACGGCACATACCGTCCGATTTCGTAGCGCAGAGGGCCTGGAGGCGCGCTTGTTGTGGGCGTGTTGTATTGAGACTCATATTCTTCGTCCATTGTATGGCTTGCGTAGGCCTGGTAATTGTTTTGTGTCAAATTGTAATCTACATTACCGCGATCAGATTGGTCGTATTGTTCGTGTTGGTGCTGATTTGGTTGGTTTGTGTAGTCCAAGTGGACTGGGTGTGAGTGATTTGTTGCATTGATTTTACGTGAGTCGGCCATTGTTGAAGTGGTGACTGGAGACAGAAGGATATCGACGCTAACTAGGCATCGCGATCGCCGACGCACCCCAGAAAACCCACAAAAGCTCCCCACACTTCGACCATCGGGAATAACGGAGTATCAAATCAGTGATTATAACAGCCGTTGTACTACTACACTTGCAAATCCTCTCTCAGGCTATCACAAATCAAGCTCATCAACCTCTGGCTCAGTGAAGGAATAAGTGTCCGCTTTGTTGCTTACGGAAATAACGCCCCGAGGCTTGACAGACGTCATTTCTGGCGCACAACAGTCACGTCCCAAGCTGACGGTGCGCGGCATCGTACCCCGAGCTGGAGATCTCACTAGTTTAATGAGGGGAAGTACGAGATCATCTTCCAATGGCGTTGCCATCGCGATGAGGGATTATGCTGTGACGTCTTCTAGCATGGAGCCGTGGGTATGGAACGAGGTGCTTAAGCAGCCATGGTCCGCTGAGTAGGCTGTTTGTGTGCATCTGCTAGCACTTTTCTCATGTTGGTACCGTTGTCGAGGCCAAGAGGCATTTGTATTAGTCTATCCCCATCTAGTGTTGCATTTGACGTCCCTTTATTATGACCACTCGAGGACCAATGGCCCCAGGGCCGTCAATCACACGCGACTGGGCAGACGATCATTCTGAGAACCGCCTAGATAGTATCACGTCTGGAACGAGCGCTACACCTCTGACTCAGGCGCCGACACAGTATTCGGCGCATTCCACCAACTCAGAGCTCTCGCCTAATCGAACATCGTCGAGCGCTCAACGAAAGCGATCGGTACTCGGCTTGCATCCCCAGGCACCTATAGACGAGGAGCATGATCATGGGGCAGCATCTGAGTTGCTGTGGTCGCGTATAAGGACAGTGATGAGGGAGCCGTTTGCTGAGTTCTGGGGCACTGCCATTATGGTGATGTTCGGCGATGGAGCTGTTGCGCAAGTCTTGTTATCAGCTGGTCAGACTACTGCTCCAGGAGGCAACGGCTTCGGGCAATATCAATCAATAAACTGGGGGTGAGTTGAGTGCCGATTTGGGGAAAGATGGCAAAGCATACTAACAACAAGCAGCTGGGGCCTAGGCGTAATGCTCGGACTGTACGTAGCAGGCGACTCTGGGGCGTACCTAAACCCAGCCATTACCCTCAGCAACTGCATATACCGCCAGCTACCATGGCGGCGGTTCCCAATGTACTTCGCTGCGCAGATGCTGGGTGGTTTCGTTGGATCCGGTGTCGTATACGCAAACTACATCAGCTCCATCGACTGGTTTGAAGGTGGAAAGATGCGAACAGTGCCTCCTGCCGAGAAGGCTACAGCAGCAATATTTTGCACCTACCCACAGCCATTTCTTACAAAGACAAGCCAGTTCTTCTCAGAGTTCATCGCAAGTACATTGCTGATGTTTGTCATCTTCGCGTTGAAGGACCCGAGCAACAACGGTGTCCCAAAGGTACGACAGATAGCAGTAACGTATGACGATGCTGACCATCATGTAGTCCGATAAATGGTTCCCTCTTTGTTTGTTCTTCCTGATCTTCGGCCTCGGATCTTGCTTCGGCTGGCAGACTGGCTATGCGATTAACATCGCTCGTGACTTCAGCCCGAGATTGATGTCGTATGCTGTTGGCTATGGTCACGAAGTGTGGTCCGCTGGCGGCTACTACTTCTGGGTACGTCTTCCGACCATTTCAATAACATCTGCTAACTCATGTAGATCCCAATGGTAGCGCCCTTCCTTGGCTGTGCGTTTGGTGGTTTCCTGTACGACATCTTCATATATACAGGGCCTAGTCCCATCAATTCGCCGTGGCTGGGCTTGAAGCAGCTCACGCCCTGGAATGCGATGCGAGCGAGAAGAGAGCACATAAGGAGAGAAAAAGAGGAAGGTATTGTATAAATCGCATTTCTTTTCCGACGTGCTCGTTTCTTGTAATACAGATCATGCAAACGCGTAGACGAAAAGTCTAACTAGGAGGCTGTCAATAGAACATAAAGTAATGGAAATTCGAATACGATGGAGCGACGAGTATTCCAATGCAACTGAGCCTGTTCAGATGAACACGTAAGATGTATTGAACACCAGGTTGCAACACAACCAACCTGATCTGACTAGTCGAGGAACGTCCTACAGATGTGGTACCTCTAAACTTGCCAGTAACAAGTTTACGATACTAAACAGTCCTTCGCCAAGGATCAACCCACTCGCAAGCACGATGATAGGTGTCTCGCTTCGACCCTTCCATCGCCGCCACCATAGACTAAGCAAGCCGCCTATTGTACGCGCCAACGTGAAAGATGGAGTGTTGTACATGCCTGCACGATGAGTTAGTTGGCGAGATTTCGGAAGGGACGTGACAAGTCATACCAACAGCGACCGCGATTCCACCAGGCACGAAGTCGATCCACCATCCACTTAAACCCCTCTGCTTTCTGTTGTTACCCCAGACTCTGATCATCGTACCTACGGCGAATATGACAGCCGCCCCACTAGCCCATTCCTTGACCATTGGCGGTAAGCCCTTGCCTGTCACCAATCGCGCAGTGAAAACCCACACGTATCCTGTCGGCACTTCGAACAGGCCACCGGGAATGGTGTATACGTTTGTATACAGCTTGTATACAACAGCAGACAACACCGCACCGAATGCTGAACCGATCATCTGACCCCAAAACTGCGCATTCGGTGCTGCGCCTAGCAGGTGACCACACTTGAGATCCTGTAGTAGATCGCCTGCTTGTAGTGCAGCAGACTCGGAGATGGCGCCTGCAACAAGGTTGATAATGACCGCATTCTTGGCACCAGGCCCAGTGGTGGGCGTGACGAGCGCGAAGACGAGTTGAGTGAGCTTTGAGATACCAGAGACGGGGTTCAAATCTGTTTCGCCAAGTGCGCGGACACCCATAATGGATAGGACGAGCGCAAGTACGAGCGATAGCAGGGTAAGCCGGAAGGGAATGAGGCCTGGGAATGATATATGGACAGCAGCGACGCAAAGAACCAGCGAAGCAATTAGACCAATGATAGTAGTACGGTTCGAAACAAGGTGCTCAGGCGGGGCATCCGGCTCAGCACCTTCAGCGAGATGTTGCTTGATCGCTGTCAACGGGTTCGCCGACGTGCCATCGCTGAGCTGAGTGTACTGTGGCTTGGATGTGATATTCAGAGTGAATATCTCTTTCCAGGTATGTGATTGGAAGTTTTCTTTTGCAGTGGGGTAGTAAGCTCTTGCGACTGTGATGACGGGGCGCAAAAGAAGCCACCCAAGGCTAACAAGGGAGTCCGCCAGCATAATGGCAAGAGATATCCAGACTATCCAGCCTTTTGATCCGTTTGTCCAGTCTGACACCGGCCCTGGGGCCCATTCTTTGTGCTTGGCGAGTGGTGAAAGGATGCCCCAGCCTATGATGGCACCGAGAAGCATATGAAGCGTCGTAGCAGGACCCATGATGATACCTTGACCCACGTATGCAGGCGAAGGGTTCAGAGTCCAGAGCCAGTTCTGCGCCAAGGGAAGACCGAAAACGGGTATGTCGTGGAGTTGCGGGATGAAGTACGATACGACAGTGTATAGTGCGGATCCGCCAAAAGAGATGAGCAGCAATCTGATCTTAGATCTCCAATCCCCATCTTCTCCAAGCTCTTGATCTGGATCCTTCATGCTGTCGTCCATGGACGGCCTAAGATCGTGCTCCTCCCGCTGCGCGCTTGAACCTTGTAGTAGGCCCTGTGCCTCCTCTCCGTCATCGGACTGGTCATCCCTATCTTGAATCTCTTCGTGTACCATCATCGTCTTGGACTTTTCATCTCCATGGAGCACCTTGATCAGAAGAGCAGTTGCAGTCCCACTCGGGAACTTGAGCTTCTCCCGGATGATCATCTCTTTCCGTAGTGGTACCGCAAATACAACACCAAAGAAGCAAATGCCCACAGACCACACGATCAGCTTCCATAGACTTATATCCAAAGGTCCGTTTTCCTCAGGTTTCAACAGATAGTTCAGGGCAGGAATTACTCCTACGAATCCACATCCGAGAGGCATGGTGCCGACCGATCCCGCAACTGATTGAACCAAAACATTCTCAACCGGCGTAAATGGCAACTTGAGTGTCTTCGCAACGACCTTGAAGTATGCGAATCCGATCAGAGCAGAAGGCATAGCCATGCCAGAAACCCAACCAGTCTGCAATCCAAAGTACATATTCGAGAAGCAAATCACCACACCAATCGCCAGGCCTACCAAAACACCTCGGAGCGTAAAGTTCTGTGGCTGCGACGCCTGTTCAGCCAGGTACTTGCGCGCTCCCGACCTGCTGCGGCCGAGCGCATGATCATCCGTCTCTTCACCATGCCCTCTTTCATTTTCCAACGATGCGGATCCCCGGTCTGGTGCCATCCTCGAGATATTCTGGAGCTGAATCGACTCAGCCAGCGTGCGGACGAGGAAGCATTCAAGAAGAGAGGAAGAAGATCAGGATGTCCAGATAGGAAGATAACGGAGCACTGACATGGAATGGCGTGCTTGAGCATGTGCACGCGATGATGCAAGGTGATCGGCTAGCGTGGAAGGCTCCACACGTGATAGCCGGATATCATTGGCGGAGTGATTGCTTATCTCCGATTTGTCAGATGGCCAACACTCTAACGTGCATCGCGGACTGCTAGACTAGGGGCGCGTCGCGGGCCCGCATACCACTCCAAGCACTGTGCAAACCTCCCAGGGATCTACTATCCATACCGACTTCGCGATGAAGTTGTCCACCGCGCTTCTGCCTCTACTGGCAGCTCCTTTCGTCGCCAGCGAACATACATCCAACTGGGCCGTCCTCGTCTCGACATCACGCTTCTGGTTCAACTACCGACATCTCGCCAATGTACTCTCCTTGTATCGCACCGTTAAGCGTCTCGGGATTCCCGATTCGCAAATCATTCTTATGCTGCCTGACGACATGGCGTGCAACCCTCGTAACGCCTTCCCTGGTACCGTCTACAACAACGCAGACCGCGCGCTAGACCTCTACGGCGACAACATCGAGGTAGACTACCGGGGTTACGAAGTCACGGTTGAGAATTTCATCAGGTTGATGACGGACAGAGTGGGAGAGGATATGCCGCGGAGCAAGAGGCTGATGACGGACGAACGGAGTAACATCCTCGTATACATGACGGGCCACGGCGGAAACGAGTTTCTCAAGTTCCAAGATGCAGAGGAGATCAGTGCATTCGATCTCGCAGATGCATTCGGACAGATGTGGGAGAAGAAACGGTATGTCCATCTACTCTGTCACGCCCATGGAACACCCTGCTAATCAATGTCCAGCTACCACGAAATCCTGTTCATGATAGACACATGCCAAGCCAACACCATGTACTCCAAATTCTACTCTCCCAACATCCTCGCAACCGGCTCCTCAGAGATTGACCAATCCTCCTACTCACACCACGCCGACAACGACGTTGGCGTCGCAGTTATTGACCGCTACACATACTACAATTTGGAGTTTTTGGAAACGCAAGTCCGCGATCCGACTTCTAAACTGACAATGGGCGACCTGTTCGACAGCTACGACGAGGAGAAGATCCACAGTCACCCAGGTATACGGTACGATCTCTTCGAAGGAGGAGAGCAGGCGGCACGGGAGAGACGAGTCATGGATTTCTTCGGCAATGTGCAGAATGTAGAAGTAGAGGGGAGGAACGAGACAGGATGGGTACGAGAGGCTGGAAGTGTGGTCAAGATGGCGAAATCGCATGACCAAAGTGTTGAGAACGTTAGCTCTGAACAGGTCTCACACAGTGCACGGAGAGAAGGTGCTTGGAAAGTAGATGAGGAGCAAGGGTGGACAAAGCAAGCCTACGGAGCCGCGGCGCTGGCAGGCTGTGCAGGCATCTGGCTTGCGGGAAGTTGGATAGAGTCCATGTAGTGGATCGTAGAGACTTTCACTTTTCAATATTCTAACGTTAATGATACCCAGTACGAAGTAGTCCGATTCTTCTGGGCTGATACACATCACACCATCACATGTTGTACAAAGCTATTGGCGAAGCACTTGATTGCTACTTTTCTACTGCACGTAGATCCCGCCAAGATGCAAAACTCAAAAGGTATCGTATGCCGTTTTCCGTGAACCATGCTATGCACCGAAACTCCTCTAACAAAAATCAAAATGCCACTTCATTGCGATTTGAAAACCCACATGGCATCTTATCTCGCTCCATGATCTGTGAACTCCATGCTGCTAGCGAATAATGCTCGCAAAACTGTCATAGTTCGGTGCTCTGACTCCATCCTTAGATGCGCACACTCCGACTCCTCTAGATTGGGTTGTTATCCCCAGCGCTAGATCCACCATAAGCCATCTCCTTGAAGCCAGTAGGGACAGTCCAACCATGCACGGCGCAAGCACGCATATACGCTTCGACCGCTTCGCCAACACCATAGTCCATTGGGGCACCTGCTTGTAGACGGGCGGGCTTGGGATCCAGGCTAGAAATAGCCATGCGGACCTGGAGAAGAATAGATTCGATTGAGGAGACCGCGCTCCAGCCATCGTTGGTAAGAAGCTGCATGCACATGGCACCACCTGCGGTGACGTGACCACCTCCACCTTGTTGGAAGCCGAGGAAGCGAGGTCGAACGACACGGACAAATGGCGGGCTCATGGGGTAGTCCTTACCGAAACGCAGCTCCAAAACGATGCTCCTGACGTCCTTGCTCTTCATGTCTTTTGCAAGTGGCAGTGTGGAATCGAATGAGTGCAGTTCCACTATCCACTGGTAGATGTTGTCCATCTTGTCTTCGTCGATGTGCCAGCCGAGTTCGTGCGGCGGCTCCCTGTTCTGGATATCGATGATGTCTTTGAAGTCCTTCATCAAACGCCTGGTAGCAGCAGTTGTTGCCCATGCAGGCATCTGAAGCATCGGCAGCTTTGTGTAATCCAGGGTGCCAGGGACGTAGTCGGTGAGAGGCTTGCTAGATGATGACTTGCCAAAGATCTTCGACGAGAACGACGCTATCGAGACCATCTTCGATTTGCCCTTGTCGCCCATAATAGAGTTTGGTGTGGGAAGAGGGTTAACTTCTTGCGCCGACTTGTGTTCGTCATCAGCCTCGAAAATAATGCGGTCTTCATCGAGAGTGGCAACACTGGCTCCGTCGTCGTCGTGTTCAATCTCAATGGGATCGTACTGCGTCTTTCCAGAAGCTTTCTGCCGCTTGTGTTTCTGCGCATCTGTCAGCCAAGGTCCATTTGTAGGTAGGGCGTCATCTACCCGAGTAGCCTTCGCCTTAGGACGTCGAGAGGCAGCAATAGCATGCAGCGGTATGACGAGATTACCCGTTACACCACGAGGCGTGCGGCTTGGGTCCTGCTCCACGCATAGAAGCGGCTTGTTGCCCGGCTCTGTGGTTGCTGCAGTGTCTTCGCGTGATTTAATGAAGAGATATCGTGTCTGGATCCAATCGAGCTGAGCAACCACTAGATGCGGAGTTTGGCTCACGAACTCTGCCGGAGCATTGACAATTTCATTGAGAGCCAAAGTCTGTTGGACTTTCAGCTCGCTCATCGTCCAGGAAATGCCACCGAATGCGGAATAGCCCAAGCTAGTATGAACATCAGGAGCGTGGTAAACACCATGTCCATAGGCTCGACCGTGGGCAGTTTCCTTGAAGTGAAGTCCCTCTCGAATGATGGTGTGCCAGTTGTAAATAGGACTGCCATGCCATGCGAATAGAGTGGGATATTTGAGGCTAAGTCGCTGGGTCGTCTCTTGCACGGCATGGATAAATCGGCGCTCCTTGTCAGGAGCACCCATTGCAAACCGGAACTGCGCCCAACCTGCCATACCATATAGACGCTCTTCGGAACTACGACCATTTGATGCGTCTTCTTCGCTGTCGACCTGTAGAATGCAAGCCCGATTTGACGCGATTACCCAGCGTAGTATCCCAAGAACAGCGGGGGATAGACGATCAACCCAAGTATTCAAGGTAGACTGTGACTTCCGCAGAAGATACTTCCTCATCTCTTGAACAGGTGGTAAGAGATCAAGCAGCGCCGCGATAGCCTGCGGCTTCTCTAGGGTACTCAAGTCATCGAAATTCTGGTTGTAGATATAAAAGCTTGCAGATCTGAACTCCGTGTCTGAATCTGGTGGTGGAGCCGATACCTTCTGCTGTTGCGATGAAGCTGGGCGTGACATAGCGTATGGATCGTTCGGAACTCCTCCTCCAATCACTGGGATGACAGGACTTGACACCTTCACAGCCGGGTAAAGTGACGCATCAATCACGCGACAATGTAGCGTCTTGGTTGGGTTATCGTCTGTTCGGATCACGATCCACTGGCCGTTCGATACAGGACAGGTCTGCCTCGCATCATCGAATAGCATCTCAAGAGAGGCGGCTTTGAATCGCATTCTCAAGGCGGCTGGTGGTGGCTCACTGGCTTGCGGAGGTACTGGTTGTGCAGTGTCGGCAGGGGACGCCCAGGTTCGTGGTAGTTGAACCGGGACATAATCCTTATCGTTAGACACTGGAGGTGGAACGGCCAGGCTGAGACCGGTAGGGAATTCCCTAAGCCTGCCGCCACGCGCACTAGCGTAACAGAAGCTGACGAGCAGGTCAACAACTTTCGGCTGTGATAAGATCTCATGCTCAATACTTGGGCCGAAGCCTAGTGACATATACTGATATAGACATAGCGGGTTGTCGCAGACGTAAGGCTTGATCGCTTGTAGGTCGTCTGGCATCCTACTGAAGCAGATCAGACAGAACTCAGTACATCGAACAAAATGTCGTAGCACGAATTGCATCCCTACAAGAGGTAGGGAGTGCTCCTGGCCAACTGAAGAGGTAATGTGGTCATCGGTAACAATCTTTGGCCATGCATCACTAACCCGCTCGTCTTCGTAGTACTTGTCGTGCGATGCATCCTGATCTGTATGTGATGCGTTCAGGATCTGGTCGTTGTAAAATGACTCAGAGCCTTGCCATGGCATGCCTCCGTAACGATACTTTAGGAGCATGTGGAAGCGCTGCTCTAACAGCTCGTTTAGAGGTCGTGAGATAAATGAGTTTCGAAAGCCTTTCGGAAGTCCTGACGAGATACTCTGGGAGTCGCCTTGCGAATCTTCCCGTTTCTTCTCCTCATCCTTGCTCAAGATTGTGAAAGCTGATATCGCTTCTTGCATTGTTGGCTTATATGTCGTACAAACGCCGACACGGATGCCGAAGTTTCGTCGAGCTTGCTGCGCATCGTAGGACCTCAAGTCGTCCATGCTCTTGTATCCTGACGAATATTGAAAGACTGCGACGAGGTACTCTGTCGGCTCAATTTGCCATGCTTGCATAGCCTCTTCCGAGATGCCGAGTTTGGACATGCGGATAGAGAGAGAGACAAAACAACCAAGGCCGTCCATCAAGCCTCCAAGATGTCCAACCTTGAATCCTTCACTCTTGGCGATTAAGAGATCACTCCGGATTCGTTGTCGGAAGGCAGATGTAGCTTCCGTATGGCCACCACCCTGGAATGCGCTACTACCGTTTGCGAGCTGTGGCTTTGGCATCATGTCTTCGTCACCGGGAAAATACTCGTCTTCTTCTTCGTCGTCTTCCTCGTCTTCCTCGTCGAAATCGTCAAACTCCTGTGAGTCGAGCATCTGCTGGTCGCCATCGCGGTCGGTTGATTCCAGTCTAGTAGAAACTAGCTCAAGAATCTGAGGAACGGTCTTCCCAAAGGCAGCATCAGCGATGTCGCTGAGGGCAGCAGCGACATTAGCAGAGGCATTGTCGGCACCGAAGATCATGCAAGTATGGCTAGTGGGGTAGTCGGATACTTCTGTGCAGTTTGTCAGCTATGTTCAACCAAGGCAGCGTAGGCATGCTGGCTGTTTTGGCCGCTGAAGGTGCCTTGCTAGTCGTTCGAACGAGAAAATGACATACCTGGAACCAAGGCTGAGATCTCCAATTGCTCGCCGTCTGCAATGCACATGAATGTGAACTCGCCGTCGTCGCCACCAGCGCGTACATTTGAGATGCCCGCGATCGAGACGCCATCCACGGCCTTTTGGAGGTCGGCCTGGAAGTGCCGCCTCGGCATGTTGACGCGCTTTTGATAGCCTGCCAGATAGTGAGAGCCAACAGGTTGGTGTTGTTACGGAGTGGTTGGCGTTATTGCAGGTGCGTGTTGGATTGAGGCCGGTGGTTCAGCGAGCCGCTGCGGCGCAGTGCAGATCGGTAGTAACGCGGAATGTAAGTCTTGAGCAGCTGTGTACTACGTTGTAAACAGGTGAGTCGCGCTGATAATCGTGTTGGTATACTTTCCTCGTTCGTGCGAGACAGTATTCACGGAAAGGCTCAATCCAGGCAATCACGCCCAAGCCAGCGATGAAGTTGTGGAAGAGAAGAAATAGAAAAGCCAGAGAAAAGCGATTGGCGGCCCTACCTGAGCTCAGATTGCTTCTACAGGCGCTTGGCAGACTAAATGGCCTGTGAGACGCTGCCTGGCGTCCGCGGATATCAGTCAACGAGAGAGGTGAGGGTGCATGATGGCGCCTGTGTTGCCTGGAAAGTGGAGCTTGACTTAGCCACCCAAACGCAGGCCGCAGCTCGCAGAGGAGCTCTTCCAAGGATGACTAGCTAGTCATTCAGCATTCACCTCTGGTATCATCGATACAATGATTTACTCAAATGGAAAATTGCAGTCAGAAGAAAGACGCACTCCAAGATATGGAAGATGCCGTCATAGCCCCTCCCCCACAATTTAGCTATGCGGGAGGGAAACTAAAGGTTCCGAGCGTTCGGCTATTCCCTGCAACATTCAGGAACGCCCGCGACATCTCCTAGTAATCCCGCGATCGCCATGGCCGTGTCTGAAGAGAAGACGACGACGCCCAAATCAACACATGTATCAGATCCCGCGCTTGCTCCTTTCCTCGAGCCGCGCTTCGATGCCGCCGAATACCTCAACGCCACACTGCCTTCGCTATCGCTAGCTTCAAGGCCAAAATCGAGTAATGCCGTCTCGTTAGCCGATCTCTCTTCGCAGACACAGGACCTCCTCTCACAGCTCAATGCGCACACGACGCGATTATCGGCCATCTTGACACAGTTGACCGATGACATCCTACGGAGCGGTGGGCGATTGGCGTACGAGGTGGAAGTGCTGCGTGGAGAGGCGTTCGGGCTTACTGAGACGTTGACAGATGGGCTGAAGGGCGATGTCCAGAAGTTCATACCAGGCGGGATCTCGATGAAGACAGAGCCAACCGAAGATGAGCTCAAGAGCCCTACTACATCGCAGACAGATGTACCGGATACGCAACCGCCACAGCCAACGCTTGAAGAGCCCGATGAGACAACTCCAGAATACATCTCGGACCTCCGCACCCTCGCCACAGTCCGCTCGCGTCTCGAGACAGTTATCAAGGTCTTTGGCGAGGCCATGCACTGGTCAATACCACCGTCCGAGGTCTCCTTAGGTGCTTCGCTCATCAGCGTCTCCGCCCCCGAGCCTGGCACAGACAGCGCTTCGCGCGAACAGAAAGGCAAGGAATTTGCTGCCTCGCTACGAACCGAGATCGCCGACCTCATCACCGGCGACCCAGAAAGTGGCATGGAGAAGGCAGAGATAAGGATACAGGCTTTGAGAGACCTAGCGCAGGTCTGGAAGGGCACAGCAGAGGAGAAGGCGAGAGCCAAGTTTGTGGAGAGTCTGGTCAAGCTGGCAGAAGACAAGCAAAGAGAACTCGACAGAGAGAAGGAGAGGAACAAGGACCGGGGTCAGCAGAGGCCAGGCCGGAGTGGTAGTGTGCCAAAGCAGCAGCAGCAACCTCAACAGCAAAGAGGCGGTGGGTTCTTAGAGAATCTCCAAAGGATACGAGGCCTTGTGGAATGAAGAACGCATGCCCTCGCTCATTGGAGCTCACTTCTTGAAATGTGCCATCACGTGAATACGCGTCAAATCGTGTCGAGGTGAGAAGCGACTGCGTTTACCAGTACGTAGATGGATGGCTGTTGCAGTTTGTTGCGCTAGAAACCCCTTCTGACTCGAACCGTATGGTTATGGAACCTATCTGCATGTGTAGGGCATTGTATACTCTATCAGCGCATCACATAGCTTGTACATCCAAGGTCCACCTCAAGTCATGCAAAACGTCTCTCTTCATTCAACGTAATCTCGTAGAGTACAGAACAACAAAGCCCAATGGCGCACAAACATCCTCCACAACAAACATGCCTCGCCTATCCCAGCCCTTCTCCTAGGCTACGACGGATCCCCCACAGGAGTCAACCCTTGCGGGAACTACGACCGTGGGTTCACCTTAAGCCCAAGAAAGAGGGCAGAGGGCGAATGCGGCTACCAGAGAAGTACAACAAGAAACGCAAAAACAAAACCTTGTCGAAATCCGACACGTCCAAACGCCTGTCCATATGCCGGGGTATCATAAGCGACCGAACTCCGAAGTACTCCAAATCTCACTAAACGCGTAGGGGAATCAAATTGAGGGGATAGCCTCCAAGACAGCCATCGCACGTTGTCCCTCTGCTTCAAACGCCATGATTTGTCTTTCACAGGCCATGCGCAGTTTCTCCTCGCCTCGCTTCGCGTTGTAGAGAACCCATTGTTCGATGGTCATAGACTTCTCATGATCTGTCAGACCTGCAGTGACTGCGTCGTAGATCTGTTCAGGTGTGGAGCCAGCGGTCTCGATATTGTCCAGGCCGGCATCGATGAGAATGTCCTGCATGAGACCCTGGGCCTCTCCCTGAGAAGCAAACAGCATGTCTACGTCGGCAGGCTCCCAGCCATGATTGTTGCCCATATCGTCAGCTTCGCTATGGGGAGGTGGGGTCCTCTTAGGAGTGCCAACCATGAGATCAGCGGGAAGGCTCGACATGTCGAAATCTGAGTTGATGTTGTCATGCGGCTGAGTCGGTGTCTTCTTAGGCGTTCCAACTGGCAGATCGCTTGGAAAACTCTCGATGCTCGAAGATCGGACGCGCTTCGGTGCTGGTTGTACATCCTCGGAGAATTGTGTGTCCTCCATAGTATCGCTTATACGCTTCTTGCCTCGCGCAGGTTGCTGTGCCACAGAGAGTTCTGTGTCTTCCATAGCATCACTTGTGCGCTTCTTGCCGCGTGTGGCCTTCTTGCTGGTAGTGGACGCGGTGGATGAGCGTGCTGACGGACGCTTAGCTTTCGAGGCGCGTTTGCCTTTCTTTGCGACAGGAACGGGTGGGTTGTAGATATCGGAGAGGGTATAGAAGAGACACTCGGGTGAGCGTTTACGGTGCTCTTGGTTCGGGTCATCGCCAATGTCCCAGGCGTCCAACGCCAAAGAACAATATGGACATGTGACGCCGTCTGGAGTTTCGTCGGAAGGGTCATAAAACCATCCAGCGGCGACCATTTGGTCTACTGAGGGGTAGCCAGCGCTAGTGTCCAAAGGCCACATATTGCCAAACGTGTCGCGACGCGCCGCCACCATCGCGTCAGATGTTGGATCCTCCTCAGTCCTGCCAGGATCACCGGCACGCAGGCGGATACAAGCGATGACGGCAAAGCCGCAGCTAGGTGAGTGTGTTGCGTGCTCATAAGCGGGTATGTCTGACTCTTCCCAGCCGTCGAGTTGGCACTCGCAGCTGAAGCATTGTACATTGTCTGGGCTGGTGGTAGTTGGCCTCCAGACAAAACCAGCAAATGCTAGATCTTGTGCCGAGGGTGATGAGAGTGGCCATGCGGCTGCTTTTGACTTTGCACCTGCCTTTTTTGATCTGCTGCTTGTTCGTCGCGTCTTGGTTGTCGTTGCTGCTCCTCCAAAAGTCGCGAGACGCGCCTGGAGTGATGCCAGCGCGGCGTCCATGGTGTTTGGCTGTCGTGAAGATATTTTGTGATGTTCTTGTATGCTTTTTCCTTGTGTTCCAATGGCAGCAGCTGAGTTACCACGCAAATAAAGTGTTGCTGATGTGGAGTGGTGTGGGATGGGTGGGATGAGAGGAAGTCGCGTCTTTACGCGGTAGGAGAGTCCGGCGCAAACATCTGATCGCCAAGGCTCGTAACGGAAGCAACCGCGCTTACGTCATCCTTCCTCTCACTTTGCGCAACCTCAGGCATCGACATCTATACAAGATGTATCTACGCCAGCCAATATTCCGGATAGCGTGGTGCAGAAGGCCTCTGGCTCAGGTCAATCGCCGTTTCATCTCATCCGAAAAGACTGTACCCGCCGACAAGCCACATGCATTCCAATCGCTGCCTCCAGAGTGGGAGGATGAACCCCCTTCGCTGGAGGATTTTACACAGCTACCACACAAGGACTTTGGAAAGAACCAGCTGATACAAACGAATGAAGAGTTCAAGCGATCATTACGAGGCATTCTCCGGCAATTTCCACCCGTCACCTATGCGTTTGCCTATGGCTCCGGTGTCTTCCCTCAGTCAGCTGCGACAGCTTCGCGCACGTCGCAATCGCCTCATCCGAACGCGCCCGAGGCGATACTCAAGTGGCAGAAGGGCGGCGGAAAGATGATAGACTTTATCTTGACACCTCGGTTCTCGCAGCACTTCCACTCGCTCAATCTGCGCGAACACCGAGACCACTATTCTTTCCTGGGGTCACTCGGTTCAGGGGTCGTCAGCCATGTGCAAGACAAATATGGTGCTGGTGCCTACTTTAATCCGTATGTGATAGTGAACGGAACTATGATCAAGTACGCTGTCGTCAACTACGAAACGCTCCTTCGCGATCTCACCGATTGGGACACCCTCTACTTCGCCGGCCGCTTACACAAGCCCGTCAAGATCCTCCACGAAGAGCCCAACCTCCGTGTCGCAAATCAACGTAACCTCCTCTCTGCCGTACGATGCGCGCTTCTTCTTCTTCCCGAGAAGTTCACTGAGAAGGAACTATACTCCACAATCACTGGCTTGAGCTATCAGGGCGATCCGCGTATGCAATATGGCAGCGAGAACCCCAAGAAAATTGACAACATCGTCACGCATCAAATACGAAACTTCAGATACCTGTACCACGACCTCATAATGTCACTACCAAATATCTTGTACGCTGACGACTCCGCGGTACGCACGGCTGGATGGATAGAAGACCAGGGCCTCGATCAGAAGATGTCACAAGACATGGATCCTGAAAGGCGCGCCACTATGATTAGGCGATTGCCCAAGAAGTTCCGTGAAAAGGTCTACTTCCAATACCGCGGCAAGTTTGGCATCTCAGGCCGCGATTATCAGGAAATGTTGGAAGCAAGCAAAGACGAGTCTTCTGGAGGTATAGTTAAGAAGCAGGTTGCTGGTGACTTCGACAAGCGGATTGCCAGAGAGAAGGACGTTCCACAAATGGTCACCAAGGCGATCAACCAAACGGTCAAGTGGCCTTCGACTGTGCAGACTCTGAAGGGACCTCTTACCGCAGGCTTCTCCAAGTCGTTGCGCTACCTGCAAGAGAAGAGGGAGAAGGCAAAGATGAAATGAAGCGGAGGCTGTTAGGATGTTGACGTTCGCTATTCAAGACATGATTTCCTTTGTACTATCATCAAAAGCGTAGAGCAAGCGAGTCAAAAGCAGTATGTCTCGAACTGTAATCGCGTATAGCCGCCGTTGTGCATCTCACGGGTCAGGCTCTGTATAAGCGGAAAAGCGAACTTAGACTTTGTATACAATTTATTTCATCAACACACTTGGTCTGCCTAGATATCGAGGACTTTGTTGTCACCCACCAAAATTATTGCATACTCCTGTGAATATACTGGTTATTCTGGACAACCTTCATAGTTCTACGATGGACTCATCAAAAGCGATTTTGCTGTCACTACAGATGGCTGACTAGAAGGGGGAGTTGAGTAATCGCAAGGTTTTGATCTCCTTAGTATATAAGGCTTTGAGGGTCAGAAATCCATCTACAAAAAGTCCATACCAAAATCAGAGTCGCCAGTGTCTTCAGTACTCGTAGTATGAGTTCTGAGTATGCTTGATCCTTCGCCTTGATCCTCATCATCTTCCTTCCTCCGCTTCCGAGCTCCAATCGCACCAACCTCGTCGTCCTCGTCTTCTGTGACATCTTCTTCGATGATGATATCTTGCTCGAGTTCAGGATCCTCAACATCATGAATGACGCCGGTCTCGCGGTCTTTCCCAACAGTGAGCCAAAGTCGGTCCATAGTCTTTGACTCTCCGTTAATCTTGATCCTAGCTGTTTTCCTCTTGTGCTCGACATCACCGAAGATAATTTTCATAACGTTCATGAAGGCATTAGCGGGAACGAACCGCTCATCATTGCCCATCTCGGCCATACTAGCAAAAGCTAGAAAAGTCCGTAGATGAGGGTGGTACTTATACTTAGCTTGATTGCAGAACTGTACGACCAGTCTGTATACCGAGTTAGTGTGGATAGATCCAGGAATAGGGTCGATGTCGCCACCTTCGGGAAGAACCTCCTCTAGAAATCGGTTTATGAGCCAGACGAGATCTCCAGGATACGCAGGTAGGTTCGCTCGGATGATGCTAAGGTATTTGTTCGGAGACTTGATCATAGTAGTAGGATTGACCCACGAGAATGGCAAGCCACGCTTGGAAGGCGAGTTTTCGAAGAAAGAAGCTGGTAAGAAGCCATCATCGGCGGTTTTGAAAGAGTTTGACGTATCGTTCTTCATCACCAGCCTTGATCCAAGAACTTCGTTTATAGAGTGTCCAGTGACTTCTTCCCAATGCAAAAAGAAGGCCGTGGCATTTGCTTGGTCGCATATGGTGATGGCGAGGCTTGCGATGGGTATGGTTTCTGCCTTGCTGTTGCCATTTATCAGTGGCTTCCGATTGCCTACTGATTCATCGGCAGCGTTCCGTATATCCAAGCCGCCAGAGGTGCTGTTCAAGGTTAGATTCATGTTTAATACACAATACGCGAGAACTTACTAGAACAAGTATCGCTTGTCGTTCTGGTCTTTCGGTAGAGCTCCGTCAGGAAGAAGGACTGGCGCAATATTCCAGACTTGTCCATCTTCTTCTGTCCAAGTGATCATGAAACGCTTGTTGTCGATCGGCGAGATGCCATTCCAATTCTGAATTTGGATAGCAACATCGAATCCACCACCGTAGGCATCCGAAGTCTGAAAGTCTGTGTCGAACAGTGATCTACGAGCCCTTCGCTGGACCTTCGTGGGAAGAATGCCTTTTGAAGGCTTGCCTATTGGGAGGAACTGTTTTCGCATGAACCTGTTTTGTGACTCCACAGTATGAGCGATGACATACTCAGACTTGAGTTTCATCATCTCTTTACCAAATTCATGCTCTGGATCAATCTTTGTCTTGAGAAGCTTCAAGATCTCCTCACACTTCTGCTTTCGTGAAAAACCAACCTTGTGCTGATCGACAGAAATCGCAAGTTCAATAGCGGACCATGCCACAGCAGATACCATGGTCAGCAGGCGTGTGATGAGAGTCTTCATGATGCCAGCATGTCCATTCCGACCTGGATGGTAACACGGGATCAGGATGAACTCTTTACCTGCGGTCAAACCGGAGCCACCGTCAAACGTAGCCAGTTGAGGTACGCCCATCACATGCTCGATCCAATATGCCTTGCGATTGACATCCTTCCTCAATGAGGCATATTCTGCGTTGTAGTTCCTTTCAGAAAAGGGTTGGAAACTCTTTGTGGCCGCGTACGTTGACTGCAGGAATTAGCTCTTGATCAATATCACTAAATGCGCACCTCAACTTTCGTTCATGACATACCAGATTACCATAAGTCAATACCACGAAGGGTGTGGTAGCTTCCATATACTGCCGAGCAAAGTTGATAGCGGATGGATAGTCGTCTGAATGCTTGACAAACCAAGGAAACAAATCAAAGAATGGAAGCAGGTTCTGCTTGGCTAGCTTCTTCGTAAAACCCTCTTCGAACGATGCAACCAGTCCCTGTTCCCAGTACGCAAAGTTGTTGTACAGAACCTCAACAAGCTCGGCACTACGACCACCAGCCTCGAAGAAGGGCGCTTCATCGTCATCGTGTGTATCGCCTAGGTCAGATCCGAGCGTGACCATGACAGCTGAGCCGTCTGGAAGCACTCGTGGGGTACCTTGTCGGACGAGCATACTCTCGGTAGTGTCGGTGAACTCGTGCCGCTTCGATTTGCCTTTGGTGGTGGTAGGATGCTGATTTACGTAAGTGCGAACGTCCTTCGCGTACCTCAATAGAGCCTGTTGGGACGTTGTCGAAATTTCCTTTGTAAACTGCAATGCCGAGATAGTTTGGGTGCCGAGGGATTTGAAGATCTCATGATCTTCCTTCGTGAGTGCAACCATATCGTTACCCCCTGCCTCAGTGTTGAGTACGCCGTCACCGAATAGCGCGATCAAGACTTGCTCGTGCAGCTCGATGATGTTAGGTCCAAGAGGTGCGCCTCCAGTAGCGCTTGCATTCGTGAATACATGGACAACAGCCTGCTCGAGTACAGCTGGACAGACCATACCTACGGTCTTCAGGAAACGGTTCATGAACGACCGAAGAGATTTGGAGTAGATGTCGGAGGAGTGGCGATCCCAGGGCTTATTCTTTGATTGTCCGATGTACCTCAGTGTCATGCAGACATTGTGGCGCCAGCCATCGATGATTTCTAACCAGCCAAATATACGCCCATTCATGTCAAATCGGTCGTGAAGCATCGATTGGAACACGTCATGCATGTCTTTTACCGTCATGGTGAAGGAGCGTACGTAGAACAGAGTCGAGTTTGGGGCCGGCTCGGGGCTATCCGGAGTCGACTGCTCCAGCTTGAGCATACTGTTGAGCTGGTGGGTGGATACTGCGAGAGGATCTTCCAGGAGGAGACGAAAAGAATCTGTTTGATTCAGGCTGCACTATGTCAGGAAACGTATTGATGAGTAACGATTTGACAAACTGACTTTGTCGGTAAACACCACCAGAAAGCGTCTTGTTTCAGTAAGGTAGAGGTGATGTTTCGAGCTTTGAGTCTCCTCAATATGATTGTGAATACTTCGTGACGTAACTCGCGAAGATCGTCGAAACACTTATCAGTGAGCTCTCCCATAGCCACATGACTAATGAAGAAGTCATCTTGGACGCGATCGCTCACAGTACGACGGTACTTGGAAAGTAGTTTCTGTGCTTCATTGACCAAAGGCTGTGAGCGTGAGACCTCGGTCTGCGCTGTGAGTCTAGGACCAGGATCCATCGCGAGCAGTGGGTTCGGGTCCGTGTCCGGGTCCGGGTCCATCGTGTTCGTGAAAGAGAAGATGGTGTCCTGTTGGCGCGTAAGCAGATGTCTGGAATTCGCAGAGGTATCTTTGAAAAGTTTTACCTGGTGAGTTGCAAGGCGCTGATAACTTCGACTGTAGACCTAGGTAGTGGGTAGCTTGTAGTGCAGAGCAGAGAAGAAAGCGAGCGGACATACACAAGCTTGGACACACGAACGAACATTTGAAAATTTTGGAACCACTAAAAGGTTCAGATGCTCGCGAAGAAGTGAAAGAGCGGTAGCCAACCGGGTACTTAGATAAAGTGAAGGGCAGTCAACTATGACGCGGAAAATAGACAACAGAACAAAATGTAGCTGACAGAGATCTAACAGAACTATCAATGTCTTCTGCTCCACATTGAACACTTGATACAGACATCAGAACGAAGAACATAGTGATGTAGAATCGTATGTATCATTGCTCAGACATTACATTATATATTCCCTAGCGCTTGAAACCTCCTTGATAACCCTAATAACCTCTACAAACGCATCCTTCGCTGAGTGTCCTTTCGTAGCTCACTACCTAGCCGCCTTGTGCGGCAAGTACCTAGGTAGCTTTTGTTGTGTACGTGCAGTGGCATCTGACAAACATCATAATGCAAGGCATACGTTTGCCTTAGAATACTACACTCACATCGCTTCTCCGCTTATCTAAGAAGCTCTCAATGAATAACTCGTTGCGCGATGCTCATAGGTTGTTGAGGCACTGCTGCATGTTGTCTCCCCACCATTCTCCACAATCTCCACTTACTGCTAACTAACTTTAACGAGGCCCACGTCCACACCGTAATTTTGGATCTGGACCTTACCAGAACAGTTTCACTTGGTTTTGCTGTTTTTGCTCAAATGTAAGTCAATAATAGATCTAATTTATCGATTAGTCATCAAATAACCAGTCCGATAACCGGCTCAATGGTGTAAGCATTCCCAACCATCGAGGCAAAGTCCACGACTAACATCCACTCAGCTAGTCGTATGATTCCTGCTTTGTAAGCTCCTCCGCCAATGTGCTACAAGACGAGCAGTGTCCTAACAACACCAACAGGGGTTCTCAAGCTTAAGTGCAGGAGGTCCCGGGTTGTAAGTTCAGAGTTCGATTCAGGCCTCCATCAACCACTAACATGTGTTAGCAAATCCCGGTTGAGCCCTGATATATCTTCCTTTTTTGCTGAATTTTTGGGCTCGAATCAGGTCTGTAGTAGACGAAGAGCGCCACTTCTGTTTCCTTTTTGTATTCATGCGTCATATGAGTGAAGTCTTGGTAGGTAATTAATAACATTGAAATCGCATCGCCGAGGTATCTTGGTATCCTACAAAATCCAAAAAGCCCGACCCTAAACAAAAGAACTGGTATCATCGCATTATATCCAAAGTCCACAACCCCAAACGCCAAACACAATCAGGGTACTGAGCCAACACTCATCGACCGCGCCGCGGCCATTCGACCTCCAAGCCCCCACTACGATCAATCTCCCTACCCTCCCTCTCATCTCTTCTTACACTCTCGCCCATAACGACAGTAGCAAGTCGCCTCAATACCTCTTGACCAGTGATTAGATCGCCAAGGTTACCAGGCGCGCAATCACCCATCTGAAGCCTCTTTCCAGTGACCTCAAAATACTCCTCTTCATCCTGAAGACTCAGAAGCTGCATGAACACGCTGCACATGACAACCAGCTTCTCGGTCATGACCATGCTGTAACCCCAGGCGTGGAACGTGGCCCCGACATAAGGTAAGTTTCCGTTCTTAGAGATGAACTGTCGCAGGAGGTAGCCGTTGGTGTTTGAAAGCGGCGTAGGGGGAACAATGGATGGACAGAAGAGCGCAGGGTGCTTGAGGTGCGTTGTGTAGAGTTTGTCGAGCGCCTTGTAGTGTGTCCTTGTCCAAGGCTCGATCTTTGGAAGTGGTGTTAGGCGCGAGATGATCGGATGTGCTGCGGGAGGAGGCGGCCGTGTAATGGTAGACTTTACGCGATCGAGAAGAGTCGGTTGTTCGCGAGCGGCTACTTCAGGGCTGGCTTGCGACTGAACGCTGGAAGAAGTCTCTACTGAGTCGTCGACAACTTGCGGTCCGCTATAACGAGCCGATGATGGCGCGGGAGACTCGCCTGAACGCTGCGAAATCTTGGAGAGCGGCGAAGGCTTACGTGCTGACAACAAGCTTTGCTGGAAACGCTGCTGCATCTTCGGCGGGCTTGATGCAAGCCTGCTCGGTTCCTCGGTGATCTCCGTGATTTCGTTCAGGGTCCGCTCTTGCGGCTCGTAGGCGTCAAGGTACTCATTCGCTTCTTCACGGACACGAACTATGGTAGAAGCTGTGTTACCCTCCATCTCCACACGAAACTGTCGTTGATCGGATGCTGCAGAGATCTTGCTATCACCATCAACAACAGTGTGGAATGGCGAGCTTTGCGCGAGTGGTAGCGTCGACTCTTCAAACTGAACCGAGCTTGTTGAGATATCGGCACTTTGAAGCTCTCTCCTCAAAGGACTGCTCTTTTTTGGTGAGCTCATCAAAGCTGGAAAACGAGGTGGTGTGTCAATGAACGGGTTCGTCTTTGTTGGCGGAGATGGCTTCTTTGTTGCCATTGGCGGCGAAGACTCTGGAACGTAGCTTTCCCCTTGGTCGAGAAGCTCTTCCAAACTGACTTTCTCCTTCTCTTGCCGTCTCGGCCTCCGTTGCTCGAATCGCGATGGTTGCTTCTGATTGAAAACATTCGGCATGTTTGACTGGAAGAATGTACCAGTGTCATCACTAGCCTCGCTCGCAGGACTCGACTCATCTCCATCCTGCATTGGCTTGTCTTCGGACAATGGCGTCACAACATCACTGCCTTGCTCTTCTTCTTCTTCATCCTCTGGTTGGTCTGGAACTTCGGGCTCCGGCTGTGCAGGACTGGGCTCTTTCTGTGGTTCTACTTCGCCGCCGCGGCGGAGTTCGTTCGCCCTCTTGCGACGCCACTCTCTTAGGAGCTGGCTACGAGCCGGCTTGGTAGGAATGTTCTCTGTGAAGATGTCATGCAAAGATTCTTCCTTCTCTGCAGGCACTTCCTCTGGCTCAGCTGAAATCAACGAGCGACTGGCCTCCTCTTGCCAGATGTCAGCGAAGTCGTCCCATTGCGCAGGTTTCTTGGTCTGTCTTCCGGGCTGATCCTGCTGGGCTTCTTCGATCACATTGTTTCTTGGTGATAAGCCAGGGCGTTTCGCGGGAGGTGTGTCGACTCTCCAGCTCATCTCGCCCTCGCTTCTTGCTGGGCTTAACGGTGCCTCTTCTTCCTGCTGCTGCTGCTGCTGCTGCTCCTCCTCCTCGGATTCCTCTTCTTCCACATTCAGAGTCGGATACTGCACCTCACCCTCCATAGCTGTGGGTTCTGCTGGTGCTGGCTCTGTTGATATTGGCTCCTCTGGTATCGCGACATGGTCTTGGTCTTCAGGTGTAATAAGGCGTGACTGACGATACTTTCGTTGCATTCGGAACACACCTTGTCTGGGAGCCATCGTGGGAAGACTCCTGATAGGGCTCGAAGGACCAGGCGCACTCTCTTCGTGTGTTTGGCCCTCAGCGAGCTGCTCACCAAGACGCAGACCTGCTTGAAGCTCTTTCCGGGTGCCTTCGCTGAAGCCTCGGAACAGATCATCTAACGAACCGCGCTTTTGGTTGAGTGCCTGTTGAGAAGGTTCTGGTGTGAGACTAAGACGATTGGGATCCAATAAACCTTGCAAAGCTACACCAGCAGTAACCACGCGACCGAGCGTTGGCGTTTGTGATTTGGAACGAACGGACTCAAGAGCGGGCGGTGCTGATGGAAGATCGGCATCTACAACAGGCGTCACAAAGCGCGGTAATTTTGGCCGTACAGAGTCAGCTGGCACTGTAGAAGTTTCGGGTGGAGGTAGTGGAGGCTCTTCAGAATTCGATGATCCAGCATCATGCGTCGTGTCTGCGGACAGCCTTGTGTACTCATTCCTGAGTGACGACTTGACAGCTGGTGCTGCGGTGTTCTGTGCCTCTTCTGGTTTTGACGGACTACGTGCTCCATTGCTAAGCAGTGTATCGAGCGATATCATGGTGAAGCTCTCGTTCTGAATAGTGGTATCGTCGACCATCCTCGTGGTGGCCTGGTCAGAGCCGAATCCTGCGGCATCTCCGTCTTCGGGTTCGTCGTCTTCGAAGGCTTGACCGTAGTCATCGCCTGCGTCGCTGGAGTGGACGGAGCTTTCGCTGGGTGTTGGCAGGCTTGCGTGACCGTCTTCAGAGATGTCAACATCGACATCGGCACCTTCACTGGTTGGTATAGGATCCCCGTCCTCTCCACTATCCGGTGTAAGAACGTCGCCTCCCTCCTCTTCGTGTTCATCAGATTCCATCAGCACCACCTTGTTCGCATGCGGAGTGCCCTGTCGCGTCCGTAGATCCTGTCGCATACTTCTTTGTATCGGCGAGCTTAGATTGGGTAGTTCCTCAGCGTGCATCAGCGCATCGCTCATGGTCTCGGTAGTGGGGCCGGGGAGATCTGCGAAGTGTGCGCTCTTCCTTGAGGTCTCCGACTTGGAGCTTGAAGGATATACGGGCGTGACATCTTGCGCAGAGCCTTCTCGTGCGTCTGATGCCTCCGGCGGTAGTTGCACGTTCTTCCTGGGCCGCCCTCTGCGCTTCTTGGGAGGCACGTCGGTATCCACGTCGGCTGCGCTCGACTCTCCAGCCTTCATGTTGGTCTCTGGAGACCTAGATCGTGCCGCTCTCTTGACTGGTGTTCCCTTTCGCTTTGACTTCGGGGTGGCCCCTACGTCAGACTTCCTTGGCCGTCCGCGAGGGCGTTTGACGGGAGATGACGCCTCGTGGTCCTTCAATGGTACTGTCGTTGTCTTGGTCCTCGTGACTCGCTTCACGGATGGCGACTCGGCGTTTACTTCGTCGCTTCCGGGCTCGGCCTGGACGGTGACCTTGATGCGCCAGGGGCTTGCGCCGCCCGCTCGTGGTGTGCTCATGATCATCGACTTGGTGGGCGAGGAGAACATCATCTCGGATGCCTCGAGTCTGCGGTTCTGCTTGCTCGGCGAGCTTCGCGCCATTGAATCTCTTGGCATGGGTTTTCGTCCTGACATGGGGATGGTGCCGTCAAAGGAGAGGGCCAGCGGATCCGGGCTCGAGTCGTAACTGCGGTCGGTAAGGGCATCGTCGCCTGCCGTTGCGCTTCGACCGCGGGGCGCCATGTCTTGGAGACGGTTCCGAGGGGTGTCTTGGATGTTAGTGCGATAGGAATGGTACAGGTGGGGAACAAACGTGCATCCGTCAGAATGCGGGACGGGCCACGCGACGTTGTCAGGGTAACTATCTTATCAACCCCCAGCTAGTCGCGACACCACGAACAAGGCAGCCTGCCACGCAGTCGTTTGCAGGTTATGGAGTCGCGATGGGTATTCATGGGTAAGCTGAGCATTCTGCACCGAGTTGTTCTGTACTAATTCTCGCAGTATCTACAAGGAGATCGGCCCGGGAAAGCGCGTAGCCCTCTCTAAGCTTGCTGTTGAAAAGTTCGAAGAGACTGGTCGTCCACTGCGCATTGCTATTGACACATCCATATGGCTTTTTCAGATACAGGCTAGCAAAGGTCAATACCTCCGATTTCGCGCAAGCTTGAGTTATGCTAAACGTGAATAGGCGGCACGAACCCCGCTTTGCGCACCTTCTACTATCGCCTCCTGCGCCTCATCTCCCTTGCGATCCATCCTGTCTTCGTCTTCGATGGACCGAACAAGCCGCCTTTCAAGCGCAACAAACGCACTGGTCCGAACGTCGCCTCCATCCCCGAATTTCTCGCAAAGCAGCTGTTGAAGCAGTTTGGATACCCTATACACCTCGCGCCTGGCGAAGCTGAGGCAGAATGCGCGCTGCTCCAGCGAGAGGGGATTGTGGATGCTGTTTTGAGTGAAGATGTAGACACTCTCATGTTCGGAAGTGGCATCACGATACGCAACTGGTCACCGGAGAAGTCTGGGAAAACACCAACCCACGTCAACGTATACGATGCGGTCGAAACGAAGAACGGTCCGTCAGGGTTGGATCGCGAGGGCATGATCTTGGTCGCGCTCATGAGCGGAGGAGACTACGTTCCTGAGGGTATACCTGGATGTGGTCCCAAGACAGCATGCGAGGCGGCCAAGGCAGGATTTGGCGCAGACCTATGCAAGATTCCGAAGAACGACTCCAGGGCCATGGCCGAGTGGCGGGAGCGACTACAGCATGAGCTAAAGACGAATGAGAGCAAACTCTTCAAGCGCAAGCATGGCGCTCTCAAGATCCCAGACGACTTCCCGCGGCTGGACATTCTAGGCTACTACACACATCCGGCGATTTCGAATCAAGCTGGTTTGGAAAAATTGCGCCGGTCAATCCACTGGGATCAGGAGATTGACTTTTCGGGTTTGCGCGAGTTCACCCATGATGCGTTCGACTGGGTCAAGCTCGAAGGCGCAAAACACTTTGTTCGCAGTCTAGCGCCATCATTGGTAGTGCGACAGCTACGCTTACGTGCTGGAAGCCTCGATCGGTTGCCCTCAAACGATATCCAGGCCATACAAGAAGACGAAGCCCTTCTCATCAAAGGGTTACACGGGAAACGACAGCACCCGGTCACAGACAACTGTACTGAACTACGAGTCAGCTTCACGCCTATCGAGCTTGTAAAAATCGACCTTAGCAAGGAAGATCCGGACGACGATGTGGAAATGCCACCACCCAGTTCCCAACAAGCTGGAGGAGATGCAGACCTCGATGACGATGATCTGGAAGAGGATGGACCCAAGAAGCGCGGACCTACCAAGTTTGACCCAGAGAAAGCTGCGCGGATATGGGTGATGGAGACCTTCGTCAAGGTTGGCGTACCACTCAAAGTTCAGGACTGGGAAGTCGAGCGACAGACGAAGCAGAAGCCCAAACGCGCAGCAACTGTGCAGGAGCCTGGCAATGCTGCACCAAAGGCCAAGGCCGCACCCAGGCGAACGAAGACTGCCGGAGATCAACCACAGGCTCGCATCGAAACCTTCGCCAAAGTGACCAAACCGGGCTCAAAGCTCTCGCGAGCACTTGCGAAGACACAAGAAAAGACTGCCGAACCTCCTCTCCCTGTCCGGAAGCTTGTGCTGCAGGAAGACGATGTGGTTAGCCTGCTTTCTTCTTCCCCGGTGAGGACTCAGGTCACAGTACCGCCACCACGTCCTGAACGTGAGAAGTCGCTATCTCCTGTTCTCCTAGACCTACCTCCAAGTGTGAGCAAACGGAGAAGACGCGCACCGATCCAACGTTCGAAGACGCTGCCGGCTAATACCAGCAGTATCCTCGATCGGCCTTCTACACCACCCCTTCTGGATACGATAGAAGTATTGGACTTGGCGGACTCACCAGCGCATCCCTCTCCTTCTCAACTACCTGCGAAGAAAGCAAGAACAAGGAACACCAAAGCCGCACCAGCTGCAAGACCGTCTCGGGGTGTGTCTGTAGCATCGCAAGCAACATTGGATGCATGGCGAGCATCGGTCACTCCGACTAAACGGCGAGGTGTGACACCAGGACTCGATGCAGCACCAGTGCCAGCACCACCAAAGCTCCGATCTCTATCGGAAGAAGCAGACTCGCTGGATTTGACCCTTTCTTCGCCGGAACGGTCAACGCGACATCAGCGAAGTAGCAGCGTACAACATCCCACAACATCTACGACGCGTCCACCATTGACATCGATATCATCCAATGCGTCACACACCTCTACAGCATCCTCTACGTCTAACAAGAAGAAGAGCATAAAAGATGTGTTTGGTGCATCGCGACCCCGCCGTACCTCGCCTCGTCTCAGCAAAACCATGTCAGCGCCTTCTGAAGTCGAATCTCTTGACCTCACATCGCCACGCCTTGTTCCAGCGAAGCTAAGATCAGAATCGCCAAAACATGATACCCTGGATCTCACGTCACCAGGACTCCTCTCAACGAGACCACAGTCAGTGTCTTCCAAGGTCGATATGCTTGACCTGACGGAACTCTCATCACCGGTGTTTGAGCGCGCACCGGAACCTCGTGGGAAGCCTGCAGCCCCCACACCAGCATCTCCCCCACCGACTCACACATCACCTTCTTCTCTCCGCCGATCACCGCGCAGCCACGAATCGACTTCACCACAATTGCCATCTCGAACGTCACCGCCAGCAGCATGGAAGACACGAGAGAAGAAAAAGCGAGCAATCGTTTTGCGGAAAAGCATTGTCGGCGCCTGGGACTTTGTGGACGTGAATAGCCCTGAGAAGACCGGGGACAGTGTAGCGGAAGTTGTACTCAAGGGAAAAGATAGGCGGAAATGGAGAGAAAGCGCTGTAGAGGTTCTGGATCTTACATAGCCTTGGTTGGTTATGTTCTGAATGTGGGGGTTTGCATTGGTCAGGCGATACATGTCTGGGTTTTTGGTTCTGTATGATGCATATGAAGCGCGGAGTTGCTGATATACCACTTTGGATTATTATCTTTGAAATGGGAGAAACCTCGGAAGTAGGGTGGAAACAGCCAGGCTTTTGATCCCCACATTCCCGAACCTTCATCGCTCATCTCAGCTACGACTCAGCTTTCCAATCTATCATACCACCGCCCGTTGCGAATGACCTCCCGCGTCCCGGTCTGAGTGAACACACGATCGGTGATGCTCACATGGTCCTGCACGACTCGAGACTGACCAGCGGTAGTAAGCAGGATCCGGAAACGGCCTGCGAAAGACTCCTGGTGCCTGAAGAGGATGTGAAGAAAGTCATTGCACCAACTTGCGCCCTCTGCGAACGTCAGATCGTTTAGACCATCTATAACGCATGTTCCGAGATGCGGAGTCGCTTGCAAGAGAGCCGAGAGCATCTCAAGAGCAGTTGGCCAACTTGCATCTGACCCATCAAGCTTTTCTACTCGCGACTGAGCAACTTCGAACGCGTCGCCCTCGAATTCGAATTGCAAAAGCTGAGAGATCAGACTGTATACTATTCCAAACAGACCGACTTTCTCGACTTCGCGATCTCTTGCAAGTGTCGCAAAGCGAGGTCGCTCACAGAAATGCGAAATGATTGGGAGCTCAGCTGTCCATGCTGCGACCAGCGCATTCAAAGCAGCTGCGCGTGAGCCTGGTATATCAGGCGGTGAAAACTCCAAGGTCGAAATCCATAACGTAGGAGAGCTTGCTTCGTTTCCCATCCAATCGTGGAGTTTCGATGCTACGTCAACCTCTGGAAGCCAAAAGCTACCGTCATTGAAGAGGGAGTGACCTTCAGTCCCGACAACATAGTGCTGCAAATTAGCTGCCAGTCTCCCCGCAGTTGCTCGATCAATCAGATCGGGCGCCCTCGTGTCTCCATTGGAAAGAGCAGGGAACTCGCCACGCCCAGAACTTGGTACAGGTTGGACAGCAGAGGATTGGACGCACATGCTCTTATGCAAACTCAACAGCAACTGCTGTGCTCTTTCCCCTGCAGCTATCAGATCAGAAAAGTCGGGACTTTGATGTCTTTGTCGCATAATCTCGTCGCGCCGCTCTTGTTCGGTATGCCTGATCTTTTGCATGGCAAATAGAGCAATGCTCTGTAATCGATACATCTCATTAACGGTATCCTCAATCTCTTTTGCGGCCTTTACGTATCGATCCTTGATCTTTTCATTGAAGCTAGCAAAGAAACGTGAGGTTCTGCTTCTCATGTACCACTCTATGGCGTCGCGATAAAAGCTGAACACACGAGCGTAGAGCTCTGAGAACAACATCCGTATCTCACGAGTTTGCAAGACCAGTAAAATCTTGGCGGCGCGTGCTGCTTTCTCAGTAATTTCAGTCACAGTTTCCGAGATGGTATCCGCGATCTCGTCATGATTGACGGCAGCAGCAACTATGAACTTAAGACTACCACATAATGCAGATGTGTAGTCGTTCTGGGATGGGAAGATCGCGAATGCATTTTTGTGGGCATCAAGTCCGCCACAGAGTCTTCGAAACCGTTGAAGAGACTAGGAATTCGGTAAGTAGGGTACGTTCAGTTGTCTCTCGTCGTGGACGCTGTCTCACTTTCGGCTGTTTACTCTTCCATGCGGATTCAAGGCTGTTGACATAGTCGCTCAATTGACTGAATCCATAGACATTCCTGTTCTGGAGAGCTTCGTTCGCCGTCGCTCGAGCTGTCTTTCGACTCAAACCTATCTTTGCTAATGTTGACGGCGATTCTGGTGTTTCGAATATCTGATGTGTCTTCATCAGCAGAAGCCTGGCGGTCTCAGCCTCGTGAAAAAGAGCATTGCTTCCACAATTGTCAGCCTCTGAAACTCAAAATACGCGCGCCTTCACTGACCTTGGATTTTCATCCTGAAGCAAAGTTCGCATTCGCGCTTCCATCTGCGCTTCTGCGATGACATCCTGCTCTTGCTGCGCGCTGGTAGCTGCGCGCTCGAGCGTTGTATCGCCTTTCAGTTCACCTGTAAATCTTCTTACTAGAGTCAACCCTTCTTGGTGCTCGACCGCGTTTCTTGAAAAAGCGCCTTCAACTGACATTTTAGCAGATGTGAAAACAAGATTGAAATCTAGATTACTCGACTATTTGCACAACACGAACGAGGCTATGCATACCCCGCGCTGTATTGGTCACGATTATGCAGCTCGATCCTCCGCCCCCAAAAGCTGATTACGGTATGCATGTCATGTGTCCACTCTGACGAATGGCAACCTGTTTACTGTTATCTTCGTACCACCTCGTGTATCTCCAAGCGAGCTGTTTGCGGTCTATTGCATGGTTTTTCCTGCCACCAACGCCACAACCAGGTCGTGGTAGATGTGTTTTAGCTGCTTACCACCCTTCTCATCTTAGTTCATGCAGACATTCAAACAGCGCATATGTGCCGACCGGTGAAACCGATAATCTGATCACGGCTCAGGCTGGTCATTAACTGGCCAATTCCGCTGTATCCCAATTCGAGGCAGCCTTCGATCCGTTAAGCTCTTTCGCGCTCTTTTCCTCCTCAACGCTCTCAACTCGGTTTAGGCAAGAAATTATGCATTGATCAGATACTTGTATCTGCCACAGTGCTCTTGGGCTGAGCTCTACTGATTACTGGAGATATTTACTCATCGAGAGCCACTCAGGTCTATCATCGGCTGCCCGCCATGGCAGCTGTAGAAATCCCTTCGCCAATCTCTGTGCAAAACATCAAATTGCAAGACACAGTCCAGGATTCTATACATATTTCAGAACCTGTTGAAACCGGTTCGACCGTCGACGATGACAAAGATGCCTCTACTTTCACCGATGATGTGGGAGGTGTGCCTTCCACGACAGCGACATCAGAAGAGTCTCATGAAGCTGGCAAAACTGCTAGCACCAATGGTAACAAAAAACAAATCTGAATAAAACGAGTAAAACTGAAAAAAGCAGCAGGCCATCCTTCCCCTGAGACCGAGATTCTCAAAGAGAAGCACAGAGAGAGAATTCTCATGGAACGTCTCGGTTCTGCTATAAACAAAGCGATCGCAACCAATTCAGAAGACGCCACTGGCTTAAATGTAGTGACAGGCAAGAGAAGTGAGCAACGCTATATCAAAGTAAGGTTCGGTGATTCCGAACTTCTCGTCGTGCCATGGACAGCATGCCACTCTTGGCGAGTAAGTTTCTTGTCATCATATACTGCGGATATATCTGTTGACTAATACAGGCCATGGAAGCACTTCTAATGGAATGGTATCGCGAAGATGAAGACACTTTGCGTGACATCAGTAATGGCGACATCACCATCTTCCATAGAGTCAATGGCTATATACATCCGCAAACATGGGAAGAGGTTATCGAACATGATTCTCAAATTGATTTTTGGACTCACTCTGCGTATGACTCGGACGGCTCGGACGATTCAGACGAGCCAGAAAGCAAAGAATACGAAAGCAGTGTGCAGTATGTTGTCAACTTCCGACGAAGTGAGGCCGACGGCAAAGAGTACTTGATTGCAACGAACACATCCAAAGAACCTGTGGAGTTCGAGGTTGCAGATAGTAATGACAGACTACCTGCATTACAAGAGATCAAGAATATTTTGTCACCACATTATCAGAACACAACAACAACCGGGGACATGACCGATGGTAAGAAGACGAAGCTTGGAACCCATGATCGAGTCACCAGCACAAGCCTGAGGATTAACTCTCAGTATCTTCTCAACATCCTCAAATCTGCGATCTCGTATACGGAGATGTCAGATGAGCGGGACACCGATCTAGTTACTGGGCTGTTCTATTATCCCTACCCAGAGCTCTTTCATCACCTTCCAGACTTGCTCGAATACCGGAATGGAAATACAGCTCTCCGTAACAAACACACAACTCTTTTCAACGAGAAGTTCGACGAGCACCTGAATCTCCTGGATGATTACCTAAATTCGAAGTCTGGGGTGCCGACAAAGGAGTTCAAAGCGCGTCTTGAAAGAAAAGTACCCACTGTCACGTTTGCCACGTATTGGTTGCTGCTCAAGCCAGGAAGCCAGGTGTACGTTAGAGATAATGACGGATCCCTCAATGCATATATACTAGATGCGGTGGAAGGGGGTCCGTCTGAGCGTGCAGGAGAGAAGATGAATCGCAATTATAAGATAATTGTCTGGAACTTGGTGCTTGTGGGAAAAACCATATCGCCTGATTACCGCACTGTCGAAGTCAATGTCTTTGACAATGAACGAGATATCGCCAGCCTCAAGGTTATTCCTGCTCGCTTCATTGACGAGAATGACAATGGCGAATCTGAGAAGAGACTTGTTGAGCGTGGGAAACGCTACTTTGCTTACTCCAAAGCACCGGCGTTCCTGCAGTATACGGGCAAAGGCCTAAAGGCTGGGAACAAGATGGTAGAGCTACTGGTGTCTATTTGAAAGTATTACGGCTGACAAGTGGTAGTACAAACGTGCTCGTGTTGTCGTCGAACATGACTCGTCGCCCTGGTCAAACGAGGGATTCGAGAAGATTGACCATCATTGGCCTGCAACATACCCCAATGGAGTTCGCGAGGCGACCCGCATGGCGCGCTGCGAGTGCAAGGATTGCCGAGTGTCCTTTGACTTACAAGAGACGTACGATAAGAAACGATTCAGCGATTACCTCGATATCGTACCCGATGAGATCGAAGCGCTTGAGCGCCAACAATATAAAGTGATGTCCTCTCACATGTTTGCCTTTGTGTTAAAAGATCGAGCATACGGTACGTTCTTGAATCCATACGGAGGCATGTCGGCTGACTTTAAATTAGATCTATTGGACGTTGAAGGCCTCGAACCAGCGAGCATGGCTGAAGGCGCTATCAGTAGCCTCGTAATGGACGATAACAACAAGGAGATGATCAAAGCCATAGCTCGAACTTACACGGATAGTGACCAGTCTTCAAGGTTCAGTGCAGACTTCATTCATGGTAAAGGCGAAGGCCAGATCATCCTGCTGCATGGCCCTCCCGGTACCGGGAAGACGCTCACAGCTGGTAAAGCTTCATTCACATGACCTCCTAGCAAAGAAATACTGATCATTCTATAGAATCCGTTGCTGAGTACACTAAACGTCCTTTGCTCAGCATTACCGCAGCCGATCTCGGTCACGAGCCCGAAGCGTTAGAGACGAGCCTCTTACGCTACTTCAAGAGGGCTAGCGACTGGGATGCTATAGTTCTGCTTGACGAGGCAGATGTATACCTTGAGCAGCGCACAACTCATGATTTGAAGCGCAACAGTATTGTATCTGGTAATGAAAGCCCCTCATCATAACGGAACAAGTCTGATACCTGATGTAGTCTTTCTAAGGGCGTTGGACTATTTCCAGGGCATACTCTTCCTGACCACAAACCGTGTGGGGCACTTCGACGAAGCTTTCATGTCACGCATTCATCTGTCGCTCGGATACGAACCGCTCAGCGACAACGCACGGGACAAGATATGGGACAATCTTTTCAAGAAGCTACAGCAGGATCACAAACGTGGTGGACCTGAGATCACCTATGAGTATGACGCCAAGAGATATGTCCAAAGTCGCGACGTTCAGGCTCTGGAATGGAATGGTAGAGAGATTCGAAACGGTAAGCTTACAAGCAGTCGCAAATTAGTCCTTTTTACTAACAAAAGCCCTCATCAGCCTTCCAAACCGCTGTGGCGTTGGCTGTGTTTGATGCCAAGTACAAAACAAGCGGCAAAGTGCCAGAAGTAACAGAAGCCCACCTCAAGCAGGTTGTTTCGATGTCTTCGGCGTTCCGAAAATATATGACGGCAACGCATAGCGGTATGGATGCCTCGTCCTGGGCGCATAAGCATGGTAATCGCGAAGACAAGTATCCGAGCACGCCGGGGAAGTAGGACATTTGACGAGGAAAGTCCGCAATGTTTTGGCGTACCTACCGGCACAACAGTAGCGCTGGTGATTGTCAATCGCTTAGGAAGATCGAGTCGAACGGTATACTACGCTATTTGAGTGTCGTTTCCCTTGGTGGCATTACAGCACTTTGCACAGTCAGTAGTTCTTCCTTAAATAACGTGCGTTATCTTATGCGACCATGTCCGAAACGTCTCCTCAAGACAAAGGTTCGAAAAGTTGTGCGGTGGCCATTGGGATACAACTCTGGAAAAATGGGATGGCTGGCCGCGTTTTGTTCGCGATGCAGGGTCCAGAGACGCGAAAGTTGGACCCCGGTGACGAAAGCTCGGTAATTTTGGGCACCTGCGCTACTCAGACGTCACTTCAATGCACCAGGAACTTGAACCATCATGACTGTCATTAAGCTGCGACGCTATGAGGTTGCAGTCCGCTAGTGTACATTAATGCCAGCCCATCTGTGCCGATGTGCTTGTCATGGAGACATGGTCGATGACCCCCACACACAATGAAGCCCCCTGGTCGGAGACTCGAATAGAGACTAAATATATACATCAACAGAGGTTCTTTCATAGTCTTCCGTCACCCAGGTTCGATGCAGAAACTGTTCAGGATAAAAGCTCGTCCAGGCGCGTAGTCCAAGACGCCGCTGAGCCACCACCATCTACCCGGGGTCCAGCAATAGAGATAACATCACCCTGAGCCGGTGAGTCGCTCTGCACAGCGTCATCATATCCCACAACCCACTCAGCGACGTGCGGATCCACATGGTGCATAGCATCTGTCAGCCCACACAAGGCCGCCCTCCCGCCCGCGCGAGCGCACTCCTCTTTCTGGCAAACATGCGCGTTGATGCAATCCAGGCTTCGGCACTCACTTCCTTTGGAACATGGTGTCCCGAGTGCTTTGTATTCCAGAACATTGTAAACTTCTGGACTCAGAGGGCTGCCATGGGATAACATACAATCGCTTGCGATACAGTTTCCATGTAAATGGAAATCGATACAGAGCTCCAGGACCTTGCTACGTTCTTTGTAGGCCTGAAGCTCTGCAGGAGTTGGAATTTGCATCCGAAAATCGAGTCGCTGCCTTGCTAGATTGATAGGAACAAGACCGTAGCGAGCTTGAGTAGGTAGGGGTGACGGAAGAGGAGGCGCGTCTACTTCCTTGGCGACCAAACTGACACTGGTGAGACCTTTAGTCGGTACAGCAGTAACGGAGGTACTCGAAAGCTAACGTCATTATTAGTGGGACATCTTTAGACAGTGTGAATGGCAGACCTTGGGCGTAATCAATTCCGCTGGAGCCTTGATAGAAGTTGGCTTGGTCGTAGTGTCGATAACTCCATAGTTCAGCCGGCTTGCTTTGAAGACGTTGGCGAACGATATTGTACGCAAGCCAAGCCTACGGATGTTCTCATCAACAACCGAGCCGGTGACTATTGTCACTTTCTCCTTCTGTGCAAGATGGCGATTCAATGTGTCGTGGTATCTTGGTGATCCAGCCGCACAGAAGAATATGTGTTTGCACTGTCCACTCGCCATATGTAATTTGAGGTTTTCTGAAACCCAGTATGTCAGCCCATTGGTCAAAGACAAAAAGATGCAAGTATTACCACTGATTCTTACCGACACCTGGTTCTCATCACCCGTGTTCACAAAGTCATAGAATGGGCTGACTTTGGTGAATTCGGTAAAGTGGAATGTCAAAGATCTAAGGCCTGGGATCGGAAGCTTCCTAGCGATGAAACGTTCTCGAAGTCTCTTCAAACAAGCAAAGGTCTTGATAACGATTTGATACTGCCCGCTTCGCGCGATGGCGGGAAGCACTGCTGCAAGCTTCTCGCGCACAACAGCGCGAAGACGCATCGCAGTTTTCGCACCTCCATTGTTGCTGTACAACTCGTCATGAACCTGCCAGCATGTTAATACAAGACAAAAAACTCCGATGAAAGGCGTACCATGTGGCTCATCCCATCGATGAGAACCAGTATAACCGCATCCATGGCATTGTTAGTTGGAATTATCATGGCATCCTTGCTTGCAGTCTTAGGGACAGTGACTGTAGTCGTATTCTGTGAATTCATTACTTCGCTGCGAACAAGCTCGCTCACGCCGTTGGACTTCTTCAAGTATACACCGTATTCTGAGACCACGGTCTAGCAGCAGGTCAGCCGTTGAACACCAATACGCACAAGATAGAAGATGTTACCGCCAACCTCTTCTGTAGTGCTTGACCCTCTGCGCGCAGGTTCTGTATCACAGCTTCCTGCGCTGCCCGTTCTTTTCGCGCCGTCATCGCGGGTATCTTGAAGAGTAACGTGTGAGTGGCGGTCAAAGGACCAAATACGAAATCTGCGCAGTTCGAGTGGCGGGACGTCCATAGAGGAAGGCGCCAGGGACTGAGATCAAAACAAGGTCTTGCCAAGGCAGGGCGGACAAATGAAGGCAGACGTTTCGGGTTCACCTTCACCGTGAAGCCTCTACACCCAGGACAAGAGGCTGTTTTTGTGTACATTAGTCTCAGCATCACTGGCAATTGCAATGCAGAGCTATTGTGTGGCTGCACTTCCGCCAGCGCGACCGTTGTCGAGGAGCTCGTTATGGAACTAATAAGACTTTCCATAGATGCAAGAGTTTAAGAGAACAGCTAGTTGATCTGGTATCGTCTGGTAAACGAGAACACTCTCCGAATCGAGAGCGAGTCATACTATCCCCTTGTATTGATACAAAACAAACGTGTAGCAGAATGTGCTACCTCCCGTGCTTGTAGAGCACTATCAAATGGTATCTTTCTATATTATCCGCCTCATCACTCCAGAAAGAAACAGGCCGCGTCATGTAGTGCGCAAGCATGTTGAAACCGACGCGATCACGCCCTTCGTAAACGCGCGTCACCAAACAAAAGAAATTCAACGAAGTACAATGTCCGCCCTCGTAGGGTTATGTTGTAGCCACTCGTCTTCGTGTATCCGCGCAATCGCCACTCGCTCCGCATGCTCACCGACCCACTTAATCAGCATGACATTCAGCATCTTCCAGGGTCCGGTCGCAAATTGCTCGTCATGGTCGTGGACGCGCGAATCCCAAAGGAATCGCTCTCCGTTCCAGATGGGTGTACCTGGAGGGTGCATGGTGTTCAAGCCAGGTTTCCGGCTGTCGGGTGAGGGCTCGCGCCATAGGCTGCGAGACAGCAGAACAAACTCAAAGGGACCTGTGGATGATGGCTCAGATATCGCTGATTCGTAGTCCATTATGACACCGCAGTGCGAATTCTTCTCAACGTTGATGAGATGTGAGCATGGGATATCCTTCTCTTCATGCTGTATTTGTTCTGCAATGAAGGCGTCCGCAGAGATGGTTTGTGCTGTAAAACGAAGCGTATTCGACTCGTTGCTGTGATCTGATCCGCGTGGTGCGTGGAAATATGGCGGGTACCGGATGCGCAGGGAGTTGCCCTTTTCGCGTCGGACTGTATATTGCGCCGACTCGGGCCCGATGTGAAAGTTTACCACCTCTGACTGGAACCATTCGCCCTCGCTCCGTGGAATTTTGTAAACATCTGGGCAGGTCGTAGGGTCGAATGGAAAATTAACCGGACCCTCATATGCAGTCCAGCTCCAGGATGGTTCGTTGACGTCCTTCTTAATCATCTGCCCTGCAGGACACCAAAGTAGAGAGAAATCGAATACTGCCTCTGGCAGGCCATGAAGAAAGTTGCCTCCGCAGTTTTTCGTCAACGCTTTAGAGGCTTTCGAAAATTCCTTCGATGGATAGGCCTGGTTTGGCGTGATGGTGTTGCTGACTAGTTGGTTGTACTTTCGAAATCCAAAGAACCAATTCTCGATTTCACTAAAGTCTGCGTCTTGTGATTTGTTGCTTGATAGGCTGGCATTTGATGACGAGCGCAACCTGTTGACTAACTCCATAACGGAACCACGTCGACCAGACGAACTTGAGCGCGGTGATCGTGAGCCATCGCTGTTGCTAGATGCTTGTACTGGCTCTGGTGAAAGAAGGCCGTTTGCTGTTGTTGGCCGTGACTCTTTCTGAGGCGACGTCGATCGTCGAGACATTGGGCGTCGTATCCAGGAAGGCGATAACCGATCTAAAGTGGAAGGTGGATCTGTTGACATGACGAGCAGCGACATGGAGAGAGTTGTGTTATAGAGAAGTAATAAGTGTCGGCGTCGGTCAAAGCTGTGGTAGAGTGCGCTGTGAGTCTCCTACTGGCAGTGTGAAGCGTCAGACCTCAAGTGTCACAGAGGCTGCCTCGCCTTTTGTGTCCGACTCCTGTAGCAGTGTTGCCGCTACGGCTGCGCCCCTTTGGTTGTGTTGTGAGGTATGTCAGTGAAATGTGTGCGTGACGACTTGCGGGCACTAGGAGGCTGTGCATGATCTGGATCACCGGCTCCACAACGACCCAATTATCTGCTTCGAGTGCGCGCCAGTGGTTTTCAATGGAGTCGCGTCTTGCCGAGACTTGTACCTGGCCTTGACTTGCTTGTTTCCCCGGATACAAAAAAATACGCACAGAGTCAAGTGTTACTCGAGCGACAACCTGTCTCCAGGGCTGTTCCCAGGTAGCGTCGCTCGATAGGGGAGGCGCACACTGACATGGCAATCTTGCGCAGTTGCTTTCGGCGACTGACACCGGCCGCTTGACCTTCCCATCTACTATGAGTGAACGCGTAGGTGTGCAGAAAATCTCTACAGCATGGATAAGCTTTCCTGATGCCAAGTTTTCTTCGAGGTCTGCGAGTGTGCGAGGGGGTGGCGGATAGTACTGCGCCACACGTCGATGCAACGAGAACAGGGCAGCGGCCCATCCAGGGAAAAGACTATGGCATGACAATACCAAGGCGAGGTGTTTGGTTCTGGGTTCAAGTGGCCGTCGGGTGGAGGTGTGGCTAGTAGGCGCTAAGACAAATGCGGCCCAACGCCACCTGCGCCACAACTGAGGGGTCAGTCGCCCTCTCCGTGTCGTTGGGCTGTAGGCTGCTGTGACGCGTTTACTCCGCGTAGCTTCATAAATTCAGCTGGCAACGACATCGGCCGACACGCAAATCCCAACCTAACACTGACAAATCGCCACCATGTCTGGCTACGAAGGTAATTGCGGGTAAACACAGGCGCTGTGCAAAGACTGACGCAGACAGTCGAACACAACATCTCCACAGAGGACGACAAGACGCGACAACCCTCACGTCGACCAGACCTCTCGACGTTCTTTTCTCAGCTTGAACTGGTTGACACGTCGGATCCCCACGCTCACACAAATGCCAATGCTCTACCGCAGCCCGAAAACATGACGGCGGCGTTCCGCTTGCTTGCCAACGCTTTTGAGACTATGCGCGGACGACCAGCGGACGAGAGCGACGAACATGGGGATCTGTTGGCAAACATGATTGAGGTACTCCGCGCCAATGCCGACGATCCGCCCACAGAGTTGAAGGGTGTGCCCAACAGCTTCTTGGATGAACTGGAGCGGGTACCGAAGAAAGCGCTGAAGCCTTCCGATACATGTCCCATCTGTGTGAACCCATTCCTTGAGGGTAGGTCGCGTGCCTTAGTGAAGCGAACGAGGAGCTCGGCTAATTGGTACATGCATAGACAAATATCCCCTCGTTGTCCAGCTGCCGTGCCACGAGGATCATCGCTTCGATCTGGACTGCATAGGTCCTTGGCTTAAGCTGAATTCAACATGCCCTCTGGATCGCAAAGAACTTCTGAAGAAGAAGCAACCGCCACCGCCGCCTGCGGACGATGAAGAAGAAGACTATGATGATATGTACGCCTGAGAATGTTCCGCTCTGGCGCCATCACAACGCATCGGAATTAGGGTATACCAACATCTAGCGGATGAGCATGGATGGACCATCATCGATCAGGCGCATAAACGGATCGTACCGGATATTGAAACTTATTGCGAAACATATCTAGAGGCTCAGCACTGGGCAATGGTTTGGCGCCACGCCTTCGCCGCCAGCTCGTGGATCGAATGGAATCTGACATATCTTCCCCACCATGCCTGCCCTCCATCTTGACCAAATGGGTCCTTGACCGAGTGGGTTCTTTACCGACCCCCCTGCACCAACTGCTGGCCTTGCTGCACGAGCGCCGCAGGGAGTAAGAGCTCCTCACTGCCATGCATGACCGCATTAATGAGTGCAAGCGCAAGCTCGTCATATCGAATGAAAGAGCCAGAGGAGCCTGCAACCATCATCGAAGCTTCACCAATAATACTACCTCTCTGTACGACCATGCCTGGTCGAGCTACGATCGTGATCCAGTTCTCGTGGGTCTTTGCAAAGTCGACCATCTGAACTTCGCCCCGGCCCTTTGCAAAGTCAGCACTTTGGCAGCTTGTTTCGGATCATTTTATCTGCAATATACGCGCGTGGTCTATAGAACAAAAAGAATCGCCTACTTTGGTCTTGCGCATGGAGCCTTTCATCCATAATGACCTGTCTTGATCGCGTTCAACCATGCCACCTGACAAGTGTAAATACCGAAAGGGCTTTGCGCCGACTGGCATTGTCGATGCAAAGGCCTCAGCGAACGCCTTGGGATACTCTAATTCTAACACAGGATTACCAGCAGTCGTTGTCATACACCTTGACAACATTAGTAACTATGGCGCGAAAAGACGCGAGTGGCTGGGTACCAGATGCACCCGTCTGCTCCGGACAACTTCGCAAGCACATCATCGGGGTATTTTGTAAAGTCCTCAAGCAGCACTACCTCGAGCTTAGCGTGCGTCTCGATCCCGGGTGGGGGCCGTCGTGACAATGCGATAACCGTCGATACGAGTGGATTTCGTAGCGCGTGATGCAATACATGCGCACCGATGCGACCAGTGACACCAGAAATTACGATCTTGAAGGACATGTTGGTGACAAAGTATCCGTATCCGAGAGGCACTTGCCAGACTTTGTCAACATCGCGCATGGCCTTGTTTATGTGACCTACACCGCGGAGATTGGCCGCATAAGCACTGGTCGCCCTGTGGATTACATCCGCCGGGGCATCTTTCCTGCCGGTGGTGTCTCAGTAATTCCAATTCCCTAACTCCATCGCCGGACGAGCCTTCAGAACAACGAAAGGACATCAGAACATCTCGAGAGTCTCAACACCGAGGGATTTCTAGACATTAAGAAAAACCGCGCTTATTGAGGTGGCCATGCTTTTGTACGAGCCGAAGAAGCCGTTGCACATTCCCGGAACTATATGACTTAGTAAACTAGAGTAATGCTCGGCCTCCGTCACGGACGAATCCCGGCCGCCGCCCTGAGGAGTCAGCTCCACATCAGCAATTGCCATCGCAACACCTTCACCCTACTATGAAAGTAACATGGCCGCCCTTATTTGGTATGGTTCCGTGACAGGAATTTGGGTCTCCGTCAACTACATCGCGTCTATTATTTGGTGTCGTTAAGAGTATTATGGATTCATTAAGCAACACGAGTAACACTTCCAAGAAGAGACCCTCTAAGAGTCTTCGCCGGGCATGCTGGGAATGTGAGATCACAACCCATTGATGCACGCTCAATCATAAATGCTAAACATACTACAGGCAAAAAACCCAAGGTTCAAGTCGATGTTAGCCCAGCGACGATCAACCCTCGCACAAGTATGGACAACCCAGGACCAGATCGGGTAGACGAAGTAAACCCATGCTCAAAACACATCCAAGAAAGGCTGTGCAAACTCGAGCAGTTATTTGAGAGATTCGTGTGTCGTAAAAATGCCACCACAGCCGCAGTCAATACTGCGCCGCGCAGTCCTACCCTCACTGCCTCAGGCTCTAGTGAGAAAGAAAGCAAACCGGATATGTCCGGATACCGAAGTGACGCGTACAGCATCTCCTCACTGGGCGACGGTATTGTAAGCAGCATTATTCCCGCATATCGCTTACACTAATGTTGCCAGCTCGGAGCATATACATGGACGTCAGCGCCTTCTATCCGTACCTTGGTCGACAAACCGGAGACCAAAGGGCAGCCTGCAGGCTATGACAGAAATCATCGAACACTGGCAGCCCTATTGCCCTCACAACATGATGCAGATATCATCTTCGAATCGTCTAATGGGTGGATGATCCTAGAAGGCATCTACCGGGCTTCCAAGGAAATCTATGTTCACAAGGACTTGCAGTCGTATGCTCTGGACATGCAAGCCGTTGCACAAGAGCGAACCATTATCGTGGCGCGCACGCTTTTACATTTGGCGATTTGTATCAACTCTCTCCCACCAGAGTTCGACTGTTCGCGACTCTCGAGCATGTGGAATTTGGACGCAACGATGCAAAACTATGTTTCAACGGTAACATCGCTTGTAACTTCCTCAGATGAACAGATGATGACGCTACATGGACTCGAGACGATGTTGCTCTTGGCTTTTTTTCACATGAACAGTGCTTCACTGCGGCAGTCGTGGCTCGTTGTGCGCCGCGGTCTTAGCCTGGCCCACCTGATGGGGTTCCAACGCATTATCGCGCAAGAGGATCTTAACCCGGCAATCCCGGCGGTCACGAATGCTAAATCGATCTGGCGCTCCTTCGTCGACCTTGATCGGTATCTGGGACTACATCTCCGCCTGCCGTTCGGCGCGGATGACTATCCAATTGCGACAGATGCCGATGCACATCTGATCCATCGATCGAAACTCAATTGCATGACGAGACAAGTGGCAGAGCTTGATCGCGATGTCTCACCCCAAGCATACTCAGCGGCGCTGGCACTGGACGAACAGCTGGAGTTATGCATGAAGGAGATGCCCAAGGACTTTTGGGAGGTGCCGAACATCCCGTCTACGGCAAGATCACCAGAGTCATTTGCTACGTTGGAACGACTGATGGTGCAAGTCTGGCACTTTGAGATGAAAATATTCATCCACTTGCCTTATCTACTCAGAGCACATCTGGACAACCGATATGATTACTCCAAGGTCACCGCGTTACAGGCCTGCCGGAACGTCTTGATGAGATGGTTTGCCCTTCGCAACTCAAATATCACACAAGCCTGCTGTCGTTTCGCCGAGATCGGAGTGTTTATTGCCGCCGTCACTCTCACACTCGACATTGTCATCGAGCTGGGCACAAAGGAAAAGAGCGAGGTGAAGAAGACCAAAGGAACAGATTTTGCTATGATCTGCCGTCTTATCGGCGAGATGGAAAAGCTGGCCAGCGCAAGCCCACGCGAAAGAATCGCGGCGCGCAGTGCTGTGGTGCTTAAGAAGATCCTCTCGTCGCTAGACCCGAGCAAACAGCCCTTTGGCAAAGTACGCCATACCATACCGTTCTTCGGAACAGTGGAGTTGGAGTTTATGAAGCTGCCCATACGGCCAGTGTTCGACATCGACTCTGACGCAGGGAAGCTGTTGAACGCCACTGCTACGGGGCAACATCTTCCTGTGTTTTCGTTCATCGACAACTCCTTGTGGCCGCCGGCTGACGACGAGTCGGATCAATGGGATATTGTCCTATTTGACGGTCTTGAAGACCGCGATACTCAGGGCAACTGGGTGTTCTAGGATGGTGTTCATTTCGCTTGAGGTATTGTTTAATCCGGATATAAACCACTCTCATCCCAGGGCTCCGGATACCGCCCTGCGTGTGCATTCAGTAGCGCACAAGGTCCCTGCGACCCTTTCTTTTTGTTGGAGAACATTGGATGCACGGCTAAATGGGCCAATGATTTTGTTTAAAGTTGTCTCCAGCGCACTGGTTGATTCACCTTTAGCGTATCCTATGTAATATTGTCAGTTTCTGCGTTTGTTTCCTTCAACAATGATATCCCTAGGGGTGGCGAATGGGCACAGGCTGGACAGCGGGGTAAAGGCGTTTCAGTAGCAGTCGCACAGCAAGCGCGGATGGTGTGATTACTATCGCGCACAGGCGAATCGAATTGGAATATCAAGTCTACCAACAAGCAAAAGTAAAGCGCACTAGTTTCGCCAGGTGATGCACCGTGTTGAGTTGGCAGAGGGTTGCGGCGGCAAGGCTGAGGGAGGGACTGCAATGTGCCGCTGGCTGATAGGCTGATTGGCGCCGGTACCAGCATGAGGAGGGCCGAATGCGTATCTATCAAAGTCTCAGCTTGGCATGTCAAGTTTCGCGTCTGTGATGAGATGTATCGGCAGCGTAAGCCGAATATCAGAGTGAAGCTGGAGTTGTAGTCGCGCCTGGCTCTCGGTGAGGCCAGAAAGATCGCCCGGAGACGGCCAACGGATCGCCTTCATCCTTGGCCCAAGCCCAAGAACCCTGACTTGCGACCGACGGCTGGCCAAGCCATCTCACACGACCACCTTCGCTTGCGCGACACGACTCAACGCGCTCCACCCGTGCATGTCGCTCCTCTCGCCTCCCCGGCCGTGATTGTGCAGACACCTTCACTCTCGCCAGCAATCCGTGAAGCATGAGCACGCAACACCACGGCAGCCAGGGCGACTTCTGGGCCTGCACCACCCGCGATGCCCCCAACCCGCCGACGACGCACACCGAGACGACAACGCGGAACGACGCCGTAAATTCGGGGGCCGCCCTCAGTCTGTTCGAATCAATCATCACCTCGTACCCGCCTGTCCTTGAATCCTTCCTCGCCCAGATCTCCACCGTCACCCTCCTCGAACTCTACCACACATCACGTCATTTGCGCCAGTTCCTGCAGAGGTATCCGCTCGCGTGGAAGACGCTGTCCTTTCGATTGCCTCAGCCCGCCGTTGCAGTGGGCTCGCCAGGCAATGAGACGCCCGAGAACAGGGAACGCCAGTCCAAGGCCTACTCGTTCGACGCACTGCTGAAGCAGATCATATCGCCGAATGGCACACGATTGACCAGCCTGGACCTCTGCAACACGGCCGTGACAGGAATTGCGCTGGTCGGGAGCGTCCTTGCCCCGCGCATCGACACCCTCCAGCATCTGTCCGTACGAGGCTGCAAGAATGTCTCCATCAAGTACCACATTGTCCCCTTCCTGGAGCCATACACATTAAAGGACGCGCCATGGATGCAGAGAGACCTCGCTCTGAAGAGCCTATACACCTACCGTTGTCGTCACCACCGCCGGCGACCCTATCTCCCCTCCTCCCTTATTCGGAGAGACTCCGATTCCGACCCCACACACCAGCTCATCGAGATCTGCCACCAATTAGGAATTTGGACAGATACAGCATGGTGTCCCACACCAGGCGGCAGGTGCAACCGGAGGAAGGACTACCACGCAGGAAGAGCAGGACCGCAGAACATGGAAGTCTGGGTGCCCTTTGATAGATTATGGCGATCAAGCAACCGCATCGGTCCTGTGGAAGGCACGACAAAGTTGGGCGAACACGACGGCAGACTATGGGAGATTGCTGAGACAGGAGAGGACGGCGAGCCGCTCGGCCCAGAGGGTGGGAACTCCGCAGGAGAAGGCAAGCATGTCCCAGTACACGAGCGAAGGAGCCACACTGCGTTTGTTGAAGAGGTCAAATGTGCGCAATGTAATGACACTATTCTGGAGCGGTGCGAGTCGTGCAGTGTCCGCATGCACTGCATGGGTTGCCGGAAGACGCTTTGTGCAAGTTGCGCTTTCAACAGACCGATACCGAGAAAACGCGTGAAGACACGGCATTTCGCAAACCTGGCTTTCGGCAGCAGCAGCACATTGGGCGGCACACTTGGACACGCATCGGGGTCTTCTGCACCATTGGAGGACAGGAGTCAAGAAGAGAAGGCTGACCAGAACCGCTTCTGGTGGGCCCCTGGCGCCACCCGATCACCAAATCTCATGAATGAGAGCGCACAGGACGACGACTCATCTGATTCCGAAGACGGCGGGAACAACGGAATGCCAGTACCTCCAGCGAATCGAGAGCCACCAAAACTAAACATGCATTGGTGTTGCCTGGAGCCTATCTTCTCTGGTGGTGGCGGCATTGCTGTGCTAGGCACCGGATTAGGCGGCAGAGGCGCTGATAAGATACGCGCAGCACCATTACCGCGGACGAAGGAGTTTGAAGATCCGGACTTCAGCAACACGCTTCGGCCTGTTGACTACGTCCGCGAGTTGAAGAACAACGGCCTGTATGAGTACGTGCTTGGGGAGGATGTCGATATCCTGTCGTACTTGAAGCAGGACTCGCTTGATTTGCAACAGCAAACATGTCCGAGAGGTTTATGCAACGACTGTTACCGAAGCTTCCGCTGGAAAGTGTCATGTCGGGCATGCAAGAACCCCATTTGCAAAGAGCATGATTTCAGAGCGCTAAAGGTCCGCAAGTGTGGTTATCGGGATTTGCACACCGAGCGAGAGCACGTACGATCGCACAACGAGCCGCCGCAGCGTCTTGTTATACCAGAGTTCAATCCAAACAGGGCCAGCACACCGGATCCCGAACGCACACCTACAGCATCGTCATCCCATGTAGATTTCTACTCCACTGGTGACAATGAATCTGAATCTTCCGAGACACCCATGTCTCAGTCGCAGATCATGGTTGCTCCTCAGCACTCGTCAGTCGATATGTCGGCCACAACGTCCTTCAATTCCATCTCAAACCCCGAACCTTTCCAACTTGCAACCTCGCTCTCTTTTGTTCCTATCAGCACCGGACGTCCACGCTCTTTCAGTGTATCTGGCGTTCGCGGCCGACCCACTAGTGCTTGGTCGCCGAATTCTCAACGTGTCCCGGTTAACCATGCTATCATGAACCCGCTTCCATTGCCCTGCAATCCACGGCATCCCGTGCAGTGGAGTGGTTGTGGTGCGTATTTCTGTCAGTACCCAAGGCCTGCAGGAGACAACCGACCACAGTGTCCGGGAATTCTGAAGGAATGCTCGGAATGTGCAGTTCTTGTCTGTGATGTAAGTCTATTCCCAACATCTCTTCTTATGTGTTCACTAACACACCTTTCAGCAATGCGCATCCTCGAACCCAGCTTGCACATGCACGTTCTGCACTGTCAACTATCACTGTCCGACGTGCACACACAAGCCCAATGTTCGCGCGAAGTGTCGGCTTGAGGCAGAGATCAAACAGAAGAAAGAGGAACAGCTCCGTGCGATAGCTAAACAGAGGAAAGACAAGGAAGAGCGCGGAATGGCAGATGAGTTGGCTGGAGCAATGTTCGAGTTTTTCACAACAGTGTACGATGAAAGCACCGGCAATCCGACCATGGACGGCTCCTCCGCATCGTTCACGCACGACCTACCCATTCCGAGCCCAGACTCTATCACTGTAACAACAGAATTTGGTGTCATGGAAGAGCCTGCAAACTTGACGACGATTAGTGCATCTGGACCTTCACCCTACCACGCCGCTTATGACCATTCCGACGATGAAGAAAACAACGTCGAGATGACTGAAGACGTAAACGAGGATGTCGAAGCACTTCAACAGGGGCTAGTTCAGATGCACCTAACTCCCGTGCCCGGCATGAGTGCTCACATACTACATCTGCCGGTAGAAGTCGAGCCTGAACACATAAACGATGATAACGGAGAAGAGTCTGACGAGGTCAACGACACCGGTGCCGAGGCGGACATAGATACTGACGACCTTGACGCGGGCGCTGAAAGCACCTTTGTAGACGAGTCCGGTGATGATACTCTGGTTGGAGGTATTCTTACACCCACAACCACAATCACGGCATGAGACTAGACCACGCAGACGCGACGCAATTGCTGCTCATTTCAACAACATAGCACAAAATTCTCTTTGGATGCAAGTCCTACAAAGAAACATTAAATTGACTTTAAGGAGTAAGGTTAGGGATCTACAGTCTCCAAGGAGGCAGGATCTAAAGCAGGTGATACCCAAGGGAAATACGGTGAAATGGGAAATAGCTACGGCTTGGTGGGCATACGGGACTATTGGAGTAGGAGTAGGCGGACATGGGAAACTTGTATTCTTTTACGTTACGCATTTTGGCGTTCATCCTTTCTGTTCACTCTAGAATTTGGTCTTGATTCAATTCAATCGTTTGAACTTGTCTGTATCATAGTCGATCTTTCTCCTTCAGTCAGCCCTCTGTTGACTGCTCTGACGAATGCTTGTCTCATTTCCTCGCACGAGGTAGCTGCATGATCTGGTGTCAAGACATGTGTATCATTGCTTAGACCATCACATTATCTATTCTTTAGCGCTCAAAACCTCTTTGACGACCTTGATAACCTCTGCAAACGCATCCTTTGGCGCAGCTACCACACCCTTGTTCTCCCTGAGTGTCCTTCCGAGGCCAAAGTCAAGAGGCTTGCCGTACGCATCGCTGACCTCACCGCCTGCCTCCTGAACGAGGACCACACCGGCAGCGTGGTCCCAGATCTTTTCCTGATATGTCTTGCTGACTGGCAGTCTGAGGTACAAGTCCCCAGCTCCACGGGCAATAGAGCAGTACTTGGCTTGCGAGTCCATGCGAACCGAAGGCTTGGTGATGCCAAGCTTTGACGCGATGGCAGCGTTGTCGCCTTGTGATGAGTGGCCTGCTTCTACGGATTCGCAGAATGTGGCTTGGGTGACGTCTGAGAGGGGCTTCATTTTGATGGCCTTTGCTTCTGTGAGAGCACCCTTGCTCAGCGGTCGGCTGGTAGCACCCTGCCCCTTGACGGCACCAAATAGCACGCCCTTACCCTCCTTGTCGTCTGCATCTTGTCCGGTAGTCGTGGTGAGGGGAGCCTGGTCGTCGACTGGGAGGTTGGGGCAGCCGATGACACCTACGGTAGGTACGCCATCTACGAGTAGACCCAAGCAGACAGCGTATTGTCCACCACGCAAGAATCCTTTTGTGCCGTCGATAGGATCAAGTGCCCAGATCCTGCCCTTCCTGCCGCCCTCACTGTTTCCCTGGTCAAGCGCTGACAGCATAGCATCTGCGCTCTTGATGGGTCCACCAATCATCTCCTCGGCAGAGCTATCCTCTAGCTTCGCTGCTTGTACCAGATCCCAGACAAGGTCACGGAGCGAGTCGTTCTTGCGTAGGTCGTTGGCGTCCTCCTCGCCAACAACCTCGTCCTCGGGGAAAGCATGCTTTATGGATGCGATGATCAGGGCTTGCGCGCCGAAGTCGCCGATTGTGACAGGGGAGGAGTCGCTCTTGGATAGCGTGCCTTTGGAATGGCTCGAGTAAACCGACTTTGTGAGGATGGATGCTCGCTGAACGGCCAGGAGAGCAATCTCCAATTCCTTCTCGTAGGCCATTGTGTGTATGCTTCGACTCGAATTCGTATACCAGTGTTGTGATGGATGCAGTGCGGCCGACGGGTAGATGTGGTGTTTGAGTTGAGAGAGGCGAGCAACACTACGAGAAAGCAACGATGGATTGGAGATGGAGATAGCCAGGATGACGAATGCTAGCAAGAAGAATCTTGATGGCGCAATTTGGGCGGGCATGGGCTAGCACTAACAATCTTCAGCCCCTCGTTTCTTTGGTGGGGTTCTGCAGCCGGGTGGATTGACGCAACCCATCATCCATCGAGGGCTGGCCTGTGCGCTGCGGGCGGAGGTTACTGCTTTCGTCCTGGCCTGGACGCCATAGCAACAACACCAACGGCTTTCGACTCGTCTCGATGCACAGACATTCGAGACCGCTGTCCTGTCTCACGAAGCAGAAGTCTTGTCGTATTGTTTTCGACACATCCATCCGACGTTGAGCGGTCACCCGAGCTGTGCATCCGACTTACGCGACAGTAAACAAAGATCGACACAAAGACATCCTCACCGACGCGCGCATCTCAGAATCAAACTCGGATTATTCCGCCCATAGATCCGCATCACAGCGCACTATTCTCCCTCCGACAGAATGGCTTCGGCAGAGCAGCCCGCGCTTGCGACCACGAAGCGCAAGTTCCACAAGCTCCTCGACAACCTCACGGCAAGCAATTCGACTACTTCCCTCGCCAGCACTCTGCAAGAGTCGAATGCTTCTACTGCTTCACTCTCGGCGCTTTCGGAGGCAGGTAGCCCTGAACACCCGAGCAAGCGCCCACGCAGCGCAAATCTGAGCATGGAGCGTCAGAGGGGTATATCCGAAGGCCAAGAGCGCATCCGACAGCTCAAGGAACAGCTTATGACACCACGAAGAGAAGGCACGATCAAAGTCGTGGGCAAGACCTTGGTAACGCCAAAAACCTCAACGCCAAAAGCCTCCACGCCGCGCAAAGCGCCCAACTTCCAACCATACAGCCAAGATCACTTCCTCGAAAGACTGAAGACGTTTGCAGATGTGCGGAAGTGGACCACCAAGCCGGATGCCATCAACGAGGTTGAATGGGCAAAGCGGGGCTGGAGCTGCGATATCTGGAATACCGTGGCTTGCAAGGGCGGATGTGAGAACCGTGTCGCGGTAAAGCTGAGGCCAAAGCGCAAAGATGCTAACGGCAAGGAGCTCGAGATGAGCGAGGACCTGGCTTTTGATATCGATGAGGCTTTGGTAGATAGATACAAGGATCTCATCACCGAAGGTCATGCGGATGACTGCTTGTGGAGGAAGCGCGGCTGTCAAGGTACGATAGCGTGTGCGCGTGTAGCAGTCACACAACTAACAGCATGAACAGAAGACATCTATCATGTCCCTATCGCATCGCGGACGAAGAGCTCAGCCGAATTGCTCGATCGATACCGCTTTCTCAAAGCCATATCCGCCGACCTTCCCCTCCTCGAACACATCACATACCCCGAGCCATCCATACAGCACATCCTTGAACGTGTGCCATCATCCTTCTTCACTTCAGCAGGCATCGAACCACCGCTATCGCCCAGTGACATCGTGGCATTCGTCTTTGCCCTCTTTGGCTGGACCGGCGTCTCAGAATCCCGCATATCCCTTGCGGTATGCAACCACTGCTTCCAACGCCTAGGCCTCTGGCTGTCCTCCGCCACGCGCCTCAAGGAGATGAGCAAGAAACTAGACGTGCCCATTGAAAGCCTGCGCCTCAACCTTCTCGAATCCCACCGCGAACACTGCCCCTGGAAGAACCCAGATGTCCAAGCAAACTCAAAAGACGGTCCTATCGCCAACATGCCCGCTTGGCAAACCCTCGAATTCATGCTGCTCGGTCGTAACAGAGATATTGCCGCCGGTATTCACACCCCGCTTAAACAAACACCCAGGAAGCAACATGCCAGGAACAACGATAGCATCGATGTGGGCAGTGAGCTCGAGTATCCGCGTGGCAGTATGGACAGCGTCGAGAGACCCAAAGACCACGACGACGATGAAGATGGTGGTCTGCGCGAGAAGTGGACTAAGCTGAAGGCGAAATTGAAGCGCAGTGCAAGTAAGAAGAGTTTGAAGAGTACGAAGAGTGGGAAGAGCACCAAGAGCGGGAAAAGTGTTATGACAAAGGCTGACAAGGAGAAGTCTTAGGCAGGCTTTCTTCGGAGTCGGCATCGTCTTGGATGAACGGTGTTATCTGGTCATCTTCTTATTTTTCTAGGTATGATTTATGGGACACAATATCTTGTCGCTGGGCGCCTCTACGGTTGTATTGATATACCCTTGTAATGAAAGCTGTTGGAGGTAGTGATTCGAGAAATGTACATCATGAAACCAGTGAGATAACAAAGGTGTTGAACTATTGCATCATGACATTTACACGTAGGTATGCGTGATAGACTAAGCAGCTATGCTCCAGATAATAAATAAAAATAACAAAACGCCAACCCAGATGCACACCATAGATCGTGGGCAAAAGCCGAAAGTGTCCCAGTGACTTTTGAAGGATAATGACGCCTAGGCACCCTCTTCCATCTTCACGTCCTCCTCATCGACTTTCGCAACTCCCTCTTCTTCTTCGGCCACCATGGCCTCAGTGGCTTGCTCGCCATCACTGACACCGTCTTCAGCCGCTTCCTCAGCTTCGAGGGCCTTCTGCTCCGCCTTGGCCTTGTCCGCAACGTGGTTGATAATCTCGGTATCCTTCTCATTGAACAACCTAAGCAGCATGGCTTTGCGGTCATCCTTGTCAACCATGAGGTTGGCGCTGCCAGGATGTCTCCAGAGTGGCAGTACCATGCGGAATGGGATGCCCTGCTCTTCGTCCTTCTCAACACGGATAAAGCAGCAACCGACGTCCATTGGCTGGAGCTGCTCGCCGACCTCACCCAGACCGGTGTCGCCCTCCTTTGGCAGCTTGGGGAACATCTCTCGGATGAGTTGGTGCAATGTCTCCTTCTTCTCCAGCTTGACTATCCGCTTCCTAGCCCATGGCTCAAGGATACGGATACCCTCATTTTGCAGCCTCCATGGCGCTTGAGTACGATCCTGGTCCTTGATCTTGTGCGAAACGAACATCACAACACCACAATGAATGAACTTCATGCCGCGGTCCTTGTTCAGCGAAAGAATGGTCTTTGCAAGGTCGGAGGTGTAGTAAATCTTGTTGAGGGAAAGACCTTCCTTGTTCTTGACCATGAAGCGGTCGCGTGGGAAGCGATCGTCAATGCCGAAGAAGTCCATGATGTTGGCGATGGTTGGGTCATCAGAGGGAAGGTACTCAAAGTACTCCTTGGCTTGGGATTGGTTCTCTGGCTTCAGACGGGCAGCTGAGCCATTAGTTGCGGGTTTGGTGTCTGGTGTTGTTGCTGCTTCCTCGGTCTTGGCCTTCTTGGGCGCTTCAGCGTCTTCAGACTCCTCCAGTTTACGCTTCAACGGACCCGCATCAGAGGCATCCGCAGATTCTCCTTTAGTAGCATCTGCCTCGACCACATTCTCGTCAGGGGTTGGGATCGAGGAGTCGGTAGTCGTCTCAGTAATGTCGTGTGACCTCTGGGCCTTGGCTGCGTTCTCTGGGTTCTGTACTTGCGCAATCTTGATGTCATCCAGCTTCTCAAGAATGGCAATGAAGAAACCGCCAGTGTCTTGCAAATGCGGGTAGACACGTATGCAGTGTTCGAGAGGGATGCGCTCCTCTTCGGACCTTGGCACAGGTGGGAAACATCCGGGAGTAACCTTGGTGGAGAACTGGCGTTCTGGCTCCTCGACCTCGTACTTGGCCCTTGCTTTCTGGTATGCCTCCCAGTTGGTGAACATATGAGCAGTCTTCTCTCCTGCAGCGGTTACTGAGGATGTGTCGAGCACCTTCCATGAGTTGAGACCCGGCTTTCGCTTCAGGTTTGGCAGGTGGTCGGAGCAGTCTACTAGTCGGACCTTGGAGTTTCCTCCGCAAGCCTCAATAGCTGCTGCAACGACAGCTTCGTTCTCGACAGGGTTCAGACTGCAAGTAGAGTACACCATACGGCCACCCTTCTTCAGCATCTGAAGACCTCGGAACAGGATGCGTAGCTGGAGACCGTGTAGGCCAAGACCATCCTTGGGGGTCCACTTCTGCCATACGTTCGGGTTCTTACGGGCTGTGCCATCACCAGAGCAGGGCACGTCAGCCAATATCCTGTCGTACTTCAGGTACTGCTTCTTGTTGCCATCGCTGGGCAGCTCGATCGAAGGGAAAATTGAGGCGTCGTGTTGCGTGACAATCAGGTTGGGGAAGTTGAGACGTTTGACTTGGTGGACCAACATGCCGGCACGCTTGTAGTCAGAATCGTTCGCAATGAGGAGACCTGTCGAACGTCCGCCGTCGCTGTAATCACCATCTTGGGTAAGGTCAACCGACTCGCCGTTCGCTACCCGCTGTACGCGCTCCTCTTCGTCGCCGTGGATCATTTCAGCCAACTGCGCCGACTTGCTTCCCGGTGCTGCGCACATATCAAGAACCACCATTCCTGGCTTCACGTCGAGGAAGTGTGGCGGGATCATGCTGACGACTTCCTGTCTGCTAATGTTGCCTGATGCCGCTTCGGCGACGAGGAATTTCTGGAAATCGGCAAAGGGCGCATGTCGTCGAATGACCTTCTTGTGCGTCTTCATGTGCCACACGAGCTCGTCGGGGAAGGCCTCGACGGCCTCAGGAGGCGACACTGGCTTGCCTTCGAAGCGCGTGGATGCGATGGCGGGGACATAGCGCTGCTTGAAGATCTCGCGCACTGCGAGAGCATCAGACTTGGTGCCAGTAAAGCGGAAACTGTTGGGCAGGTCGGTTTGGAGCGCCTTCCACATCTCCTCGAACTCTGCTTCTTCCAAAAAGCCTCCCATTTTGTAGTAGCTCTCGAAGAGCTCATTCTTGCGCTCGATGGTGGACCATGGCTCTGAGCGAGTATCGCGTCCTCCACCACCACCGCCACCGCCGCGACCTTTACCCTTGCCGCGAAATGCTTTGCGACCACCGCCCTATGCGAAGTCAGTGGGCGTTGTACATGTGCGGCGCATGCAGTGTCTACTCACGCGACCTCCACCTCGTCCCATTGCTGCGGGTAGGTGTGTGTAAAACTTGAAATTTGCGAACCTGCAGCAGCTGTCGCAAGTTGGTAGCTCTCAGAAAAATGTCGATAGCTTCGACGAGCGGGCCAATAGAGCGGGGCATTAGCGCTGCGTTCTGTCTTGGCGGCCCACTAGCGCCCGCACATGAATTTCGTGCTGGCCAGCCGAACTTTGTTCCTCCAGCTTCCGACAACAACAAGGATACTAACCACCAGCAAAATGGCCCGCTCATCGTGAGTATACCGCCGTGTCAATTCATTGCAGTCATGCTAATTCATCCAGCGTCCCCACCCAGAATGACATCGCTGTCCCCGAGTCGGTGCTCAAGAAGCAGAAGGCCCACCAGAAGACCAGCGACTCTCAGGCCGCTGAGTTGAAGAAGAAGCGTGAGGTATAACAGTCTCCCAGAACCTGCGCAAGCAGATAGGAGTATCACGGTTGGCTAAGATTTCTTAGGCCAGCAAGCAGAAGCGCGAGGTCATCAAGGAGCGCGCCGCCAAGTACACCCAGGAGTACGCAAAGGCCCAGCGCGATGTCATCGAGGCCAAGCGTGCCGCGAAGCGCGACAACTCTCTCTTCGTCCCCGCTGAGTCCCGCCTTGCCTTTGTTGTCCGTATCAAGGGGTATGTCAAGTTTTTCAAGACGGTTCAAATTGCATTCTAACTCGCGCAGTATCAACAAGATCGACCCCAAGAAGCGCAAGACCCTCCAGCTCCTCCGTCTTCTCCAGATCAACAACGGTGTCTTCGTCCGCCTCACCAAGGCCACCAGCGAGATGCTGAAGATTGTCGAGCCCTTCGTCGCTTACGGATACCCCAACTTGAAGACCGTCCGCGAGCTTGTCTACAAGCGCGGTTACGGAAAGGTCAACAAGCAGCGCCTGCCGATCACCGACAACGAGCTCATCGAGGCCAACCTCGGCAAGTTCGGTATCACCTGCATTGAGGACATCATCCACGAGATCTACACCGTCGGCCCCAACTTCAAGGCCGTCTCCAACTTCCTCTGGCCCTTCAAGCTCTCTTCCCCCACTGGTGGTTTCCGCACCCGCAAGTTCAAGCACTTCATCGAGGGCGGTGACCTTGGTAACCGCGAGGAGTTCATCAACCAGCTCGTCAGGCAGATGAACTAAGCTGTTGTGCTTTTGTTCAATGGGTGGAGTAACGGTTAGCTTCAAAACGATACCATGAAGATCACGACGACTGGTCGCCCACTCCTCGACAGAGGATGGAGGGCAGGCCGAGCCACATGCTCTGGTTAGCTTAGACAATCTTCTGCACATCAGCTGGAGGAAGAATTCAAAAAGCTCATTCCACTTTGTCCCCTACGATCCATGCCGATAATGAGTGAATGTATGCACTTGACTTTTTGTATCAGTATCCCATGTCAAAATCATCGTCTTTCTCCACCTTGATCAAATCCTCCTGGCTCCTACATCTCAAATGCCAAAGCTCCCGCAAACGATCTAGACTTAGGCGCTCTACTCGCCATTCCGACATACGTTGTTCATTTGGATCAGGGGCCCGACGTGAGAAGATACGCTTAAGTGACAAGGGATTTGGTCCGTAGTGAACGATCATGTAGAGACACATTGCTGTTTCGGTGTGTTCCAGAGCTTCTGGACAAGGTTCGATGAATAAAGTTTGGTCTTAGTGTAGTGTGGTATTGTGGTTTTGAATGAACAGCAAGTAACTTGATGTAATGAGCGTGTATGAAGCGGGTGGAGTGTTGTGGATTACACCATGGAAGGTGCACATTCAAGATTATACGTGAATGGGTGAGTCAACCACATGCCCTGATAATATTGGACCCAAGCTGAGCTGACCGGTTCTCAACATGGATGGAATACTATGTCAAGTAGGAAATCGGACGATTCTGCGCGACATGGGTTCAAATGGAAGGGATGGGGATGGTTTGGAAGGGCTTATGGTTTGGGCGCAGGACAAGGGTAGCCTGGAGAGAACAAAGCCCTACGGATAGAGTTTCTTTGATACCCGCGCATTTCCGGTCAGGTGAGGCTGCAAGCAACATTGTAAGTATGTTCGCCGACA